ATTTATGTATTTACTTCTTTATTTTTTTTATTTTTTGTTATATTTATTTTTATCTATTTATTTATTTATTTATTTATTCTATTTATTTTTATTTTTTTTTTTTTTTATAATTTTTTTATTCTATTTTATTCATATATATTTCTTTATTTATTTATTTATTATGTTTATTATATTTATTATATTTATTGTATTTATTGTATTTATTATATTTATTATATTTATTATATTTATTATATTTATTATATTTATTATATTTATTATATTTATTATATTTATTATATTTATTATATTTATTGTATTTATTATATTTATTATATTTATTATATTTATTATATTTATTTAGTTTTTTTTGTTTAAATGTATTCCCCCTGATTTCCCTGACTGGGATTATGACCCCAGTTGACTTTGATTTTTTTTGGGACGGGTTGAAGCCACCAAAGTTTTTTTTGTCAAACACGAGATTGTAACCATTAGACTTGGGGTCAAACATCACTTGAAATGCTAGTCAAATAGTGGTTTACTACTGTAGATAGTGTCCAAGAATGTATCAACATGTGATATTTGTAAAGGAAATTTATAAGGGAACAGACCAGGTTCAATAATCCCAGAAAACAATTTTTCGTAGATTCACCATACTCCACCCGGGTTTTTGGATATTTCCATCACCAGCAGCAACCGTAGTTCTCCCTTTAGTTCCGCAGGAAGTCTGAAAAACCATTGGATCCAAGATATACCTGGGGAAACTAAGAGTTTTTACACCGCTGTCAATCAGTTACCCTCTGGTAAACAAACATAGCGAACTGGAAAATCAATGAACATCACCATTTTAACAGGTAAATCATCTATTTCTATGGGTGATTTTCCATCGCCATGTTAGTTTACTGGAGGGTTTCCAGTGAGATAGACATCCACGTTTTTGAAATTGCCAGAAGGGTGTTGAAAACACCTCGGGATTTAGTCAGCCAACTATGGGGATACTAAAGGAACATGATGACATGAAACTAGATTTGTAGCAAACAACTGGTTGTGAAGGTTATTCATGCCTGCTTGGGTGCTTGGGCCTTTTATGCGGTCCTTGCGGATCATTGTAGGTGATGATAGGTTCAAAGTGATGCCGCCAGGAGCGGGTCCTGCACTTGTTCCGGGAGAACTCAGCGGAACTTCACGAAGAACTGCAGGAAGAAGCTCGAAGCCATCCATATGCATGTCGCATTATACAGGGCTATTTAGATGATGACATTCCTTTGACCTTTGAAGCAGAAGATCCAGAAGATCAAGATCTTCAAGCCCATTGGGATCCCCATTTAGGCTTTGTATTCTCCTTGTAAATTTCTGCTTTAGCCAAGAAGCTGCTTTGCAGTGTGGCTGTGTACTGATGTCATCAGGGCTTAAACAAAATCTTTTAAGCACATCATTCCACTTACCCTCCGGCAATCTGAGCGATGAAACAAATCACTCTGAATTTCAGAATATAAACTTCATCTTCAAATGTCTGATTCTTCATGGAACAAGCCCCCGTAAAATCGTTGGTTGTGGGTTCCTTTATGGCTCTTGGTTCTATCAGGATGATGAACAAGATTACCCTCTAGCCAACATAGATATGGAAGCTTGCCACCATTTGTGGATCATTCCAATAGACAATGATGGATACACTCTGGTAAACTAACATAGCTATTGAAAATCACCATTTTTAATAGGTAAATCCACTATTTCTATGGTCATTTTAAATAGCTTTTTGTATGTTTACCAGGGGGTATTTTCCATCTCTTGAGTTATCTTACCTCAGGCTAGCTTTCAGCGGTTTTTTTTGGTACCCCGCTGAAAGATAAAATTTGGTATAGAAGCGTGTTTTGCAACTATTTTAGTATGGATCAATACCTATTAATACCATTTTTAGGGGAATGAACATCCATTTACCAGCTATTTTGATGTTCACCAGGGGTACAAGATTTTGACACACTGCCATTTTAGTATATAGGATGTTACCAAATTTAGATCCTTTTTTAGGGTTGCTATGGCGTATGATGAAGTTTACGAAAGTGAATGGTCATATCCATACGGAAATAGTTCGTAGAAATACTGGCCCAAAAGATCACGTCTTAATCGACCAAACCCTGTAAATAGTGGTTCATGAAGGTAACTCCCCAAGAAAAATCTGGAAATTAATACAGCAATTTTCCAAGAATGATGGTTCATTGTGGTACTGTTTGAGAGTTTAAAGATTACTATTTCGGTTCATTTCCACTCTGGAAAATCCCATCCCCCAGGTATGTTTGTTGGTTCGTTCACCCAGAACTAGTTCGATATATCTACCATAAACTGCCGCTCAAATCGGTGAACGGGACACAGCCAGAATGCCAAATGCTGTAGAGTGGGCCTCGGCCAAGGTGACTTGTGTTCTACAGTACTAGTTTAGCTGGTACACCGGCGAGTGGTGCTTTCATTGTTGTGAACATTCTGCCATATGTATATATATATATATACATGCATTTTTTTAATCACACACACATACATAGATATAATAGGTATATATACTATAATATAGTATATATCTATGTACATATCCACATGTATATATGTATGTATGTATAAAGACATGCAGTCACAAACATGTATGCACTTGAATTTCGTGTCTGTTCCTTTGCGGAAAATTCCAAGTTGAGTCATGAGCACTCTCGTCTGTGAGTAAGTTGACTAATGATCACACCTGTCTCACAATTGTGGTTCAAAAACTGGTGCCGTGCCATTCAAGCGGCCAAACTGGCCAGCAATTGGACTATGGTTCCGGTGAAATGTGGAGAAGGCACCAACCGGATGATGTTGTGTTCTTCAGCTGTCATGTTTTGTTACCCCCAATCGGTGCAGGTTGCGTTCTTTTTGTTGTTTGAAATACCCGGTGTGTCAAGCAGGCAGGAGAGAGGCAATCCTTTCTCCAGACATCCAGAAGCCTTGGCCTTGCGGCTCGATGCAAAAACAACAGCAGTGATCTTTCGGCTCGGAGACAGCTTGAAGCAGTATCATCTCAGGTACTTTGAGTGGTCAATTAAAAAAAACCGTGGGTAGTATGTAAGTCCCTTACCGGTCTTCACCCATTTGCCATCCCCCAACTAACATAGATCCTGCCAACAGTTGGGGGTTGGAAGACTACCCTCCAAAAAGTAGTGATTCTCAGCCTGTAGCTTAGTTGGGGGGAAATGGTATCATTGTTTTCTAAAATCCTCTTTGTTGAAGCAGCTTGCGCTGAGTAGCATGATCGGATTCCAGAAAACTCAGAGCACGGTTCTTGTGAGGAAATGCCACGAGAGCGAAAGAAATGGAGGAGTATGACAAGGACTTTGGGTCTGTACCACTGGGCACCCATGGCGTATCCCTTAAACAATTTTTGGCCCACGTTTCAATGGTGAAACCTATGGCTTGTAGACCGGAATTTGGAGTAGCCTAGTTTCAGGCAGAGCCAAAAGGTGAAGAGCGGGTTTTCCAAGGTTCAATGATTGTCTTTTAAAACAATGATGGAGGAAATCATCCCTTGTCCACTTATAGTTATTTTTCCTTGTTTATCTGTTTTCGCACTTGGGCTGCTTTTGTGGCTTGTGGCTTCTTGGCTTTTTGGCTTTCCAGCTTCTTGACTTTGTGGTTTCTTGAATTCCAAAAAGGTTTCTTTAGCAGTTGTGGTTTCTTTGCAATATGCTGCAGCTCTTGAGCAGACAACAAGGGAAATATCCGAAAGGAAAACATCCCACAGCAAAACAGATCAGAAAGCTTAGCTACCCTCTGGTTATTTAACATAGCCATGGGAAATGGCCCATAGAAATAGATGGTTTACCTATTAAAAATGGTGGATCTTTCCATGGCCAACTGTTAAATCACCAGATGGTATATATATATATATTTCAGCACCAATATATGTAGTATCTACTTTTTCCAGAGATTCACCTTGATTCAACATTCAATATTCTGCAAGCATTGCGCAAGCAACAAGGACAAATGAAAAATAATGCCAAGAAAAGCACCATCCAGCAACAGCAAAAACAAGAAGAACGCAATGCCAACAACAGAACTCATGCCTCCCTCCACCGCGAAATCATAGTATTTCGAAACCAAGCTGCTCACCTACAAGCACTGAAATGGGAGATTCAATGTCCAAGATGCTGTGCATGGAAATGAGGCTGCGAAAATGATGCTGGCTTCTTGGCTTCTTCGCTTCACATGTTTTTTTCTTGGGAGCTTTACTGTGGCACCATTGCACGGCAATGGTGGCAACAAGCACTGCCATTTTTTCCCCACCTGCGAGGTGAGGGTTGTTAGATTTTATCACAGTTGTTCTCCTCCTCCTCCTCCGCCCCCTCCTCCTCCTCCCCATCCTCCACCTCCTCCTCCTCCTCCCTCTCCTCCAGCTTCTCCTCCACCACCTTTGCATCCACTCCCATGTTCACTTTCGCCTTGTCAACTCTTCGCCAAGCTCTTCGCCAACTTCCGCACGCAGTGGGCACTGCTGGACCTCAACTGCAAGGGTCTGAGCGCACTGGGCACCGCTGGACCTCAACCTGGGGCCTTCCGAGCTCAGTGAACACCGCTGGACCTCAACCTGGGACCGGCCGAGCTCAGTGAGCACTGCTGGACCTCAACGGCCAGATAGAATGCCAGAAGATATTCCAGATAGAATGTCAGATAGAATGTCAGAAGATATGCCAGAAGATATGCCAGATAGAGTGCCAGAAGACATGCCAGAACATATTGCAGAAGATATGCCAGGTAGAATGCCAGAAGATATGCCAGATAGAATGCCAGAAGATTTGCCAGTAACAAAACGTATAGATGTCATGGTGGGGATAACTCGAAGTAAAGTAATTGTCATGATTTCATAGGAGAAAACATCCAACCGTTACCATTTTGGCTCAAGCACTTGGGAGCGGATTTTGTTGCCCAGTTTTTCCCTTTCTTCCAAACCAATCCATTCTTTTCGCTCGCTCCCGGTTGAGTTTTGTCTTCGATCGAACGCCATGGACACCCCCATCAAATCACCAGCTCAGAAGAAGATGAAGGCATACGGAGAAGAAGAAGAAATGGAAGAAACAGATGATGTTCAGGTAGTTGATGTTCGTAGAAATGGAGACCAACAATTGCCCCATGAAGTCACCCTGCAAGCAATCGCCAGCCTCCTTGATCAGAAGTTAGACCCTGTGCACAAACTGGCAAAAGAACTCAGCGATGACCTAAGCAGATTCAAAACCTCAGTCAGGGAAGAATTCCGAAGCATGGGCCTCAGAGTTTCCAACATAGAGGGGGTAATTATAAGGTAGAGACTTGTTCCAAAATTGCCGAGCTTGAAAGGAAGTCGCCAACATCAGGCTCTCCGCCAGCACCAGTGGCAGCACCCCACCACCAAACCCAACCCAATTGACAATCACAGCAACATCGTGGTAGGTAACATCCCTGGAGAAGCAACGTTTGAGACAGCAAAAGCGTGGCTGACCAAGCATTGCCAGAGTTATCGAATCGCACCTCCATATGCAGGCTTGATCTTTGCAAAATGTGTCAGTCCAACCCAGCGGGACTCCATCCTGTCATCCATTAGGACTTTGCACAGCTCAGCCCACCCTGACTTCATGGCCGACTGAAGCGGCCAAACACCATAAATGATGGTAAGGATCAGGGAATTCAGGAACATTTTACTGCAAAATTGCTGATTTCCAGTTTGGTTTATATACTCTGAGTTGCCCAGATGTTCGAACTCAAAGGAAGGCCGGGCTTGTACTACCAGGCATTCTTTGGATTTTTGGTGACTCGAAATCAGCATACTTTGGCCTGTCGCAGGTGGAATCCACACTCAAGTGCTGGCCGATTCTCAAGATTTTCGCGAAATCAAATGGGCCCACGTCCATTGCCGGCATCAAATCCATCTGTTTGTGCCGGAAAAAACCATGACTTTTACATTGAATCATTGTGGCGTCTTGGTAGGAGCAGTTCATGCTGATGCAGCAGCGGCACAAGCTGCAGAAAGACACGCAACTGGAGGCGCGACATGGCGCGACTGACTGATGGCTTGATGGTCCATCATTGTATACACAAGCTTGTACAAATGCTGGGATTGTCCATATAAAGGGTACTGGAGTACAAACTCATCCCTAGTCATATGAAGGCTTGCCATGGGACATGGGGCTGTCATCGGATGTCCCCATTCGATTGCAATCTTCGAAATCCCTGCAGCAACTTAATTTTCGTATAGCCGTTGAAGCGGGGAAGCTTGGCCGAGGGTTGGACTTTTGTTATTTTGCCAATTTTTGATGGATGTTTAAGCGCCACATAGGGAGTTCATTCACTAAAATAGCTACTTGGCCATACTTGGCCAATAGAAACTGGGCCAAAACAATTAGTGAATGGCTGACAAGAATTGGCTTAGACGGGGCGGGTGTTGGGCCTGGTGGTCGTCAACGAAACTAAAACTCATTATAGCAAAATGTTGTTTCAAACATTTGCCCATGTATATATAGTATATAATATTTGTTGCACAATCCATGATATTGGATTATGATATATATATGTATATATATATATACATAGTCTATAATGTCACATGGTCGCTTTCCTATTTTTTCCAGCCCTTTTTGGGATGAACATATTTTCGTTCGGGAGTTGTTTCAGCAGGCAGTTCCCAGCAGTGATTTTTTGGGGAAGATCTCCCAATTTGATGCTTTATCATCATGGAAATCCCATGAAAATTCATGGATTTAGCAGATTTATCATCATTTTCCCTATGAACATTTCCATCTTTATGGTTTTTAAAACTCCAACCTGAGCCTCTGTGCTGGCAGAAGCGGTGCAAGAATGATCAGAACATTGCCATTTTTCTTATGTACCCCGTTTTCAGGCAGACCCCCAAAAAGTATAATGAAGGGACCCCTGGGATCATCATGAAGCAGACTGTCCGTTGGCTGAAAAAAATCAGCCCAATGTTTTTTGGGGTCAAATGCACTGCTTTTTTTTTCTCTAGAATGCAGAATAATGGTGATAAAAACAGGTATCGAACATATAAACCACAATGATATTGGGGTATGACAGAATTATATAAATCCCTGAATACACCAGAAACCCGATTTATTTGTCCAACAAGCACAGCCAAAACGAGGTGAGAAATACCAAGTACAACATGAGCAGGTCGTGTGGTCAGCTGGGGATGAGCTTGGGCCACCAATTCCCAGAAGTTTCTCTTACAATTGGTTGAAGGGAACACATTGCTGGTTTCAGCCCCTAGTTCTTGGTATTTGTTCGGTTTTTTGTTTTTTTCCCAGCATAATCATTCAATGGATCACGCGCTTGCAGTCCTGTGATCATGGCTGAGGATGTAAAAGCCAGGTGTGCCAAATTCCACACTGTTTTTTTCGTTGGGTGTACTGTACCCCGTCTAGAAGACAAGCAAAAGAACATGATAGGTGCATGATAGTGATAATTCCAGTACAGTGAATGGTCCACGGAATTTTACGAAAATCTACAGGATGGTGCCCCAAGTTGGTTTATAAACCCCATTAACTGTAGTTATCTATAGTTATATCTACTATAAACCTATATATACATATATATATATATATCTCTCTCTCTCTCTCTCTTTCTCTCTCTCTCTCTCACTCTCTCTCTCTCTCTCTCTCCCTCTCTCTTAGTTTTCCTTGATTTTGAGTCTCGAAAGTTGTGAGTTCCACGAAAAAAACTTTCCAGGATCCAAGAGAGCTGGCTCAAGATCATGCGCTCTGCCAAGACGAAACAGTTGAAAAAGCAGGTGTGGCTCCGGGGGAGAACTTCTGAAATGATGTTTTTGTTTTTTTGAAACCAGGAAGATCTGTACATCGTGGACTTGCAATTTTCCATTGCCATGGTTGATTACTAGCAATGCATCGTTAAATGCAACAAAATCAGCTAGTTGATCTGTGGTTCCATTAACCTCTACTTACTGGTGCTTAGTAGGAATGGATGAGAATGGGGGAATGGGATGATTATTAATAGTTATTGTGGATCATTCCCTCATTCCCTACTAAGCACAAGTAAGTCTAAGTTTGACTCATCCCCGTGTAGTTGGGTAGCGGAGGAATTGACCAAGAAATACTGTGGATGTTTACCATGTTTACCAACTGAAAAGGGGTGCTCTCAGAATGAGGAACCACATTCCCCCTCCATATTTTCCTGTAGATACAGATGGTTAAACACTATGGAATTTGGAATTTCAATCGAATCCACCCTTTGAAGGGACAGTTCCGAGCCCCTACAACCGCCCCAAATCAGTGTAGGCTTAGGGTCAAAATGCGCCAGGCACCAGGTAAGCAGCGATGTTCACTAATCTCAGGGTCTCTAGGTCTTCAAATCTCGTAGACATAGCAAGAATCATCCAAAAAATTAACTGAATATTTTACTTGGGTATTTTCCAGTTGCCAGGCTGGCCAGGGTTCAAAAATCGACCGCCAGCACGGCGCTTTTTAAAAAGGGCCAGCAGAGCCCAGGTGGAAATCATTTCTCAGAACCACGAGCGAGATGTAGACCGTGAGAAACTCAGCAGTGCCTGCGTGAAAAACAACCTAATGGTATGATGATTTATTGGGGTTATGCCAGTTATGCCACCCAATATTTTGGGGATTGTCATGCTCATTCATGCTCCATGGAGTTGCTACTTGGGGGAATCTGTCATGTTTACTTCCCCTCCTACCACAACATGATTGTTGCCCTCCGGTACAGCACTCAAACATGGCAATGAACAATCCCCCATATATAGTCATGGCTGATTTTCCAAATACACCCCCAAATTTAAAGGAATTTTGACATTTACATGCCTCTTTAGTTCGGGATTTCCCAGCGGCAGCTAGCCACGTTTGATGACACCGAAGCCTAGGGTGCAACTTTCCAAGGCCAAGATAGCCATCGTCAGCTGAACGCTGTGTCAAAATCTGCTGATTTGTTGTCTGCCTGCGTTACCTCTTTTTAAAGGCGAAGTCAAGAAAGCATATGTTTATTCTCCCCATGTTCTAATTTTTTCCATATCAGTCATAAGAGGTCCTACATATGTATAATTCATTGTTTAAGATATTATTCATGGTTGCTATCTCCACTATCTCCACTTTCTCACAGATTGGGGCCCCCTCCCCGAGTCTTCGGACTTTTGCCACAGTCTCCCACATATTGGTGAAATATGTAAGACATATCCAATTCCATACCCTCATATCAGGTTTGTTTTTGGAACCCTTTTCTATCCCAGTACGACCCATTTGATGTAGGGGTATGTATATATATATAATATGATATATATAATATGATATATATATAATATGATATATATATATAGTATTATATATATAATATGATATATATAATATGATATATATATATTATATGATATATATATATATTATATGATATATATATATATAATATGATATATATATATAATATGATATATATATATATGCATTTATCCATTTAATATTTTTATTTCCTTTTGTTTTTATCTCTCTCTACATATATATATATACACATCATAATTTCATGTAATTTCTCTTTCTCTGTCTTTCTCTCTCTCTCTCTGTGTACATGTATATATATATACATACGTACATATACATTCATATAATCTCTATGACTTGTATCCCTGGTAAAAAACAAACAAACAAACAAACAAACAAACTGACAAACTGACAAACTGACAAACTGACAAACTGACAAACTGACAAACTGTAGGCTGATCTCTCCCTGAGGCAAGGATGCGATCCTCCAAATGTTAGATCGAGATCTGGATGAAGCGGAGGTGCCACAAAGGGTCTGAAAACGGACCAGGACCCTTTTGGGAAATTCGCAGGCATATATTTAGGGGTAAAAAAACATGGTTTCCTCTAAATGTTTTGGAGAAAATTGATGATCAAAAAGTGGAATTGCTAGCCATTTTGATTGCGTTCGTCTTGAAATCGGGCACCCCAAACTCTACTGGTACGACATCATGGATCCCCAATCACATGGCACCTTTTTGGTATTCCCAGTTAGACACGCCTGTTTTGAATATAGCTGTGACTCAACATTTTGGGTGCCTCCAAAATTACCCGGTTGATCATGATGGTCCCCATCAAAAAAAAACAAGTTCTTCGGGTAGACCCTATTTCATTTTGGTTCATTGTTCTTGATTACCCTCTGGTTATTTAACGTGGCCATGGAAAATGGCCCATTTATAGATGGTTTACCTATTAAAGATGGTGATTTTCCATGGCTATGTTAAATAACCAGATGGTACCAGTTTTGGTTGGCACTATGAACCCCCATGACACCCCAATATATATATATATATATATGTAAATCCAATAATAAACCATCCCATTGACCTTATCCCTACTCATAACATATATATATATATACATATCCCATTATGGCATTGGCTTTATCACATTATTCTGGTTACATACCCATACTAATACTATTACCATGTTTATTCTTATGGTTATATACCCTATCGCAGTTATCCTACTATTGGTTTACTTGTATTATACACCCAAGTTTGGTAAACACATATATACATATACATAGCCAACTTGGCCAGGAGCAGCATCAAGTAGCTGTGCGGAGTCATCTGCTGAATGTGGACCGCTTGCACGAGATCCAGCAGAGTAGGCCGATGGGCCGATGGCCAATCCATCCCCATGTGAGCCGATGGCTTTGGCAAACAGGGGATGTTTGGAGCCCAATTTGAACAGCCCTTAAATGTATGCATGCATACATATTGCATATATATATATATAACTATATATATATACATATGTATATAAATATTGCATATATATATATACATATGTATATATATATACACACACACACGTATTTCTATGTTATGTGTATATATATAATTGTCTTATATATATATATACACACACCATCTGAATAGATGTAATACTTCTGCATTTAGCAGGGGGCCGCTGGGGAACATTGCAGTCAGCGGCCAACGAAGACGCTGTGAGAACGTACCTGCTTCATTATATACATATAGTCCTGCCCCTGGGCGCATATAAGACGCAGCTGGGACGTTTACTTAATCGCTCTTGGTTTATACTGTCATTGTCTCCTATGATTTTTAACATATATATATATAATATATATAATTTATATCTAATATATCTAATATATCTAATATACCGTGTGTTTTTTGTTCTTGGCGTTCCAATTGCACTTCACAATTGGAGATCCGCAGTCTTGGCGTTCCAGTTCGATCCTCCACCGGTCCGGCCCAGGGGGTTCTTAAAATTGGGGATCTCCAATAGCTGGATGGAAAACAGCATGGAAAACCCTATCAACATTGGCTGTTTTAGAAAATGGTACCCCCATTTTAGGAAACCTTCATATGTATATATATATATGTACAGAAATCGACATGTCTTTGCATATGCAAGTATCTGTAAAGGTGTGTGATTGAATATGTGTACATCGTTGCCTTGCATTACGTTGAATTTCGTTGCTCACATTGGATGGCATTGCAGTATGCTCCATGGTAGCAGATGAACATGGAGGTGTATATACACAACATAATTACATGTAGATATTTAAACACTGTGAATATGCGGTACTCTTAGGTATGAATGGGCGCGGTGCCAAATATATCCACAATTATATATACACATACACACATACGCACCCATATAGACTCAGATACCTCTACCTAGACATATACAGATACCTATACGTGTACATATACATGGACATATTTTTACATGTGCATATACATAGACATACACGTACATCTTTTTACATATGGGCCCACATGTAAAGAAAAAACATAACGAAAAAGTCCGTGCATATATACATATGTAAATATATTATTTACATATTTATACGTATACATATATATGTATATATACATATTTACATATATACATATATACATATATACATATATACATATATACATACATACATATATACATATATACATATATGTATGTATAAATATATATATATATACATACATATACATATACATATATGTATGTATAAACATATATATATATATACATATTGCTACATACACATATATACATATATATATACACATAAATATCCCGCCGGGGCGGGAATGGAACGTGTAGGCGTTAGCAATTCACTTCTCGGCACATTTGAGCAACACTGGGATTTACCAGTGATTTTGTCTCTGGCGATGATGAAAAATGTCTAATTCTGGTTAAGTTTTCTGTTTTTTGTGTGTTTTACCTCAGCGACAAGCAATTTTTGTCAAAATGCCGTGACCTCCACGGATGCATCTCTAGGATCCGATGTGCCTATTTCCACAGCCGCGTGCGTTTTTTACTCGCTGACTTGTCTTGCCTACAACTTGGCCACTTGAGTGCCACACAGTTGAAACAATGTAGTGCCACACACTTGAATGCCACACAGCATGAAGTGCAAGTGAAGATCATGTAGCGTAGCATGACGTATGTGTGGAAGTGCAAGAGAACGTGCAGCAGCGTAGCATGACGTATGTGTGGAAGTGCAAGAGAACATAAGAGAACGTACTATGTGGTTGCAGTCGCAATGAACGTTAACATCCCACCCCACCCCACCCCACCCCCAAGTGATGCAAGTGAAGATCATGTAGCGTAGCATGAAGTACAAGTGAAGATCATGTAGCGTAGCATGACGTATGTGTGGAAGTGCAAGAGAACGTGCAGCAGCGTAGCATGACGTTTGTGTGGAAGTGCAAGAGAACATAAGAGAACGTACTATGTGGTTGCAGTCGCAATGAACGTTAACATCCCACCCCACCCCCCCACCCCCAGCCAAGTGAAGATCATGTAGCGTCCACCGTAGCCCCCATGCAATAAAGATGATGAAAGATGCAAGTGAAGATCATGTAGCGTAGCATGAAGTGCAAGTGAAGATCATGTAGCGTAGCATGACGTATGTGTGGAAGTGCAAGAGAACGTGCAGCAGCGTAGCATGACGTATGTGTGGAAGTGCAAGAGAACATAAGAGAACGTACTATGTGGTTGCAGTCGCAATGAACGTTAACATCCCACCCCACCCCACCCCACCCCCAAGTGATGCAAGTGAAGATCATGTAGCGTAGCATGAAGTACAAGTGAAGATCATGTAGCGTAGCATGACGTATGCGTGGAAGTGCAAGAGAACGTGCAGCAGCGTAGCATGACGTATGTGTGGAAGTGCAAGAGAACATAAGAGAACGTACTATGTGGTTGCAGTCGCAATGAACGTTAACATCCCACCCCACCCCACCCCACCCCACCCCCAACTTTCTCAAATGAGCACGACTACACGTACGGTTTCTGACCCGGTGGCATAAATATGTATATATATATATATACATATAAATCAATACATATGTGTATATATATATACATATACATACATACATACATATATATATACACCTACGTACATATATACATACATGCTTGCTTGCATGCATGCATGCATACATCCATACATACATCCATACATACATACATACCTACCTACCTACCTACATACATACACACACATACATACATACATACCTACATACCTACATACATACATACATAGATACATACACACATACACACACATACACACATACACACATACACACATAAACACATAAACACATACACACATACATACATGTATACATGTACACATGCATATAGATATCCGCTAGCATATACATGTACATATACATATAGACGTGCCTGTAGATATGCACGTACCAGTAGATATACACATGCAGATGCATATACACGACATTCATACATACATGCATGCAATATTTTTCTTTTTACATACTGTATATTTTCTCATCAATCTGTCTATCGATCTGTTTACCTCTTTGTCTATCCGGGTATATCCATATCTATATCTGCATATCCATACACCCGCATGGATCCTTCAAAACCATTCAAATCCTCTGCTTGAGGATCGTTTTTGTTAGTAAGAGGTTATCCTGGCTAATAAACCTTCTCGGTTATCCCATGTATAATTGGGATATAACGCCACAATCATCAACCTGTTCCTAAATGGTATAAATCTCCAAACCAAGTTGACTGTATATCCCATCATATCCTCAGTATGTCATTATTAAAGGGCTACGCCCTCTGCCGCCGACCCCTGGACACTGGAGGGTCATGCCTGCCTCTGTGTCGTAAGCATGAAATGAACTCTAAAGAAACCAGAAACTGACTTAAACAAACCATTTGTATGAAAGTTGAAATCAAAGAACCTACAAGAAAACTAGCTGTCTGAGCTGTCTTCCTGCCGCCAAAAGCCTCACAAACGGCGCCTTCACCACACCAAAACAGCAGGGCCCTGAGGGACGGACCGGGCCTGCGGGCCACGGCTCTCACTGCCTAACGTTGCTTTCGGAACCTACAAGAAAACTAGCTCTCTGAGCTGTCTTCCAGCCGCCTGCCTAACGTTGCTTTCTGAATCGACAAGAAAACTAGCTCTCTGACCTGTCTTCCAGCCTAGTGCCTAACGTTGCTGTCTGAAACCAGAAGATCTCCTGGAAAGCGCCCGGCAGGTCGCCAAAGGACACGCTGCTGGGCCGCCAAGGGCGCCGGGAGACGTTTCGGTGCAGCCGAGTGCCTAACGTTGCTTTCTGAAACCAGAAGAAAATCTCCTGGAAAGCGCCCGGCAGGTCGCCAAAGGACACGCTGCTGGGCCGCCAAGGGTGCCGGGACACGTTTCGGTGCAGCCTAGTGCCTAACGTTGCTGTCTGAAACCAGAAGAAAATCTGCTGGAAAGCGCCCGGCAGGTCGCCAAAGGACACGCTGCTGGGCCGCCAAGGGCGGCGGGAGACGTTTCGGTGCAGCCTAGTGCCTAACGTTGCTTTCTGAAACCAGAAGAGAATCTCCTGGAAAGCGCCCGGCAGGTCGCCAAAGAACACGCTGCTGGGCCGCCAAGGGCGCCCAAACACGTTTTGGTGCAGCCTAGTGCCTAACGTTGCTTTCTGAAACCAGAAGAAAATCTCCAGGAAAGCGCCCGGCAGGTGGCCAAAAGACACGCTGCTGGGCCGCCAAGGGCCCCGGGACACGTTTCGGTGCAACCTAGTGCCTAACGTTGCTTTCTGAAACCAGAAGAAGGGTCTCCTGAAAAGCGCCCGGCAGGTGGCCAAAAGACACGCTGCTGGGCCGCCAAGGGCGCCGGGACACGTTTCGGTGCAACCTAGTGCCTAACGTTGCTTTCTGAAACCAGAAGAAAATAGAGAAAATCTCCAGGACAGCGATCGGCAGGTGGCCAAAAGACACGCTGCTGGGCCGTAAGGGCGCCCGGGAGACGTTTCGGTGCAGCCTAGTGCCTAACGTTGCTTTCTGAAACCAGAAGAACATCTCCAGGAAAGCGCCCGGCAGGTGGCCAAAAGACACGCTGCTGGGCCGCCAAGGGCGCCGGGACACGTTTCGGTGCAACCTAGTGCCTAACGTTGCTTTCTGAAATCAGAAGAAAATCTCCAGGAAAGCGCCCGGCAGGTGGCCAAAAGACACGCTGCTGGGCCGCCAAGGGCCCCGGGACACGTTTCGGTGCAACCTAGTGCCTAACGTTGCTGTCTGAAACCAGAAGAAAATCTCCAGGAAAGCGCCCGGCAGGTGGCCAAAAGACACGCTGCTGGGCCGCCAAGGGCGCCGGGACACGTTTCGGTGCAGCCGAGTGCCTAACGTTGCTTTCTGAAACCAGAAGAAAATCTCCAGGACAGCGATCGGCAGGTGGCCAAAAGACACGCTGCTGGGCCGCCAAGGGCCCCGGGACACGTTTCGGTGCAACCTGGTGCCTAACGTTGCTTTCTGAAACCAGAAGAAAATCTCCAGGAAAGCGCCCGGCAGGTGGCCAAAAGACACGCTGCTGGGCCGCCAAGGGCGCCGGGACACGTTTCGGCGCAACCTAGTGCGTAACGTTGCTTTCTGAAACCAGAAGAAAATCTCCAGGACAGCGATCGGCAGGTGGCCAAAAGACACGCTGCTGGGCCGCCAAGGGCCCCGGGACACGTTTCGGTGCAACCTAGTGCCTAACGTTGCTTTCTGAAGCCAGAAGAAAATCTCCAGGACAGCGATCGGCAGGTGGCCATGCTGGGCCGCCAAGGGCCCCGGGACACGTTTCGGTGCAACCTAGTGCCTAACGTTGCTTTCTGAAACCAGAAGAAAATCTCCAGGAAAGCGCCCGGCAGGTGGCCAAAAGACACGCTGCTGGGCCGCCAAGGGCCCCGGGACACGTTTCGGTGCAACCTAGTGCCTAACGTTGCTGTCTGAAACCAGAAGAAAATCTCCAGGAAAGCGCCCGGCAGGTGGCCAAAAGACACGCTGCTGGGCCGCCAAGGGCGCCGGGACACGTTTCGGTGCAACCTAGTGCCTAACGTTGCTTTCTGAAACCAGAAGAAAATATAGAAAATCTCCAGGTTTCGGTGCAGCCTAGTGCCTAATACGTTGCTTTCTGAAACCAGAAGAAAATCTCCTGGAAAGCGCCCGGCAGGTCGCCAAAGAACACGCTGCTGGGCCGCCAAGGGCGCCGGGACACGTTTCGGTGCAACCTAGTGCCTAACGTTGCTTTCTGAAACCAGAAGCAAATCTCCAGGAAAGCGCCCGGCAGGTGGCCAAGGGCGCGGGGAGACGTTTAGGGGCAGCCTAGTGCCTAACGTTGCTTTCTGAAACCAGAAGAAAATCTCCAGGAAAGCGCCCGGCAGGTGGCCAAGGGCGCCAAGGGCGCGGGAGACGTTTAGGGGCAGCCTAGTGCCTAACGTTGCTTTCTGAAACCAGAAGAAAATCTCCAGGAAAGCGTGGCAAGGGCGCCGCGAGGCCTTTGGAGGCAGGCTAGTGCCTAACGTTGCTTTCTGAAGCCACTAGAAAAGCTCTTGGAAAGCGCCCAGAATCCTGGAAAAGCTTTTTCTCGGGCGCGCTCCCCCTGCAGATTGCTGGGGTCGGCGGATTAAACCCCCAATCCATTCAAATTCCTTGTAAATCCACTGGTTAATCATTATTTTCCTGGAAAAACACTGCAGTTTTGGTGTCATATCCAACATTTTCAGATTCAAATCCCCAGAACATCACCAAAACCCTAGTAATTTCATAGTTTGCCTGGAAAATCAGGATTTTTGCTCATTTTCAATAGGTAACTCAACCAATTTATGGATATTTCTCGGCCATCCCGTTGCCAGACTCTTGGCCTTGGACGAGAAGTTCAAACACGACGTCGCCACTCTGCAGGAGGCGAGGTCGAGCGAAAAACATGAGGGGAACATGGTGGAGAAACGTGGAAACAACCTGAAGAAAGATTGGAGTTTTGCATGACAGAGACATAATATATATATATACATGTATATATATATTATAATTCAATATGTATGTATATATATATACATATGTATATAGCAGGACTTGGATTTGGATTTTTTTCTATGTGACTTTTGGGGATTTACGTCCAAGACTTGACAGATGGCTGCCGTCGGAGATTCCATAGACTGGCTAAGTCTCAAAGGGTAAATCCGAAAAAACACATCCCATTATTAATCACTAGTTTATAGATATTAGATGAACATGGTTAAATAATTATCAATAAATGGATATTAATCACAATTAGATGGATATTAATTATTTATATCATCCCATTGTTAATCACTGTAGATAGACATTCTTATTAATCACTAAAACATATCTATGATGTGGGTAAAACAGTGAAACAGAAACCATCCCCCAGTGATCACCATTTTTATAGGCTGGTATGTTTTTATCATTTTTAACCCTTCCCAGTCATGGCTTGTTTATGATTGTTTTACCCACATTACCCTCTGGTAAACTAACGTAACTATGGAAAATCACAATTTTTAATGGGAAAACACTAAAAATGGCCATTTTCAATAGCTACGTTAAATTACCAGAGGGTACCCACATTACTTATATACAAGTGTTCAAGATTTGTCAACTTATGGAAACTTTGTCGAGCCACATCCGGGCGCCAGGAGTTCAGAATTGAACGCGAGCACATCCAGGTGGAATTCAGTGCATTTCCGATTCAAACAATGGGCGAAACCATGGGGTAGATGGGAAGGCCCCTTTTGACACAGCTTTTTGTTGGTTTGTTGAATCCAGATTCCAAGACGGCCGTCCATTTGGCCAGAAACTCTTCCAGTTTTCATCTTGAAGCATGTGGGGGATGCCTAAAATGAGGATACCTCAATAGCTGGATGGTTTATTTCATGGAAAATCCTATAAAAAAATGGATGATTTGGACCACAGATTTTGGTCCAGTTTTTCCCATGCTGAAACCCATGGGAAGATGATCTATGTTTGATCGTTACATCCTATTTTTAATAGTTGAATCCTATGTTCGGCGGTTAAATCATGTTAATTTCATATTTTTTGGTGCTTGGCGGTAAATCAAGTTAACCCCCAATAACATGGCTCTAAAAAGACTTACGTTGCTTTTTTAAAGGCCCCGCGACACTTTTTTTGCAACAGGAGCGACACGCTTTAGAGAAGCGAGAACTCGCCTTGATCGTGGAACAAGTAGAGTGGCCTGGCTGGCATCCCAGTCACCATCCCCAATGACCCATTTTTGTGGCTGATTTTTATACATTTCTATACCACAACATGGGTGGTTTATCGTAAAGCTTTACGAACACGACGATATTATACGATATACCTTAGGCTTCCAAAACCTGGAAAAAACCAGGACTTGAAGTAAGAACCTGCAAATTTATCAAGATGGCGAAATAACCTGCATATCAACACAAAAAGTTGGATATCCTACTTTTCCTTCCTGAAGGATGATTTGCATTGCAATCCACTGCCTTAATCCCATCCGTTCCCGCTCAAGTCTCACACATGAGACTATTTTTTCTTTGGCGGCATGTCCCGCCCCTGATCCATGCCACGTTGGGACACTCAGTTCTCAGTGGATCCTGGCAAAGCGGGGCGATGTTGAAACCAATGCACTCATGTATGATCTCAGCGAGACAACCTTCATGTTTTATAGGTGTTTGGGCTCAGCTGATTTGGAAAGGGTTGAGCGAAAGCCATGGGGGATGCCTTCGATTTGACCGACTTATCAAAGGCTTGGGATGAGGTGGAATCAATTCGTGATGGCCTTCGAAAAGGCAACACGTTGCTAAAGGTGTCCAAGAATGGGTGTGACTCATCAATCCAGGAATGCAAACAGAACTTCGAAGTTCTGACACCGCTTCTGCACAGGTTCTTTGCTTGCAGGCTTAAGCTGCCCGAGATCCGACCCCTTAGAGTTGAGATTGAAGATACTTACACCAAGGCGAACCGGGATGTGGCAGAAAGCCAAGTAGATGACGATGCATGGGACCTTAGGACTATGTTGAGATTCATCAAACGCAAGGCAAACCGATCTGATGTTTCAAAAGATTCTCAGCATTTAGATCAGCAAAGGTTTGGTTTTTTAATGTTTGGGTCTACTTCCCGAAAGTTAGGGTGTACGGTACAATAGAAAGCAATTTACTTTATCGAAGTTGCGGCTTCCAAGGACCATGACTTCCAAGACATGGTTTTAATCCTCAGACCAGAACTTGAGGCTGGGCTGCAAAATTTGTAGTGGTACAATTCGATTTTTCAACATTTTGAAGAAGATCAGTAAGCAAACAAGTCACCTCAAAAAAACCAATGGCCTTGCAGGCAGAGGTGCTTGAGATTCGTCGCAAAGAAGAGAAGAAGCAATCAGTGGAATCACTTGAGGACCCAAATTCATTTTTTTCTGGTCTAGAAAGCTTTCCCACAACCATGATTCAGAATTTCTTTCTGGTCTGGACTTTCTTCCATATGAACGGAGATACGCTAAAACAAATTTCATTACAGTAAGTTACTTACAATTTTCATTACATGCGTGACAGCTTTGCAATTCATGCTGATATCAATGGTACCAATGTTGAAGAAGTTTCCTTTTATTCTCTGACAGTCGTGGGCCCAATCTCCAGGACACCGACGAAGATGTTTCCGATTCTGAGGCAGAACCGGCGCCCCTTGAAAATGTTGAGCCTGCCCCACTACCATCTTCGGGGTCGCAACCAGTTGTTCCAACAGGATCCAAGGGTGATCATTCCTGTGCCCCTCCAACAGCCACTGAACCCACTCCGGGTCCTGCACCAGCAGCCGATCCACCGGCGAAGCCATCTGTGGCGGGAGAACCTGCCACAGAACCGGGTGCTGAGGCGAAGGTGGACAAGGAAACACGTGCCTAGATAATAGATTAATATGGTTTCTATTGGTGATACTTGCTAGCTTTGGTTTGGGGATGTTTGGCAACACTGACTCCAAGACCCCCGGTTTATTTTAATTTATTAATATTAGATTTCAAAAACTCTACAACTTAGGTGCTGGTCAAAAAGCATTTGCTCGTAAAGTTCTTCTCGAGAAGCTGCACAAGATGAAGGAACAACTTGCAGAGACACTAGACGACATATTGCACATATTTTGTGATCTGATCGCTCTGTTCAAAATCCAATTTCACCAGGTTCAACGAGATGTACTTAGTCCGTAAACATGCAAGCATGCCCAACGAACCATGGTTCATTCATTACATACAGTGCCCCTTGGCTGCCCAAGGATCCATGCAAAGAAAGTTGCTCCGAAAGCAGGTCGTGGGGATCATGTGGCCAAGGATTTGGGTCCAGACTTTGACAAGGCAATGAAGATTCCAGGAAAGGGTTTGGGTCTTCATATAACATGTGTTTTCCCCGGAAAGATCATCGAAATAATATGGTAGAATACGTATGTTATAATATGTTTTAATTTTTGGCCCTTGACGTCATGGGTAAACAGAATAGCTCCACAACATACGACTGCCATGTGCAATAGGAGACACGTCATCACCATCATCTTTACCAACCATTGCTACCGACAATGTGGATACACAGCCCGTGGATGTGATGGAGCTTCCCGTTCCTGCTGCTACTCCATCAAAACCTGTTTCCTCCGATGATGTGACCCGTAAGAGGCGAAAGTACCAGAACCTTGAAACTGTTTCAAAGTTGGGGACTACGTTGATTTTGGGTGAGGGCAACAAGAACAGCCCTGAATCTAGTGAGTCAACACACACCCCATCATCTACCAGTGCCCAGAAGAGTATCACCACTACTTCTGGTGGAAGACCTGCTGATGAAGTTACCCCAGATGCCAATGATTCTGCAATTCCCAAACCCAGACGTCGTCGGGTGAACAAATCCAAAGAGCCACCACCAGTCCCAGAGGGTTGGTGGGACGACAATTGCGAAGATGACCCAGAGCCAGCAGAGTCCGAGCCTTGTGAAGTTGCCGATGCCGATGATGAAGCAGCTAGCAAGGTCCTGCATTCAGAAAGTAAACACACACCAGCTTTCTTTCAGAACGTAAACACACCCTATGTTTTGCTCCTATATTGTTCGTGTTTATAAACGATAGGGATGCCGGGATGCCTAAGCAATCAATGGCCTTCTCATAGATCCTATCCCTGCACAGGTTGTGACACGCAGAGATCAACTCAGCTTGAAGAGGCCGCCCCAGAGTGCCCGTGGCAAAGGACGTGGCAAAGGACGTAGCAAAGGACGTGGCCGTGGGAAGGGTGTGAGTGGTTCCAAGCCGAAGGGCCCCAAGCGCAAAGTCACCAAATCCAAGGCTGTGAAGAGAAAACGTGATGTTGAGGATGAAGAGGTTTCAGACATTGACATGGAGGAAAACTATGATGATGGTAAGGATGAAGAGGGTAGTGAGATGAATGAGCATGCCCCCCCTCCACGTCGCCGTGCTGGAAAGGCCGAAGGAAAGACCAAGAACATCCAGAAGCATCAGAAGAAGGCCGCTCCGAAGGCCAAGGTGGACAAAGCTGCCAAACCCCGCAAAGGTGCTAGCAAACCCAAGAAATCCAAGAAGGCCCCATCTACGATGAAGGAGCCTGCAGTTCCCAAGAAGTCAAAGGCTTCAAAGGCATGTGGTTTGTATGTGATCAGAGATGATACTCCCATCCCTGAGCAAATGATGCAGTTCACCCAGATGATTGACACAACTCTTGACCTTGATTCTTTCAAGGAAGCTGTCCGTACTACCACTGGGAATTTGGGTCGGGGGAGCTTGAATGTCTATTGGTCCAAAAATACATGCGGGCTCAAGTGGCAGTTTGGCCGTGATAGCCGTGATATCACCACCTTTGCATTCCATCGTGCTTGCCCTGGTGAACCCCGTGTCAAACTGTTGATTGCAGTGGCTGCTGCGATTCACCTTGTAGCTTGACTGGGCTGCTGGATATATTTTCTAAATAGTTGTCTGTAGATTTTAAGACACCAAAAATTCTTAATGAAGTATCGAATTACAAACCCCTTTCGAATCCCTATTCATTCCTGACTTGAAGGCCCACATGATGACCGAGAAGCTGCCGAACTTAACAGAAGCGATGATCTCCGAAATGACTGAGGATCTAAAGGTACATGGCCGTCATGCGTTGATCCGACTCGCCAATGATGTTGATTGAGACACCTTTTTGAGTGTGCGAACTTGTGAATCCAGGATTCACTTGTGGTACAAATTTCAAAGAAGAAATGGTATTACGGGAAATCATCAATCAAAGCTTGTGTGGAGCCCCGCGCTTGAAACCTCAAGTGGGTAAACAGCCAGTAAAAAGCCAGAAACAATATTTAGTAATCATTAATATTAACCATTTGAATACCATTTGAATATTCCCATGGTAATCTATCAAAACTCTGGTTTATTTTCTTGATGTTCATTAGTGGTGCTACGTGGCATTGCTGCTGGCTGTGTGGGGTACTTGGGGAAGCGCCTAGCCTGTGTCAACCTGCACAAGGCCATAAGCTTCAATGCCGGGCCGTGGTGAAAAAAAGATGCATCGACATGAAGACTGTTGTATCTCAAGCATTGGCCTTTTAAAATCCACCATACCATCAAAATATGATCCTCTCCAAACATTCCTGAGAGTATTCACCCTGATCCCAAAAGTCCCAATCAGCCATCTCTCCAGCCCCGAGGCGCTCCTCATGTGTCACGCGCTCGCCGTGTGCGGAGGCGGATTTCCAAAAGCCGCAGTCGTCCTGCCATGTTTTTGGATGCCATGGGAAGTGAGGATTTCGCATTTTTTGATACCACTTTGGATGATATGTTACAAACACCTTTTTAGTTGGAGTTTTGTGGCTCAATCAAAGAAGGTGCTAGTTCCTGAAAACCAATGGAGACCAATTTGGATTGCCTTCTGTGGGCCCTTAGCCGCCTGGGTGTTTGCAGAGAATCTCAACTGCAATCTGCAATCGGTACAGCAATTTTGCCATTCTGTTTACATGTGTGTCCTTTGGGGTGTGGCACCACGAAGATAAAAATAATCAGGAATTCCTGTTCATCGTGGTCTTGATTTATTTCACGAAGGGCCTGTACACACTGGAAGAGGCAGGCTATGCAACATAGATGCAGTGTCTTTTGAATACAAATGAATCTAAAAACTTCCCAACTAAGACTGTTCCCCTTGCCTGTGCTACAGGAGTTCGAGTGGTTGGAATACTATGCCGGAAGGGCGGCATGCACCACCGCTATGCGGAGGGCTGGACATGTTGCTGCGAAATTTGATTTGCTCTACTTTGACCGTGCCAAGACCAAAAAATGTGGTAAAAATTCCAATTACTATGATCTGCTGACCCCCGCTGGGTTTGCGTTACTCGGATAAAATTTGGATTTCCTCACTGCTTGAAGGTGCCTAGATACTAGCACATCCGTAAAAGTATTTGGTACTGCCTATGTTTTTGTTTTGCCCAGAGTGCCCCACAACTTTCCACCGCTCCTTCTGCCAGGCTTGGCGTGGTCTACGCCATGAAGGGCCGTGCAGGGAATTTCCTGTCCTGGTTTGGCATCAAGTGTTCGACTTGGGTGAGCATTAATTGTGGGACCTCCAAAAGATCGGCATGCAGCAGTATAGGCGATGTTTCAAAGACGGCTACGAAATTTGGCAACATGATGCTTGAAAGGATTGGGGTGGTTCAAAGTCACAAGCCCCAACAATATCCATGTTTATATATGTTATACAATAATGATAATGATTCATCTGGCTTCATATTGTATGCATGGGGGATGGTTCCAACTGTATATTTGTTCCCTTGATCAGAAATTGGAGGACAATTTGCCTATTGGCCGTGGTAACAGCTTGCCACGGAGTATGGTGCCTGGAGCAGCCTGGGAGTTCAGTGATGGAATTCTATCCAACATGGCTCCACTTTATGAATGCCATGTACGAATTCTATGGTGAGTTTGCAGCTACCTATCTAAATTTTAAGTTCAAAGTATGCTTAATTCGACCGGTCTTCTTTGCAAGTATAACTTTATCTGGTATAATATAAAAGAAATCAGTCATTAGCCAAGGTTCGCCGAGTTGGATGGTGGATGTGTATGTATGGTGCTGGGAGCCCGAAGCGCCAATACGCATGGAGCAACGGGACGGCCATCACTAAACTTGACGTTGGTTGGAAGCGAATGAAAGCCACATTCGAGACAGCCCGCAAATACAGGGATAGTAAGGGAGTACTACGATACCATGGGACGAAGTCACTTCGTTCCACTGAGAATCTTGATCTCCAATTACTACTTGCACAATTATGTTTTTTCTTGGTCGACCCCCCTTTAGTTTTTTTGAAGGTTGTGAAACCAGCTTGATATGCAAATGATGCAAAACTAAGGCATTATCCAATGAAGTTTGGAGAGGCAATTGTGAAGCACCGCGGTGACTTGATAAACTCCCGTGTCCACCACTCATACCCATCGCCCGTTCCACCAGGTCCTGAAACAGTTTTGTCCACAAAGATGGATGAAGGCCTGTTCGCAGAGGCCGACTTTGGACCGGTGATTGATTACTTACGGTGTGGGAAGGGGTTGGAACTCCCTGATTACTGGGCGGCTGTTCTCCCGCCACCTTCTTCCGTATTTAGTCGCTGAAAGTGACTTCAAATTGCCGAAACTCTGGTGGAATCCTGCAATCTTCCTAGAATGGTCGAATCTCGAACTAGGCAATATACCGTATTCCCGGACGACATTGGGATCGGGCAGTTTTTAACTTATTTTGATGGTTCAAAAGTTGGGATATCCCATATTCTTCCCGGCAAATCCCATATTCTTCCCATCTGAACCCATATTTTACCCGTTCAAACCCCGTAAAAATCCCGACAATTCCAAAAACCAGGTTTTTGGCAACCCGTAATCAACCCATAAACATCCCATAATTTCCCATAAACATCCCGTAAAACCCCGTAATCAAAAGTTGGGATATTTATATGTGAGATTTGCAGGGATTTGCAAGGCACCGAGTCGACTTTTGTCGATCATTGGTATGCTTTTGGTGACCATTACCATTAGTCGAAATTCATTTGGCCGTGGTGTGCCCCACGGAACTGCTGACTTAAAGTCTACAGACTCGCATGTGGGGAAAAAAAACATGGCTCGGTGCCAACGCTGTGATTTATACACACTTCAAGTTTCTTGTTGGGCCATTGGATGACGCAAAGTGAAAAATTCAGTTGGAAGACACTCTGCCCAAGCGCCCCTGTGCTGATCAGTGCGGAGACATGTCTAAGCGTTGGTCTTGTGGTACTCTTGAAGAGGGGTACCAGCATGTGATGGCGGATGCCATGGCTGATATTGAGGATGACATCATGAAGCAAATACAGGATTCCAACCCGTGATAACATATGCAATTTTATTGTATGCATGGATGATATGCTGTCTGAAGCCACCTGTACTGCCCACAAGCCACAGGAGCTTCAGTTGGAGATCAATGAGCTGGATTCCGATGATGAAACGACTCCGGAAATCCTTGCCCAACCCGTCTGAATCTTAAACTCCACAGTTCGATGAAGTATGAAATAGCAACCAGTTTTGTAAAGAAAATATGTTGGATTTCTATCAACCCCCTTCAGCCCTTGTGGCATCGCCCGCTGGCCCCAGGCCTCTACTCCAGCGTCTGCACCTGATGGAACTTCCACGGAGGAACCCGACACACCAACTGGACCAGAGTTATCCAGTGGTTCTGAAGGTTTAGACCGAGTTCATGCCTCAAGATGGTGATGCTAAAGTGAACTTTTTTCACAAACGGAGTGGTATCTGAACATTATTCTCCCCTTTAATTGAATTTCCAGTATGCCACATCGGTCCCAGGTGGACACAGAGCTTCTTGAAGATCAACCCTGCAAGACCGATGGCTACATGCCGTGTACGGAAGGTGCAGATGTGGCTGCCTGAGAAACATTGCAATCTAACACCGGCGGACACATAACTTCCGTTTTGAATTTTGAATCGAAATAAGATGAACCAAGGGGTTGTACTTTGATGACTCATACTAAGGTGCTGGTGGATGATCTTTCTGTTCAACTTGCGCTGGCACTGGGGCCCGAGATCAAAACTGAGCAAATGGAACCTGACAGCCCTGCCAACAAAAAGTCTGATGATGGTAATGATGAGATGGCGCCCCCTGTTGAGAATGATGGTGACAAAGCATCAAATGGAAAGAAGAAGCGAGTTCTTACCCGACGAGATTCTTAAGTTGCAAAAAGCTAGAAAGTTTAAACGTGCTGAAACAGTTAGCTAGACATGTTACAACAGGCCACCTACCAGCAGACCCCAAACTCTATCAGCCGCAGCAACCGGCAGCTCAGGAACTTCTCATGAACGCTGCCAAGGCACGGATCCGAAGGATGGTGGCTCCAAAGTCCAAAAGAACTGACCTGTCGGTACCAGCATGGGTTGGCACGGAGTGGAACAAAGGAACCAAGGAAAAGGAGCAAATGGCCATTACCCTCCAAGAGGTGAACTTCGACAAGGTGGGGCCAAAATCAAAACCCAATTTCAATAACAAACTCGGCTGAATATGTTCAATTATAATCTACAGGATCTATTTTTAGTATATACTCTGTAAGCAGTGTCGCACACTAACACAAGATGAAGTTGCAGTGGTGTCTTATACTGTTATAGATCATTAAAACCCCTTCTTGCTCCCAGTTGAAGTTTGTGGATGAGATGCAGCGCATCATCACATCCCGGAAGAAGGTAAGCGTCAAGAAAGACCAGGGATGGTATAGTGAATCTGAGATGAAAACTGACCTCAAATGGCCTGCGTCCCTAGGCTCACATAAAACACATGGATGGGACACACAAATGTTGACACTGGTTTGGTACTTACAACATTATTCAACCTTGTTGCCTAGGACCCGCATCACTGCAGCAAAGACCTACTGCGGCGATTCTACTCGTGCTGAAACACATGTGAGGACACAGAGTTTGGGTGCTCAGGAACCCATGGTTAGGTTTCAACAAATTACCCCCGGGAATTGTAATTTTTTAGAGCTTGCAACAGATCATCATATATGTTATTGACAAATGCAAATGCATGCAAACAAATTATATCTATATAGATATGCTCGACCGCAGGAAGAACATGTATGACGGCATCACTGAGTACTGGGTGACGGTGCGTGAACGTGGGAGCTACGAGGAGGAGCACGAAATGTCCGAGATGCACAAGTCAACAAGCAAGGCTTGCTTCAAACGATAATTGTCGCTTTTCACTGGTTGAAGCTCAGTGTAATGGTAACTCCTTCTTTGGTAAGAATGGTAAGCAATGGTAATCATTTCAAGCTACAACTTGTTCTTGAGGCTGCTGGTCCGGTGAACTTGGAAGAGGGATGCTTTGATAAAATCAAAGCAGCCATGCCCTGTCAGCAGCCCGCCATTGCTGCTGACTCGAATGGTCAGAAGAAACCAGCAGAGTCCGAGGCAGCCACCGCCGATCAGGACTGCGGGGTTGGATTCAATATTTTATACAATTTCATTCGCCCTTTGACCATAACCCGGTCTCCCTCCAAGCTGGCCTCCAGAACCGGCAACATGTGAAGCGCTTCATGGATTCACTCCTGCGGCTTTCGACCAAATTGAAAAGCCTTCGTCGGGATATCCGGGACAACTACAAGGTTGAATCGACAGATCAGCCCTAGTCTTATACCACTTAACATGCATATGAAAGGCATCTTGAAACCCTGATATCGACGTTCAAGAATTCCGACCAATCTTGTTTACTATGCCTAGGTCACTGAAGATCTTGCAAGATCACATCACGCAAGTGGAGAGCCAGTACGATCTTCTCAACGAGGAGATGGCCAAGGGCGAAAACGCTGGATATGGGAAGGAGTCCATGTCTCAGACCAGTGGTCGTCTGTCAGGAATATATTTACTTCCCCAAACGATATCGGGCCCAAGTGTTTTTCTCTTGATGTCAGGTGGTGGAAATCAGCGCACCAGAAGATGAACGCAGCCACTTTTGTGTCTGAAACTCAGTAAATTGGATTTGATCTTTACTGGCTGAAATTGAAGCAAAGAAAAAAACACAGTGGACCCACAAATTAGAATGCTTTATTCTTGACTATTTCAAACATGCTATCCCATGTCAGCCCTACTCAACTCCAAGACATGGGCCCGTTTGAGGTCCTCTCGTGCCACTGCTGCAGAGCAGAAGGTGAAGCACTGGCCTCAGGTTCCGAGGAGATTGGAATGATCTTTTGAACAGCCAGTTCACCAATTCATTCAAGAATCGTTTCAACAGATTTCATGGTTTATGCTATCAGGAAATCGAAGCAGTTTTTCGACAAGAAGGAAGCTGGCAAAAACTCTGATAGCAAGAAACCTGATGCTTCCGATGCTACCAAGCCCGCCCGCAGAGTCCGCAGTGAGAACAAAAAACATAAGAAGAAATGAACATGTTTTCCAATGTTTTGGCAGAATGCCATGCCGTCTCTTCGAACTTCAGCCCTTGAAGGATGTGTTGGGCCAGTGTTTTGATTATTTTTGATTAAGAAACTATAGGATTTATGATGTCATAGGTTATGTGAATTTGACTTATATAATGCTTTCATTTTGTTTGGCCACCATTCCTTCAAATTCAAGTGAAGCGATCAGGCAGCCAAGTCCGGGTAGCCATGCCCATATCCAAGCTCTGCGCACTGCACTGCACTTTTGGCTTGGGACCTCATTCAACAGCCACACTGATACCAATCAAAACCGATGCAGTGTCAGAGCTTCAGCTGACTCTAACCACATACCATGTGTGGTCCTACTCAATATGTTTGGAAATTCCAAGCTCGAACATCCTTGGGGACCTGGGTGTTCGGAAAAAAAAGGATTGGTTGCAGTCTGCTTTCCCCAATCTTATCTCTACCCACAAGACTTGTCAGCTTAAAACCCGTGCACTTGCCAGGTGCCGGACGAGGATTGAAGAGCTTCGTCCAAGAAATAGGCCATGGTGTCCACAACTCAGCGCAGGGGCGGCACCGCCACAAACGAATGTCTTTCTTGACTGGGATTAGTTGACATATGCTAACACCTGACATGCACTTTCAATCCAATATTTCCATCAGAAAATCTTACGAAGTTAGTTTGGAGTAACCTGGATGTGATTGGACCAAGCCAACAACGTCTATTTAATTCTATTTATATCATAAATTTCTATATCAACCCCACTGGCCCACTGTTTTTATCATGTTTTATCTGTGTTTGTTTTTACAAGAAACCCTCTGGCCCTAAGGTGCCATGTGCTGTGGCAATCCGGACTGCAAAGGCCGTCGCGGAAGAGGTCCCAGAGGTTTCAAAGTCTAGTTTGGGGAGGCTAGCTGAAATGGGAGAAAAAAATTCAGAACGTGATGTACATAGATTGACCAAAAAATTCAAGCTCACCTTGCCGGTGCAGATGTCAACCTTTAAAGTTGGCCGGGAACAGATTCACTACATCAAAATGACTGCATGGGCACAATTCCTGCTCAGCCGAAACCTATGGCACCACCTTGCTGGACTTGATTCACCTGACATGGACAAATGTCAACAAACTTGGACTCTATTCTGGGAACGATTCAAAAAGATGAGACCCAGCCACGAAGTCTTTGGTCGCCCTGGTTTTGACTTTTCAAGATGCTGTGGATTGCTCTTGCACGGTGATGAAGGCCGTGGACTTCGCAAGTCAGCAGTGCTTGTGTTGGCAGCTCACAGCATTTTGGGATACGGAATACGGACAAGCCGAAAAAGCAACAAGGATGATGTTCACAAACTGAACTACTTGAAATCCACTTGGGTTACACGTTTCCTGCTGGGAATTTTGCCAAAGTCCATGTATTCCATGGATGAAAATGCTGGTCAAGATGATGAATGTGATGATGGTGGCTTCCAATCTGATGTTTATGAAGGTCTCCTGAATGTTGTTGCCAAAGACTTGCGACATCTTTTTGAACATGGCATTGTCAACCCGTTGGATGGGCAAAGGTATTTTTTCTGCATCGTGAACGTGATGGGCGATTGGCCCTTTATTCAACGTGCTGGGCATTTGGCCCGATCGTTTTACAATGCAGCCAAGCATGCTAGAGCCTCACAGACAACAATCCCCAAAGGGATTTGCCACAGGTGCTTGGCAGACCGTCCAGGATGTGTTTGGGAAGATTTTGAAAGCATTCCGCCACCATGGGAACCTTCCATGAACACTGAGTCGCCTTTCATTACTGAACCATGCTTGCTGCAATTGCCACATATGAGAAATGATCCTGCAGAGTTGTTCTCATGGGATTTATTCCACACATGGCACATTGGTTGTGGAAAGACATTCCTGGGTACAGCAATTATTGTTCTTGCTACAAGCTGCATTTTTGCAGGTGGTGTCGACAAACGACTGGAACTATTGACAGAACGCTTCCAGATTTGGCGTGACAGAATGAGACTGAAACCTCACATACGAAAACTTAGCAAGGAGAACCTCAGCTGGCCAACTACGACAAGCTACCCTTCAGGGGTTTGGTCAAAGGGGCACACAACACGTGTGTTGAACAAATGGTTCATTGCTGAGTGCAATGCGTATGCGGAGGAAGTTCGTTCAGACAGACTTTTGACCATTGCCTACCGATGCTCTGTTTCGATTGAAAAAATTTTGAAAGGGCTGTGCAGCTATGAGCTGTGGATACCGTCCGCAGCTGCCCTGGAAATCGCTGACTATGGACTAAATTTTTTGATGTGGTACGGGAGAGGGGCGAGAGAAGCCTTCCAAAACTCCAGGAGACTTTTTTTCATGATGCCAAACCTACACAGGCTGCACCACATTGCATGGGATCTGAAAGATGCTGCCAAAAAATTAGATTTTGTACCAAATCCTCTGGCTTGGTCGACCCAACCGTCAGAGGATTATATTGGAAGACCAAGCCGGATAAGCCGTAGGGTCAGTCCAAGGCTCCAAGTGCTTCGGACACTTCAACGTAGTTTGATTGCTGCACGTGCAGCTTATAGAAACATGGGTCTCATTTTGGATTGAGATATATAATCTTAAAAAACAGTGGCCAGTTGCTATCACATGTGTATAACCCAGGTTGTTTTGACTGAGAGCCCAGCTATTCGAATGTTGCTCAGCTCGAAGGGCATGTTGATCACCGCGAAAAGATTGAAAAGGCCACGGGGAGGAAATGATGGTGGTTTGGGAGGTGTATAGATGAGTATACCCCTTAGTACCCCTTTATTATAGTTTGCTGATATCTCAAATCATCAAAAACCTGCATTTCACTCCAATAACCGGGTTATTTTTAAGATCCTACTTTTTCTTGGGGTATGGAGGATAAAGGTAAACATATTTAACATGAAATGGAAGCCATTTCTGACATACCAAAACAGTTTCTGATCCATTGCCATTCCACACATCATGAAACTTGGGATATTCCACACATCACTGAGATGGGAATTTCCCCAATGATCTCCATGGCCCGAGATGGGAATTGCAAGGCGAACAATACTGCAATTTCTTCATTAGAAAAAAACGGGACATTAATTGGGAATTGCAATTGTGCTAACTATGATGTAAGTTTTATTGTTATTAGTATGATAGAAGTACAATTAAATTATAATTAACTACAATTGGAATTACAATGATAGTAACTATCATGTAACTACTATATATATATACCATTGGTTTATACCATTATTATCATTATTTACTGTAGCTACTACTGTAACTACTATTGTAACTACTATTCTGCTCAGAATAGCCTTGGATAGCTTTGTTCCGGGGTGTTTTAGGGGACATAGACAAATTCCAAGAAAATATCCTCAGTTGCAATGCGGGAAGCTGGGTTTTCTTTTCAACGAAAATGGGGTAGAACCTAGATCATGATTATTATTGATGAATATTATTGATCATGATTTATTATTGATGATTATTGATGAGTTTACTCCAATTCTAGAACATTTTGCCGGCAATCGTGAGGATTCAGCCAATTGGCATTGGGAGACAACATGACATTTGTTTACCACACACCGTGGAGAATTGAGATAGGTCAAAACCACTTGCACCCCAAAATCTGTAGGAGCTTTTGATCCCAGGATACCAGCTGTTTGACCATTACATTTGACCCACAAAAGGGGCACGCAGTGATGGGTAGTGAAGGACTTTCACGCTTGTCGCATCGGAGGCTAGACCCCATTTTCATCCATTTCGCGGTAATGTAATGTCCGGGGTATCTGTTCTGATTTGCGACGGGTAAATGTCAGAGCAAGATGTATGGGCACTAACGGGTGTTTCAATTTCAAAAGATGAAACACCACATGTATATACATACATATTTATACACATACACAATATGTATATACATACACATATATACATATATACATATAAATATATACATATTATATATATATACATATTATGTATATATATATATACACATACATACATATATACATATTATATATATCTATACATTATATATATATATATTATACATATATACATATATATACATACAAATACACATACATATACAAATATGCATGCACATACACGTACATATATACATACATGCATGCATGCATGCAATACACATACACATACACATATACGTACATATATACATACATGCATGCATGCATGCATGCAATACACATACACATACACATACACATATACGTACATATATACATGCATGCATACATCCATACATACATACATACCTACGTACGTACGTACGTACGTACATACATACATACACATGCATGCATGCATGCATCCATCCATCCATCCATACATACATACACATGCATGCATGCATGCATGCATGCATGCATGCATGCATGCATGCATCCATACATACATACATACATACATACATACATACACACATGCATGGATGCATGCATGCATGCATGCATGCATGCATGCATGCATGCACATATATATATATATATACGTATTAGCAGAAAATCATGGGGATATCGTTGATATCAACAGTCTGAAAAGATAAGATGTTAGATTTTCATGTTGGATGCATACTGCTTGTGTGTCGGCGACAAAAGAAACGATGTTTTGCAGTCAATCCCTGACTTTCTTGGGCATAACATCCGCATATCTTTTGATGAATTTATTTCTTCTTTGTTTAATCGAATCGAATTCCACCCACATGCCACCAATTCCAAAGTGCACCAAGGAGAGAGGAGAAGAATAGAGAGATGGTCTGGAACCTCAGAGAACGTGGGATGAACAGCAAGAACGTCACTTTTCAATGTGAGTTTTCGGGGATGTTTGACTCCCATATTTATAAACAAAAGGGAGGGACAGTTCAGTTGGTTCATTTTTGTTCAGCCCGCTCCAGTATTCTGGTTGCTTCGCGACGACAACCGCCCGCACCGCAGTGTTAGCTCTGAAGGTCCCATATGTTCTATGTTGGGCCTTTGTAGGACTCATGTTGGGGCCCATGTTGGGTCATGTTGGGCCTATGTTGGCTATGTTGCGCCCATGTTAGGCCTATATTGGCGGTGAGGCATGTGAAGCCATGTTGGCCTATGTTGGGCCAAGTTGGGCCCATGTTGGGCATATGTTGGGCCATGTTGAGCCCAAACTTGGCAACTTGGTCGGTTTTAGGTCCCTGTAAAAACGTGGAAAAACACAGGGTTCTACAGCAATAAAGGCCCCCCCAAGCCAAAGCTTCATAGCTATTGCAATTGCTTCCGGATCACGCGAGCCCACAAAAATCGCATCGGCACCTTCGGTGCGGATTTCGTACATCCCCCTAGGTCGGCAGGCTAGGAGTGGCATCAAGCAAAGGTGACATGTGCTCCCTCAGCAGATTTCAGCCATGAAAACACGTGTTTTCCACACATGTTGGGGTGTGTTCAAAATTAGGTATACGCACATTGCAATTGGATTAGGGAAAATGCAAAGGGTCCCCGTTTTGAGACGAACCCCCATTTTCATGCATTTTCACCAACCACAGACCAATTTGCATGTGAGTCGGCTTGCCTTCCTGATGCCCGCAATTTTTGCAGACCACAGTGGCTCTCTTTTGGGACCGGCCGAAACCCCACGGCCATGGCGTGGCTTCTTCTTTTATTGCTTGGTGTGTCGCTCGCGGACGAGGTGCTTCAGCCGGTCAGCCCATGATGGTTCCATGTCGCTCAGGGTTCATGATTGTATACACCCATAAAAAGATGCTGAAAGAATTGGCTGGCGATTAAAACGTAATGGTTGGTTCTGGATGTTCTGGTGTTCTGGGTCAAACTCGGAAACTAATATATATATATATATTATTATATGTATATTATTTTATATATTATATGTATATTATATATTATATGTATATTATATATATATATTATGTATATACATATATTATATATATTATAATATGTATGCATATATTATATTATATATATATGTTATATATAATAATAATAATAACAATAAAATAATAATTATAATAATAATAACAATAATAAGAACAATAATGATAATAATAAAAACAATAATAATAGTAATAATAATAATAGTAATAATAATAGTAGTAATAATAATAATAGTAATAATAATAACAATAATAATAATAATAACAATAATAATAATAATAATATATGTATTTATTCACATATATATATATATATACCTGTAGATGCACACATAAATTCTGGTTAAAGTAGGTAGAGTAAAACTAACATATCCAGGGAGCAAGAAGATCTTGTTGCCCACCCCATGGCCCAAGCAGACACGATTTTGACCGACGCATCTGTCAACGATATCCCCAGCCGCTCTAGGCGCAGCAGAGCTGCCACCTGCTGCAGACCAACAGTCAGTGGCGCAAGAAAGGCCAGCGAGGCCAACGCGCCGACCTCGGGGCCGTGGAGCAAGCGACAAATCTCAGCGAACCCGTCGCGGACAAGAGCAAAGGCATTTGCGTCCCCAAGCTCAGCGAGGAGGAACACCAGTTGGGCGCAGTCAATGATGGGTTGATCTGAAAATGGGAGATGACCACCATGTAACTGGCGAGTTTCATGGGGAAAATGGCGAGATAAAGCATGGATTTTGGGGTCATGTATTGATAAAGCCACCGAATCGTGGATGATCTCATTGATGCGGATTGGCTAGTCTTCAAGTGATATCTCCAGTGCGTTTCATCTCATTGACCCATTTTTGTGGTTCAGCTACTCATACAGACTTATACCCTTCCTGAAACTAGCACAGACATGCACAGACCCGGAAGATAGCCCATTTTCACTGGACAACAATCTTCAACCCCCGTACTGTAGGCAGGGTCTGTGTTAATCCGGGGGATGGTAATCATCGCTGAAGGAGATCAAGGCGCCGATCGAAGAAGTCGTTGCCAGCAGCTTGGGCGTCTGTGCGGTTTAGGGCACTGTCATGGATGTGACACAGCCCAAAAAAATGGGGCTCCGAGAAAAAACTACCCTCTGGTAAACATACAAAAAGCTATTGAACATGACCATTTATAGTGGATTTTCCCATTAATCATGGTGATTTTCCATAGTTATGTTAAATTACCAGAGGGTATCTACAATAATAGTACAATATGAATGTGTGTCATTCTTGTGATAGTTACTACATTTTGAGTGTGTTAAACACGCGCTTGCCTTGGCTGCAGCGCAAAGACAGAGGGTACAGCCGGAAGGAACGGGCATCCTGAAGTGCCCTTCGCACGTTTGGGGTATCCAATTGAGCCATAGCCATGTAGATAACTACTGATTCATTGGATGGGTTTAAGGGCGAATTTAATGGACCCCAGAATATTCCGGAAAACTATGGTTTCCTCGAGATTTTCCCTTAACCAAACCAGTGACTGATGAAGCAACACCCCCAAGTTCCTGGTATAACCCCACTTAGATAGGGGCATTAAGAGCCCCACTTGATGTCACAGATTATCAGCACCCCGTGCCCCGTGCTGCTGAATTGGGGGGGGTACAAACTGAAGCGGATTCTCATTATTTCGGGCTACCCCAAAATTAATTTGGCTTCCAATTGATCAACCAAGGCTTATTAATCAACCAGGGCTTCTTAATCCGGGATTGACCTGACACCATGGATGGTACAGTACCCAATCCTTGCCAGGCTACGGTGAAGATGGTTGGTGCACCTACGGTTTCCTGGGTGGCTGGGCCAGCGAATGTGCTCTGGGCCGCAGAAACCGCGAGGCGAAGAGCTTCGCGAAGGAGTTGCCAGGCAGATTTTATTGAAGAACAATATCAAACAATGGTCCAGTGTTCCTGTCAAGTAGAGTGTTTTTTCCTCCAAACAACTATGGGTTTCCTATTAATTGTGATTTTTGATGCATGTTTGATCATTTTACAGCTCCAATATGGGAGATTTGACCGCAGCAATGGTCTTTGTTTTTTTCGGCCGCCTTTTGTTCAGGATTTGCTCAAGGGATGTTGACAGATAAAATGGGGACTGGACCATGAACATGTTGTCTTTAGCTGCCTCATGCTGCCTCTAAACATGGGGATTTGAGTATAGACATCTGGCTTTTCGCGCGAGGATTGAGTACTGGAAATATCGATATCGACTGGGGATGGTCCGAAATATGGGGACTTGAGCAGGACTTTGGCCAAAAAACATCAGGATTTGACAGAAATATGATCCCCCAAATTTGATGGTTGACGATCATTTTCCATATCAAAATGGAAATTTGGGAATATATATATACACATGTATATGTATTTATGTATATGTTATACATATGTATATGTATTAATGTATATTATATATTGCACATATATGTATATATATGCTTTATACAATACGGCAAAACCCTGAGGTTTGCCCGGACTCGCAACATGCGTCCGGGCAAGCCAAGATGACGATGACGATGATGACGACGACGACGACGACGACGATGATGATGATGATGATGGCGATGATGGCGATGATGATGATTTTGATATCTTCTGGAAACCCTATAAGAAACCCCAATGACTGTATGGTTAGTGCCACATGATATGTAGAACTAACATGTTCTGGTTTATGATATGTAGAAGCAACATGTTCTGGTGAACACCCTAGCAACATAATTGAACATAAAATCCTTCCTGTTGTTTGACGTTGTACAGAATTCCCCGGTTTTTACGCTATTCTGGGCTGGGGCAAACCTCAGGGTCTGTGTGTAATATTATATATATAATATTATATATATAATATTGCAATATATATATATGTTATACGTTATATATATATGTATATGTAATTATACATATACATAGATAAATCTACACACACATCATATATATATATATAATAGACATACACATCCCATTTTCGGACAATCCTTATTGATTCTATGGAAATCTGGTTTAAAACGCGTGCACACATGTTCAAAAATGACCTTAAAATAAGGACCTTTTTCAACGTAAAAAACCTCTTGATGACTCAGGTTTGAACCCATGTACCAGAAATATTTACCGGACGGGCCCAAGCCAAAGACCGAAGTCACGCTGAAATTTCTGGAGAATCAAAGCTTGACGATCCGCGATCACCTCTATCCACTCGATGACCTCTATTGCTACGTGGCTCGGCCGACTCGGCCTATGACGCGATGTTTTTGAGTGGGAACTCATCTCACCTTTCGGGGCCTAGATGTTTGAAATTGAAAAAAAATGGTTCAAACTTGCCAAACATCGCCAGGTGAATGGCTGGTATTCTTTGGACCGAGATCAGCTTGTGAACAATTTCACCTACCTGGAGGAAATGTCAGAGAAATCCTGCAACCACTTGGAAACGACCATGCCGCACTATCACAAAGTCTCGATGCAAACGATGCTGATGGACTCTGGGCACATAAACTCAACGAGTTTTTAGATGGTTTTTACGTATCTTTATGTTAGGAGAGATATCTTGTTCACATTTCTTCACTAAGTTTATTCTTAAAAAGTATCATGTTCAATGTTCCATCATGTTCCATCATGTTCCACTGGGAGGCCCCAGGTCTCAGTTCTAAGGAGTCGGCTGTGGATGGAGGCGTGCTGTTTGAGATCATGAACGGCCCCACGTCAGGGCAGGTTCCGGACCACATTGTGCACGGCATGTATGTCCATGCGGCCGCCAAATGCCTGTTGCGAGGACGCCGTTACCATGGTGGCCGTGGCCATAAACTGAACGACAGGTTGCCTGTATGCATGTGGATATGCATAGTATAGAATCGAATATACTATTACACATATACATGCAGATCGTGTTTACATGCCCATGTATATATATATATATATGTTCATATGCATATGCACACACACACACATGTATATATATATATATGTATGCATGTGTATGCATATTCATATATATTATAAATAAATAAATAAATAAATAAATAAGTAAATAAGTAAATAAATAAATAAATACATAAATACATAAATAAATAAATAAATATATATTATATACACGTGCATACGCATGCGTGCATATGCATGCATATATACGGGATCCAGCTCTTTAAATGTACTCATTTACATTTGTGTAAACACACACACACATATATATATATATACATATATATTATACACATATACATACAATATTATATACACAATATTATATTATATACACATATATATATACATCCAGATATTATATAATATATATTTATGTTATTATATATATGCATCCACATAAATATATATATATATACACAATATTATATTATATACACATGTACATACATCATACATACTTGATCTAAATTTCGCAGATCTCCAGTCCCCAATTTGGACCTCTAGGAGGAGGCCGTGGAGCCGTGTGTGACATTGCCAACTGCGCTGCACGCGGCTGCTTGCGTGGGAAGGAACTCCTCTATACTCAACGCGGAGAATGCCAGAAACTCACGTAGACAAATGCCAGAAAAGTGCCGCATTGGTCAATGGGAATTCCAGGATCCTAAAATGGAGGTACGTTAGTACCATATTGTTAGCCATATTTTGTTGGGATATCCCCTTACATAGGCCTTACATAGGCCTTATATATGCTAGGTACCTCCAATTTAGGATCCTGAAATGGCCATTGAATTGGTGTGGTGGCATGCAGGTGATGTGGTCTGGAAAGCAAACATGGTAGGAGGACTTTTTCACTCAGAATCCTGACCCGATGATTTTCCCAGATGATTTTCCCCAGGTTGGATTTCTTCACGGGTAAGGTGTGCTTGACCACGGAACATGTCAACTTCTTGGGGTCAAAAAATGAACAGCTGGATGGGTCATTTTTTCAACATCAACCATCCTAAACTGCCAATGACCTGACAGAATTTTTGGCATTTTTTTCTGCCACAATCGGTTTTCAAATGGCTGACTGACAGTCTCTGGGTCGGAGTCCTGGGGAAACCAAACTGAGCGTCCAATTACTGCCATGGACTTACACCGAAAAAGTCTTGTTGATCGCCTCAAGGCCCAAAAACTCCCTCTGAGGCGGATATCACAGACCACCAGGGTCAGTTTGAGCTCATTCGCTCCTTGGCAAGTGTGGTCGGGGCCGTGTCCTGAAAAATGAGCAGTGCCCCCAAAGCCAAGGTAGATCATTGTAGAGGGTTATACTGGCTGGTTCCCCCACCAAAAGCAATCCCAGTGGCGAATTGGCTCAGCACCCCAACAAGATGTGACAGCCCAGAGCGCCAGAGCGCAGCGAGTTGGATTGAGGCAATCGAAATATTGAAGAAGATCATCAAATGCGCAGTGGCTTAGAGGAACAGATCGAGGAAACCCGTGCCAGGTGGGGGGGATGCGTTTGGCAGTTTTGGGACTGGACCTGATGGTTGCTTCAATGGTGCAATGTTCGAAGGATGAGGGAATTCTGCGAGTCAAGGTCAACTTTATTGACTGGAAAAAGATGCAGGATGCAGAAACAGAGGGTACTTTTACCACAGATTTTGACCCGTCTGTGGCTGCCAAGACCCGTTGAATTCATTGAATCCCCCACTGGTAGCTGAGCGAAATTCAAATCATCCACCACCGAGTTACTGAAAAGTCTTCTTTGTGTTTGCTGAAAATGATCCATGGATCGCCTAGTTGCAGTATAAATGAATGTTATGGTATGGTTTAGTTGGATAAATTACCCATTCCAACTGCACATGGGTTGCTTGGGAGCTTCAGTCATCATTTGGGTGTCAGAAAATGGGGATTGAACCCCGGCCATCAAATCATAGGAGCAGCTCAGCCAGGTGTCGGGACAAGTTGCTGACCTATGAGAGGTCCACCGAAGCCAGCACGGCAGACTACAAGGAGGGTGCGTCCGTGTTTTCTGTTTTTGGGTGGTTTTGGGGGGTCAGAAATGTGAGTAGTGGTTTAACGGAATTTATATGGGATTTAACCATCAAATATAAGAGTTTTCTGGTATATGGGGATATGATGATTAGTTCGGGGATTTTACTACCCTTTATATTTTATATATTGGGAATTGAAATCATCCAGAACGGGAAATGCCGTTCTCAACCAATTTAATGGAATGACAGAGGAATTTTGAGCACTGCTCGTGTGGAGAATGGATGGAATTGAGGCTTTTGGAATTGATGTTGAGCTGATGGTTGAGGCCTGATGATAGATGTATTGGATCATATTTACCCTCTGGTAAACGTTTACTGAACTATGGAAAATCACCATTTTTGATGACTAAATCAACTATAAATGGCCATTTTCAATAGCTATGTTAGTTTACCAGAGGGGAGTCTACTTTGATCTCTACATCTATTGGCGGTGTCACAAGATGCGGCACCGCCGTCATTCAGAAGGACCAGATCCCATGGTCCGTGGGTTTCCAATGACTTCCCAAGGACCAAGAGGAATAAGAACTGGCAAATAGTAGCTGGTGCTAAACGCAGGGAATCAGGAAATAATCCACTGGCTAACTATCAATAATCATCCCAGCAACCCCCAGTCCCATCCATTCCCTACTAAGCACCAGTAAGAAAATAATTATGGGTTCTAAAAACCTGTAACATCTACTGTTGGATATGCCCGATGCTAGTATCACCGTCACATTTGAGTGGTCACATCAGCTATATCCCACATGTTGTTGATGATACGGTTGCTATTTGTGTCCCAACTCTGGCTGCTTGCACAATGTTGTAGGCCTTCATTAGGAAACACCAGACAAATTTGATGTACCATCCGGTAATCAAACATAGAAATCGCTAGCAAATCGCACATTTCTGAGATGATTTTCCCAGTCCTCTAGTCCTCCATTTTGATTGAGGATTTCCCAGCCACGTTACCGGAGGGTTTTGATAAGGGTCGCCACTTGTGTCAGCTTGAAGCTCAGGGATGAAGCCGGACCATACTCTTTGGTTTGATAGAGATTGGCATGATCCAAGATGGAAAGGGAAAAAATATGGGAAACAACTACGAGGACACTGCTTTTTTTTTCCTTCATCAGCAGAATCAGTCCACAAAAAGTGTTTGAACATTCTGCATAGATTGCATTTTCGTAGCGACATGGGAACGGACTGGAACTTGAGGAAGCCATCCTTTTTGGCGGCATGGTTCAGACTTGCCAATTGCTGAGTTTGGTTGCCTCATCTCTAGTTGTTTTTCCTTGGCAAAGACTCCTTTTTTGACCCCAACTCCTTCCATGGATTTTCCAGCCGCGCATGGTGCCATCCCTGTGACTGCTGTGGCCCCGTGCCCTCGCCGCAAGTGCCGACCTGGGTCGGTGGCGGATCGTCGCGTTCTCAAGGCGGCGATGGACTCAGTTTCATGATATTTCATGCATTTTCGCTAATTACCCTCTGGTAAACAAACATAGCTATTGAAAATGGCCATAGAAATAGTTGATTTACCCATTAAACATGGTGATTTTCCATAGTTATGTAAACGTTTGCCAGAGGGTACTTAGATTGTTATTCTGGGAGTAAGCTCCCAATTTGCAGACACCCAAAAAGGGGTTTCAAAGATGTTTGATGATCCTCAAGTGACACCATTTTTCCCAGGAAAATCCACGGAACTCGCTCCATTTTTGGGTAACTTAGTACATCGATGTACGTTGTAGGGCTGACAAGCCAACAATCTTTGGTGGAGACTTGCTTCACCGCTGACAGGAGCATGCTCGATCCGCGCTTCCGGCGCATTCAGTTCCCTCCTTTTCAGCGGGACTGGTGGTGGGCTTAACGACTGCAGCGCTGATGAAGATACACCGAGTCTGGCGGAAAAAGAAGAAGGAGGAGCCAAGTGAACCCTGCACTTTGGTAAACCCAGTAGTAGAGACCACCTTATTTTCCTTTGATCAGATCTTGGGGGTACTTTTTTGGAAGTTTTTGGCCAATCCTGGTCTTGAACACCCAAAATGCTAGGGCAAATGGGGAATCTGATTGGGTCGAGCTGTGGCTATGACTCTCCAACAACCTTGGAAAGGCAAGGAATATCATCCGCAAAATGGCTTATTGATGCCGATTGTGAGTTTGTGATGCTTAGTATATATAGTTTGTTCATGTTTGTTCCCAGGTCAGAGGTTTCAAGTCCATTTAGTTTAGAGGCTTCGTTTTTATTAAACATCTGGGCCTTGTGAATTAGTGAACGGTGACCACTGGTGACTGAATTCATCCCCGCCACTGGACCACCTGGAAAATGCCATCATTTTCCCATGAAAATGACGTTTCGGCATCCCGAAGAGTTGTTGAATAGTTGTTGAAGCATCATCTATCATCTTCTAATCTTTCTTTTTTCACCACTGCAGGTTGTCTCCCTGTTTTTTCATGCTTAGATTCCCATTTGGACAAATGCATACTTAAATGCCATCAGTATCGACAAAGCCCATTGAAGAATTCCTCCATGGTCTACCCTGATCTTTCGGGTAAGAATTAGTAGACAATCCATTGTGAGGGATTAGCTGCCAAAGTCAAATCCCCGTATCATGATATGCCAGATATGCATTGATATGCCCAATTTTTCAAGATCAATATCATTCCACCATCTTGGATCCACTTTTAACATGATTTGTTAAAATATGGGTATGGATCAATACCTATTAATACCATTTTAAGGGGGTTATTCACATCCATAAATCCCAGCTATTTTGATGTGAACTACAGGGGTACTATTGGTTTTGACACACTGCCATATCACCATATCTGGATAATATCCAATGCTATATGACCATTACTATTGGAATCCTATATTACTATTACATACTATTACTATTACTATTACTATATATCCATTACTTATATATCTGGATAAGTTCATATAAGTTCCAGCGACCTCACTGAGACCTCACGGGAACGATCTTGGTTCAGGTTGGTGAATCATTCAAAAAATGACCAGGGTGATATTCACGTGGGTAATATGTTGATTACCATATAAGATGATGAAATTATTGATTATATGACTATCATAACTACTGTAGAATTATCATCATTACTATCAAACTATAATATCAACTATTATCATTATATGATTACCCATGTTCTCAACATGATAATATCATATAATATCATAGAATAACATCAACTATGATCATGAATTAGCTATAAACCCCCTAGCGCCACTAACTCTCCAAGTTGTCTACCCCCAATTAACTATACCCAATATCAAATTAGACAGTATATCATAGAATAGTATCATGAAATACTATCATAGAATAATATAATGGAATGACATATCAACTATGGTCATCCATCACCTGTATGAATAGGTTAAACCATTCAAGCAGAAATTGATAGGAATATCCTATTATTATCCAATTATACTATCCCAATAATCCCCATCAAACAATGAGCTCTCCCATGGTTCACTAGGCCGAAACAAGACGATCCCTAATAGCTAATGACCAGTAAACTATGATCATCCATTGACTAAATCAATAGGTATATCTCAATCATATTCAATAATACTATCACAATGATCAAATGCTATGTTAAATAACCAGAGTGTAACCTCCAGTACTCTTAACATAGCTGTGGAAAATGGCAAACAAAACTAGAAATCAATGATTTACCTAAAGTAGTGATTTTCCATAGCTATGTTAGTTTACCAGAGCGTATATCCCAATCAACATGATCATAGATCATAGAATAATATTATTAACCATGATCATCCATTAAATTTGATATTGCCAGTTATTATTTGCTATGTTTAAAATCCCAGTGAACTCTCCCAAAGACCCAAAACTTAGCTATGTTAAGTAACCAGAGAAATCCCATGATATCCCAATATCTCCGGGTGTACCCATTTGATTTTGATTAGAAATCCCTGTCAATCCCAAACAAAGAACTAAATCCCTAGAACTCCCTAGAAATCCTTATAAATCTTTAGAACTCCCTAGAAATCCCTCTAAATCCCTAGAGCTCCATAGAACCCCTAGAAATCCTCGAAATTCCCTTAAAAACGGGACCCCAAAAGACAGCCCTCCAGGACCTTCCGCAGGCGCTGGACACCACGCTAAGCGCCTTGGACCCTAAGGCCATGGCGGCTTCGACCAAAATCAGCCAAGCTGTGGAGGAGGGGATGAAGGAATTCTCTGCCAGCCACTTGGCGTTGGGATCCACCGTTGTGGTTTTTGGGAAGATGGGTGTAGTTCATAGATTCATAGGGTTTAATAAAACTTAATAGGGTTTAGTTTAATGGTGTTTAATGGTGTTTCATGGTGTTTAATGGTGTTTAATGGGGTTTAGGGTTCAATGTGGGTTTTCATGATGGGTTTAAGGGAGGTTTCATGGGCTTTTAGGTGTCATCAAACGCGGCGTGCAATTTACCACAGGGTACACCTATTTGGAGATCCCAAAAGGGTGATCCAATGGTGATTGAACCAAAACATGGTATTTGGTACCACTTAATATGATTACCAGAGGTTGTTTGTTTTTCATCTACAACCACTACAACTATATCATATATTATATATCATATTTCATATATCATATATCATATATCATGTGTACATATATATATATATATACACATACACATTATACGGATAGTCTATCCATGGCATGCTCCCCCAGGCGGGGACTACGCCGCCGTGGGCCGCGGCGTGGCTCTGCTGCGGCGCCGCTTGGTGCAGCGAGCGACGGAGGAGATACGCCAGGGCCATGTGGAGCTGCGGCTGATTGCGGAGCTGCTGGTGGATGCCGTTCTAAACCGTGCCTTCCGTGGTGGTAACTCGGTGGGGGAACTCTGGTGGTTTTCCCAAAATGGGATAACTGGGATAAACCAATTGGGGACTTACTAACCGGGGTTACAAAACCAGTTACTAATTTGGATGATCAAGGGGATTTCCATGGGTTTGGGATGGGGTTAAGTAAGTTGGGGATGTCTTGTTTGGAAGAAAATCAGGGGAACTACTTGTAGTGGGCTGCTACGAAGAGTTACTGATGATTGTTGGAATGGGATGATACTATGGTGGAATTATTGTTTATTAACTCAGCCATTATCATAACTTTTGGAGGGCAATAAAAGATAAGATAATCTATTGGAGTAGTCTAATACAACTGATTCTTTTGCATTCATGGAGATGTTCCATTGCCAGTGAAGATTCCCGGAGGGAACAAGGTGAGTAACTGGGGGATATACCTGTTATGATAAACCTCGGACCTCGGATCAGAGTGTACCAATCGACATACCACTGGTTGGTGGTTTGGAACATTTGGATTCTTTTTCCATAATCTATGGGAATTTTATGATCCCAACTGACTTTCACTAACTCATATTTTTTCAGAGGGGTAGGTCAACCACCAACCAGATAGATTAACCATAGATTAACCATAGATTAACCATAGATCTGCACAACATTTTGAGAATCCGTATTGATTGGGTGCTTGTGGACTGGGGAACTGGGGAAACCCACTCAGTGATGGAAGGTTGATGCAGCAAGAATTTGGGAACTGTTGGGTACTTTCGGCCACCCAAGATTTCAGCAATCAGACAAGGGAATTTCATCACTAAAAACTGAGAAAACACAGCCGTTTAGTTATGGATGTTATGGTTGGTGACCAAGAGCGCTGTGTTTTGAAATTTTGATGGAGCAGAATCTATTCCCAGCCCATTTGCTTCGTAGGGTAACGATCCAAGGTTATGATTAGTTGGTTGGTTTTGGCAAGGAAACTGGTTTGGTTGTGACTTTGTACTCTACAGTATATACTGTAACTCTCCTGGTTTTGTTGATGTTCAATGATGTTCAATAACAATACAACTAATAGAATTTGGAAACCTCACATTCTATTCATTTTATTCTTAGCTTTGGAGTTGACTTGAAAACTAGAGAAAACTGTCGCCTATTGGGCCTATTGAAATGACACTTCATAGCTTCACCACGGTCCAGCGTCAGGCGAGAAGAGCTTCTACTCCGAGCTGTGGCTTCTGGATGATGGGCGCGCCAGCGTGCAGAACATCCACACCGAAAAGATGGCCGATGACCTGAATCAACCGGAGTCTCGGACCCAGCAAAAGCAGAATCGAAACCGCAGGTTGATGCTTCTCCAAGTATCAAAACACACCAACTAAACGTGGGGATCTTCGCAAAAGGAGGGTTTCCACACAGCAAATCGGGGAGCAACGAGAGCTGGATATCAGCAACAGGATCACCTTAAGATGGCCTTGTTTGTCGCCAGGATGGTAATGTGACCATCAGCGACGTCGTGGTGGATGAGCGCGTGCGGGAGAAAAGTGCTGGAGGCTACAGTGGCTACAGGCCTTTGTTCGTGCAGGTGCAGCCCTATCTCTTCACACGGCCCACCTTTTTGGCCCTGCTGGAGGTGTTTCTTGAGCGATAAGATGTGTCAATGTCTTGAACATATAACCCCCTAAGGCCCTGTCCGATTGGCCATTGGCGATGTGGTCGATTCTTGTGGCAGGGCCCCTTTGGATCCTTTTGTTGGTGGGGTTTTGGGTCCCTCAATTTCGACAATTTGCGTTTTAGGAGGGCGGATTGGCTTCTCAATTATCTTGTTTGGTGATGTTGCTTCCAGAACGGTACCATGATCCCAATGACTGCTATCTTTCTGTGTCTTTTCTCCACATTTTGACGTGAGGAAGCTACCCCCTTCTCTCTCTCTCTCTCTCTCAGTCGGCCGCCAGACAGATCTCCCAAAGACGGCGTTTCAATTTGCTGAGCAATCCACAAACTGGAAATGGCCTAATATATGATCAGTTGTTCTGCCATGTTCGCCAAGTTTGGTGAACCGTTTGAAAGGCCATACTTGAAACCTTGATTTACTGTATTTGGAAATGCGCACAACGACGTTCCCCATATCAAATCACCAGTTTGGTCCATTTTACCATAAGATACCATAAGTAAGACCTCCAGTTTCTGTTGGTCGAAATCGGTTCAATCATTTCAAATCATTAATCCCATATTTTTTTCGATTTCCACTTAAGAGACACATAGCCACATAGCCATTCTTTGGGGTCTCCTCTTGGCCTAAAACCGAGGTTCGAGGTCTTTCACCGCAGCTGTCAGGGTCCGGAGGACTACGAGCCGCAGGACCGGCAGAGCATCGAGCGATTTCTGGACGTGGTGGATCTGACTCCGGTGATGCGCCGCGCACGCGAGGAGGCGGATTAGGGGCCAGGCACTAGGCAGTTGAGATGGGTATGGGTCAATACCTATAGATACCATTTTAGTGGGATGAACATCCATTTGCCAGCTATTTTGGAGTTCACTAGGTACCAGGGTTTTGACCCATCCCCAGATCAGTTTTTTTGATAAGACGGTGGCAATTGTTGGACCTTTGCTTCTGATGTTGAATCATGGCATGAATGGAAATTCAGGACTTGTGGTGAATTACTGAGCGAATGGGACGGTGGAACATGGGGCACTGAAGGTGTTGTTGAGCATTCAGGAATTTTGGTTGGGCATTTGGGGTGGTTGGCTCATTTGGGTAAACAGAGCACACCTGGATGGATGTAGCACTGTAGAGATCGATTTGTTTGACATGGATTTGGTGTTGCAACAGTGTTGCACAGACTTCCCACAAAAACTTTGTGGTATAATGTGATATATAATCGTATGTATATACAGTATATATAATCGTATGTGTATATATAACTATAGTTGTATATATGTATATATATATATATGTGCACGTTGGTATACATATTTAATTGATTTTAATTGTTTGTACATATATGCAAGGCTTCGACTGCTTCACCAGTGCACAGGTGGAAAAATACGAAGCAGGCTTGACTGATCAGCAATGGCGCGAACACCTGTGGCACATCTGGTTCCAACGGCATCCCTCAAGCGCAAAGTGTGGCTTCGAACATGTCTTTATTGGGGAGGCCACAGAGGATTCTTTGTCCGACTCAGATCCAGAAACTTTTCCCTTCCACCCGCCAATGGCCATCCATTGTGGGGAGATGAATTGATCTCGAGTTGGTAGTTTGAAGCCTTTTCTATTTTCTGAACTTATTATTTGCATGACCATGATAAGTCCCAATTCTGACATTTTTTTTTGGGCTGGGCACGCCTGGACCCGAACTGCCAGATAGAATGTCAGATAGATTATTAGAGTGTATGCCAGAAAGAATGTCAGATAGAAGTAAGGTCAGAATATTCATGCTGCGTATACTTCCAGATGATATGTCAGAAACTATGTCAGAATTCTCAGGTGTCAGGGTGGGGAGCACTCGAAGTTTTTTTTTTCCCCGCTTGGTTTGACACGATTTGAACGCAGCGATTTTAGCCCAGTTGGTGCGCCCATTTTCTCAGGATTTGAACGGCCGAGAACTGGTGGGTGGCTTGCACAACTGGGTGAAGTTCTACCTGGAAGAACGTCGCGGTGCTGCGCGCTACTTGGGACCACGCTACAAGGGAACTGGCAAGCACGACGCAGCACTGAACCCATACTTTGTCAGTGGAAAATTCACCTGGGATCTCGATGGCAAGCATTTGGCCACTTGCTTCACGTCGATGTTTAAGCGGAGTTTTATTTATAAACAAAGCGCTGTAAAAAAATGTAAAGGGAGCGCTTTGGTAGCAGATGACTACTTTTTTGGGGGTACCCCCTGAAATTCATCAACTAGGTTTTAAGAATCCGGAGTTGACCTTACGGATAAAATTAGTCAAAGATATGGGAAAATCGCATGTGTAGTGGGAAGCTCATCTATCAATGGGGAGACCTTCCGTTGCCAGGTCATCTATCAACCTATCTTCCCCATTCTTCGCCAGTCTCTGCCTTGGCACTGCGCACACACACACATTTTATATAGTATGCACTGCAGGCCACTGATGAATTGGATCCCTCCATCCCCCTCCATCCCTCATCCCATCTCAAGGCCGAAGCACTTTTTCTTTGGCAATTACTGTTTATCACCACTGTAGCTACCCACATTTGGACTATTTTGCCAATGCCAGGTGAGCAGTTTGAAAGCACCCCTGTGAATCAATTATATATTGGGTCCTACTCACGGGTTGAATCGGGAATATTGTGAACCATGCTGTGAAACCCCTATCAACAAAGCAGTAGAACTAATCCACAAATATCCACAATAGGTTTTCGAAACATCAAACATACATCTTATATCCCACGCATATTCCCATCAATCATGGTTGTTTGTTTTCTTCCATCATTATTGGCAACCCCGCTCCAAAATCATGCTTTATCTCTCATTTCCTGAGCAGTTTTGATGCTCAAAGCACATCAAAGCACCACTTTAGCTGGTTTGATGCTTAAAACCCAGATGTTTCATGGATTTTCATGGTAAAATCACCCATTTTTGAGATATCTCAACTCCAGCCTTAAAATCTTCATAACTCTCCCATCTAGGTGAAGGATCGGGGCGGATTCTTCGTTGGTGTCTCTCCGGAGTGGCAGCTGGCCATCGCCACCGTGGCCTTCTTCGAGACGCGGTCCACGGAGCGCGCGACGGCGCGGAAGTGGAGCCGCGACTTCCTGTCGCGGGACGTGGGCTACGTGCGGGCCGCGAGGTTGGGAGATCAGGTGTAGCTTGGTGAATTGGAGGTGAAGTATGACAAAAACTCAACGATAGCTACAATTCTGGTAACCTGACTTTTACAATTTTTACCCCTCTGGTGTCAACCGTGGCTGGCTTTTGAAATCAGAGATTAACTAAGAAACATAGGGAAACAAAGCCAAACTGGTACCTTGGTTTCAGGTTTGGGGGATCAGAAGTAACATGGCAGGTGATTTTTCACCATCAGACATACCGACATAGCGGGATATAAGATGATCTGGATTTGGCCCTGAAATACGGGGGCAATTACAAAGCCATGCATTATATGCGGATATTTTGTGAGAGATGAAATCAACAAAACCCACAATTCAACAAATATGGTTGGCAAGGGAAAGAAATGCCACATAGTGACATAGTATCCCAAAAGTGGTGTGTTTCAAGCCTGCGGGATCAGGTGCAGCTTGGTTGCGTGAGTTTTTGGTGATGGGTGGGCGTACACGGGTGTTCTTGGAGCCATTTGGATGAAGTCCAGCGGAAAATTCACCAATCATGACTCATCTGGCAGACCTAAGGGGAGTCATCTCCAAAAATGGCTAAACAAATCACGTCAAAATATCCCGATTTTCTCGGCTTGGTTGGAACAGGCGGTGAGAGGTGGTGAGTTTGGGGTCGTGAGGCCCCCCATTTTCACTTGGCGCCTAGGTACAAGCTCTGTATCCGCCGCAATGAACAAGGACTGTGCAAGTGGGAATGGGTCAAGAAGTTCCATCATCCACTTCATCACATGATTCTCAGCCGTCTCTCAGATTACTAGCCCCATTGGTTCAAGCATGTTCAAGCCATCAATGTTAGAATTACCCTCTGGTAATTTAACATAGCTATTGAACATGGCCATTTATAGTGGATTTTCCCATTAAAAATTGTGATTTTCCATAGCTATGTTAAATTACCAGAGGGTATCCTTCAGCAATTTCATCCTGCAATGGACAATCACCTATTTATGTCGATGATTATCCCATATTATCCGACTAAATGTTGGCATTTTCCACCCAGCCATGTTAAATTTCAAGGAGGGAGGTACCCTACAAATTAGGCCCTACAAAAATTCATATCTCCCAACAATGAACAAAAGCCCATCAAGGCAGTCTGAGCAAAAGGGACAATAAACTATCATGATTTATCATCACACTTCAAACATATGGGTCTGTCTGAAAGTGGGGGATACCCATAAATGGTAGGTTTTTATAGGGAAACAAAGGAACTGATGATCAAGCATCAATTTTTGGGGTACCCTATATTCAGACAAACCCATGTGATACTCGGAATCTGAGTAATTATTATATATCTATATATAATCGAAGGAAGTTTAGAAGTCAAACTTCCGACAATGTGGACAGATGGAAAAGCAGAGGTGGGAAGCAGAGAAGAGAAAGAGTCAGAAAAAAGAAGATGCAGGCGCGCGAAAAGGTGGCAAAGTCGCGATTCACCGTGTTTTTCCAATGATTTGTGGCTCCGGAGGGTCGAAAAGTAGGGTGCGGAGCCATGTGGCCAGATGCGAGATGAAAAATTGCTCGACAATCCAAGTTCTCCTCTATAATATTAGTTTCTATTTTTTTAAATCAATGTGGACCTTCCATCAAATCCCCATGTTTTGGTGAATTTTTCAAAGTTACGGCCAACATCTCCAAATTTTGCTATGGCTTTACCTCGCTGTTTTCGGGTTTCCCAAGGCCCAGAAGGGTTACCAGCCCGCAGGCAATTTGACCACCTTCTTCGCAGATCAGTTAGGCACCTGGGACGCCCATGCGCGGAGAAAGCTGGATGAAGTGCTGCCGCAGGAGGTCCTGGAGGAACGTATGAAGGGGCTGATGGGGCTGGACGGTTGTTTTTTTTCTCATATGAATTATATTATATATACATGACCATTGTGTGTTTCAAAAATAACATATATGACCCTATAGTAATAGTAATTTAGCGGTTTGCGAACTGGAAACTCACTATGGTTGATAGGTAAAACTTTCATGTTTATCATCTAGCCATTGGTCATAGCTATGTAATACATGACTAACAAATGTGGGAAACCCAATAACAAACCTACTTTTGGGGATTATTTATTATTGGGTTTACCACATTATATATATATATGTATTATGTACAATTTGAATATTTAGAAACCTCAAAAAAAATGCCGAAAATACTTCGGGAACCTGGAAAATATGTGGGCACATCACCTGCTCTGTTTCTGTTTTTGGCGTCCTTCTTTCCGCGCCGAAACGGGAACAGCAGCCTGAACCTCTGGAGCCCTGGGACCTGCCGTTGGGTTTCAAAACTAGGTTAACACATAGATACTATACACATATACATACACATATGATATAGCTATAGAAAATATAGTTATTATATATATATACACATGTGATGGTGTGATGTATATGTATATGCATGGAGTATTTGGACAATAACCAGTTCGAAGTTCAGTAGATAGAATTGGTATAGTATTATCTCCTTCTTTAGCATATATAACAGAACAAGACACATCTTTAGGATATAGCTGCTTACACCCTTGTAGAACTGAATTAGAACTGGATGAACTAGCTTATGACCGAACTTATGACCCACATGGGGTTATACTACACCAGTTTGTTGGGTATTATGACAATTGTGCAAACACCTATCAACCAAGCAGGAAAAAGGGATGACAGTTTTAGACAATGCTCATTTGAGGGTTCGAACATGCCAACAATCTCTGTGTCTGTTCGTTACTATCACCAATAGTCCCCATCTTGCTGATCCTCAAACAACCACGGCTTTTGATGCGGTGTTTATTATCCATACAGATCTGTTTTCAAATAAAAGAGAACACATCATTGTATCAATGATTACTATGAACCATGAATGATATTGAATGATCACTTTTTGAGAACATGATCCCCACCATTTGCTCATTAAGAACTCCATCCCTGGTCAACAGGAGCGTCTGCAGCCCATGCTCGTTCTCCACGGCTTTGCGGACGACGAAGAACTGCTGAAGAGCGCTGCCAACGTGGCGGCGGCGGGGGCCTCCAATCTGCGAGATGCGCTGCGGCACTTGCACTCGGAGATACGCTTTCGATTTGAAGAGATGGAGGGACATCTGCCAGGCCAGCTTTGGCGAAATCATCGAAAGATGGTGGATCTTCCAGCCATGTAGGGCATTGTAGGGTAAATAGTTTCAACAGAGAGTTGGGATTTACGGACTTATGAATACTTATGACATTTACATACATTTACCACATTTACCAACACGATTTATGGAACATTACGAGCAATATCCGGCAATTTTGATGTGGATTTTTCAGCAGCCAAGAATGTGGTGGAACACCATTTCTCATAAATCTCCGATTGGGGATGGGCAGTTTGAGATAGGGAAAAACATTAAATGATACCCTGCTCAAATCGAAATGAACATAGCAGGTTTCATCGGTCTTTTCCATACTTTTCCACTTTTTTCTGCCAGTGTTTCTTGGGGTATGATAGCTGTTTACTTGTTTTTCACTGAACATATCTTCCCACTGGTATCCAAAGACCGCATATCCAAAATATCCAAAGATTGGCCCAGAGCTTACCCTCTGGTAAACGTTTACATAGCTGTTGAAAATCACCATTTTGAGTGGCGAAATCAACAATTTCTATGGCCATTTTCAATAGCAAACTGTAACAAATTACCAGAGGCTATTAAACAATGAGAACATGATGATCCATGAGATTTTGGGAAATCATCAATTTTTATGGGAACATCAACTATAAATGGCCATTTTCAATAGCTATGTAACAAATTACCAGAGCTTAGTTGGACCCTGGCTTCGCTCCAGATGAACTGCCCCTGGTGGTATCAGAGTTGTTAAAGCTCCACGATGCGGGGCGCACCTGGGCGGCGGCTTACAGGGGGCCTGTCGAAATCCCGACCTGCTGTGTTTGGCATACTATGCTCATATGGGGGTTTCCTAAATTGGGGGTACCCAAAAATAGATGGTTTATAATTTATAATGGAAAATCCATCTTTTTTAATGGATGATAACTGGGTGTACCCCCAATTTTAGGAAACCTCCATATAGATATACCATATCAAACTTAGAATGCATGGGGATGTCTTAATCTCGAATACTGCGTTCCAAGTTGCTACCGGGTAGAAGGTCTTCAAACATCGGCGGTATATGTTTTTTCCCGAAATGGACATTTGTGGAACTTGGGGTCTTCGTCTGATGGGTTTGCCATGGTTTGCCTGAACACTTTAGAACAGAAAACATCAAAAAAACATCAAAACATTCATGGTCCATCACATTTTTTCCATGAAACATGGGACAAATCTCCACTTTTTCATCTTTTTGACAGGTCTCCCATCTCCATCCAGGCCTCAAAAACTGCCGCTGGGGTGAGCTGGCGTCAGAGTTGACGCAAAGGACGGGGCTCAAAGGAAAGAAGCTGCTGCTGCCGCTGCGTTTAGCCCTCACAGGTGGGGTATGGTGGGGTCAGGGGGGCAGCTACGGGGGGCCATGAACTATGGGGGATCCTCCATAAACACGCATATACATACATAGATAAATCATGTATAAATACAATATATGTTTATCTAATGGGTATGTATATATGTTTTTATTTGACATGTATACAATATAGATGAATCATGTATAAATACAATAAAGTTGACACCAACTTAAATGGGTTTAATGAAAAGGAAGAAGACAGCGTCTTCCAAAGTCATTTTTTCGTCCATGTTTCCGAGTTGATTTGATGGGTTCCAGGTCAAAATATCATTAAATGATGAACACCCAGACTTCTGTGATGTGGGGTAGCAAACAAATAACCAAATCTGTGTTTCTGAAGCTGTTGGGAGCAATGGGTGGGTGGGTGAACATGATGCTGTGGCCAAGCTGCCAAGCTTACAGGACAGCAGAAGGGACATTCTTTGTCGGAACCTTGACAAAAGAGTTTTGGAGGCTGCTGATTTAAGACGCTTCTTGTTTGTTGTGCAGCACAGCCATCTATACTATACTTTGTATAGTTTAGTCATATATCCCGCAGAAAAAACATTCCTATCACTTGACATCCCATTAAAACATCGAATCATGTTGGTTTTTATGTTGCATTACCATTCTTGAAGCCAAAGCTAATCACTATTCGGCCATCCCAATGATAGATGGTGAAGCCACCACTATGTGTTTTTTAGGGGAAAAAAACCCGAGAATTCGACCCTTTGAAAGTTCCTGGAACTTGGAACATCCCACTTTTTGTGTATGTAAAACAAGGTCATTTTTACCACCCATGACTTCATAAATGGTTTAGAATACCTATAAAAATGGTTTTCCTGGGGGGTAAAGTTTACAGTATTTTTTTGTTTTACCCACATCGAAAAAACAAAAATCTTCATTTGATGTCCTCATATCACCGCAGCGCTTCGTTCTGCGGACTCCCAGGAACTGCTGGAACTTTTTGAACTCATGGAGCAAGGCGCGCCTTGGAGTTCCGAGATCCTTCCGCTCGACGGGCGCATGGCGTCGCTGCGCCGCTGGCTGTCGGCGGAAGTTCGGCCGCGGGAACCGGCCAAAGTGCTGGCGCTGGCCGTCGAATGTGGAAGTCCACCAGAAAAAGGTGGGAGTAAGGTGAGGATGTCTCTGAACATGGGAAGGATGATATACATCATAAGAAAAAACAAGAATTCATCTAAATTGATATGGGGATGTAGTGGATTTCGTGGGGATATCATGGGACATACAACAAACATGATGTGATTTTTGGACGTGAACGAGGGGTATACCCTCCAGTAAACTAACATAGCTATGGAAATCCATGCGTTCCCCCCGGACATGATCTAGAAACAGTGGATTTTCCTCATTTACACTGCAGGGTAGCCCCGAAAATGGCATTTTAATAGATGAACCGCCAACAAGAAACCCATCAAACTTTCACAGGGGCCACAAAAGTTGGGCTGTATGAGGTAGAAACATGTAGAAACATCATCTTGGAAACCACGTGTTTACCGATTGTTCAGTTTCCATGTGAAATTTGGTATATCACCTGCAAACAATTGGGGCAGATATGATTTGATCCACTGAGTGGATTGAACGCATGTTGGCCTCCTGTAACTAGCTCTTGAGCGGAGGATGGTAGTGGGCGAGCGGAGGATGGATCCTGCGTCTATGAGAAACCCATTTGCTGATGCTTATGTGTACACCATTGGTGATTGCATGGGTTCCATACCACAAACTCGCCAGAAAGCTAGGATGAGTTTCTCTTCATTGTAAGTCCGTATTCCTAGAGACTTCCTTAGATCCAGGTACATCAATTCGATGAAAAATCACCACTTTGATTGGTGAATTCCGTGTCATTTCTGATGATGAACTCCAGACTTTTTCCCCACCGTCCTTTTTTGGTGACCAGGAGTACCTGAAGCGAGACGCCTACCTCAGTGACCAGGCGCACGGAGAACATCCCAACCCGGGGGATTAGTGGGGTGAAAGTTCAGACGCCAGCTGCTCCATATCCAGAAAAATCATGAAGTAAATCATCCATCATCATCCCGTGGGAGAGTATTTTGCAGCTTGGACTATGGATCTATGCTCTAAAGACCCTCAAAATGGATCCATATTTGTCCACCCGGGATGGTGAGAATTGACGGACTTTTTACGGATTCATCCCGTAAAATTCGGGTAACGATTGGACCACCAAAAATGGGGAATTGACCAAAAAAAATATGGGGGACCTCCAACTGAGAATGCCATCAAGAAATGAGATCATTGCATAAGATTCTCCGAGGGTAATGACGAAGCTATCACTGTTTACCATTTCCATGCCCTCATGAGGGCCTTTGCTTCTTTGGGGTACACTCATTTGTTCTATCGTCATCCTCTCGTTGCATTGGCAATGTACCATCTTTTATGGGTCTTGAATATGGGGATTTCCCTTGCTAGGTGAGATTTTCTTCTTGGCAAGATTATAGATTATAGATGATATATATATAATTATATATATAATATTATACATCTATATCGGCGGCGCCACAATTGCATGTTTAAGGACAGCATGCGTGAAATATTCACCAAACAAAGCAACGGCATGTTGACTAACCAAATGGTGACTTAGTCAGAATAGATGGGGCAATTGCCCCTTTAGAGCAATTACGTTGTTTTCAGTGGATGCATACAGCTGTATGTTTGGGAAACCAACAAACAGATCACCAATTTAACTTGATGAAATCACATTGTTGCTGGGTAAAGCACAAATTTTTTGGCTGGCTTGTTTTACCATTTTGCATGGTAAAACAACACATGTTCATGGTAAAACCAGAAATTTGGCAGTAAAAACCACCATTTGGACGGTCGAAAGCCACAGCTGAAGTCGTGCCAGGTTGAGAAGCGGCTGCGGCAAGTGGAGCGCATGCAGGCGAGTTCGCGTTTTCGCGTTTTGGGGTTTTGGGGGATAGGATGGGATAAGGGGGAAAGGTTGGTAAATATCTGGGATCCCCCAAAAGTATAGGGATATCCTCTCCTATTTAGGATATTTTAGGGATATTTTTCACATCACTCCAAGTACTGTATCTGTTGGAGATGAAATATCCACCAGTTGGGTGATGTGAAAAATGGTTGGACATTTACCAAGCCTTGTAGGAACCCACCAAAAAGATGCTGAGAATAGCTGCAGTAATCTTGTATTTGAAGGGATTTAGGAAGAACTTTTTGGATCACTGGGGGGTAAGTATCTCCCGATGTTAAAGAAAGAATGATGCCAGCCACGATATGTTGATGGTTTAAACTGTTTACTGTATACTGTTTATACTGTTTATACCAGCCATTATGCTAAATTGGGGGATGGTTTACTACTGCTTTGCTAACAGTATGCCAAATCCGTTGATTAATCATCATATTTCCTTTTTGATGGCCATTTTTGGGCAAATATGTTACAATGAACGTGAAGAGAGATGGAATTCCGTTGAAATGTATATATAGGTACATAGAGATGATGTCCCTTTTTTGACCTCCAAATTGAAATGCCATTTGAAACACTATTTGGGACTCACGAAAATTGGGTCTGCGCATCATTTGGTTTCAGATTCGGATGGGGAATTGTTTGCCATGATCCACTCCCTCAGTACTTGTTACTTGTGACGACCATTTCCCGTGCTTTTACCTGGCGGTTTACATCCAGGATGTGTCCGTATATTTCGTTTCAGACTGTTTTGTACCAACAAAGTCAATCAAAGTCAATCAAAGTCATAGGTTTTGAGATTCAACAAAACTCGGCTTTTAGTAGAGTGCCACATACAGTTTTTCGGGATTTGGGGGAATAAACATTTTAAACATCCATAAGCCAGCCATTTTTGGGGTACCATCCAGCCACCAGGGTGGTTCCTCCGAGCTCCTCCCCAACAAGTTGGGTCACAAAAAATACGGGACTTCTGAGGAAATTTTTGGCAACCCCAAGCTCGCTGGATGGTTTATCATGGAAAATCCATTTAAATGGATGATTTAAACTGGCGCAGCCATGACTTAGGAAAGCTCCATTTCTATCCATTTCTGACAAACATACCTCGGCGATTGATGATATTGATGCCATCGTTTATGGCGCAAGCCCGATGGACCCAGCGACCCCTGGGACCCGACCCGTTCCCAGCACCTTTTTCCATTCCCAGGCGGCGATCCAGCATTGGAAGCAGAAGATTGCGCAGAATCGCCAAGAATGCGAGGTGATGGGATTGGGATCAACCAGGATGGGATTTGAAGATCTGAAAGATCTCAAAGAATATCTGAAAGATCAAGCTGTGAACAAAATGAGCAAGACATGAAGTTTGAGATTCTAGCTGTGAGATTTTTCGCATGGACATGATTTTGGCCAGAAATCAGATCCACCGGAGACTTCATAGTGAGCCCCGCTCGAACTCGAACTCGAACTGGAACCCCCCCCCCCGGAAAAAAAAACCAAGCTTTCTGAGTCCGGACTCGCGGTCCACATGCTCGAACTCGAGTTCGAACTGGCGGTGACACAGTTCGAACTCGCGTTCGAACTCGCCCCAGAGCAGTTCGAACTCGATTTTGACCTGGCGGCGTCCGCGTCGAACTCGAACTCGAACTCGAACTCGCACCCCCCCCCCCGGGAAAAAAAAAACAAGCTTTCTGAGTCCGGACTCGCGGTCCACATGCTCGAACTCGAGTTCGAACTGGCGGTGACACAGTTCGAACTCGCGTTCGAACTCGCCCCAGAGCAGTTCGAACTCGATTTTGACCTGGCGGCGGCCGCGTCGAACTCGAACTCGAACTCGACCCCCCCCCCGGAGGGGAAAAAAAAACCTTTCCGAGTATGCATTCACGGTCAAGCTCTGAAAGACTGCGAGCTGTCAGATAGCCATCTGGTGATGCAGATTATTTTCCTGGGGGTCCACTACCAAATTAATAATCTTGAAATCACCGATTTGATCCGATTTGCACATGCTAACCCTGCGTCCCTTCGAACCCAGGAAAACAATCTTGGTTCAAAATATGTCAAAAATATTTCAAGATTATTTTGCAAACGTCCGGCCACAGGAAAGTAATGTTCATGGGGGGGGAGTTCACTGGAACATATATGTACGTCAAACCCCAGGAAAAAAATGCCCCATGATTATTTGAGGGGGTATGGTTCTTTACATGACTCTAAAAGGTTGGGAACCAGGATTTAAATCTGTGGAAATGGTGCTAAAATGATTATAATGCTGAATGTGCGTAGGTTAGACATCAGGAACAAATTCCAAAGATACATTTGTCCTTGCAAAGGGGTACATTTGTCTTGAACGCGCGCCCAAATTTGCAAAACACATATTTTTTGCTGAAAATACATTTGTCCTAGCAAAAGGCTGCAACCACATATGTTCAGCTTCACCAACCAAAAAGGTGACTTGAAGAGGGCGAGGCGCAGGTGTCAAAAATAAATTCCAAGGGGCTGGACCTTTTTTGGCTGAATACATGCGGATGATCTTCAAAGGTTGGCCCCACAGGAAAAAAACCAGGCCAACCATCCATAGATAGGAAAGGATGGGACAAATTCAAGAATTTTGTGTCAATGCGCGCTCAAAATGCAAAACACATGTTTTTTTGCTGAAAATAAATTTGTCCTAGCAAAAGGCTACAACCACGTATGTTCAGCTCCACCAACCAAAAAGGTGACTTGAAGAGGCCGAGGCGCAGGTGTCAAAAATAAATTCCAAGGGGCTGGACCTTTTTTGGCTGAATACATGCGGATGATCTTCAAAGGTTGGCCCCACAGGAAAAAAGTCGCATCACCAGGCCAACCACCCATAGATAGTAAAGGATGGGACAAATTCAATAATTTTGTGTCAACGCGCGCCCAAAATTCAAAACACTGTTTTTTTTGAAAATACATGTGTCCTTGAAAAAGTCTACAACCACATATGTTCAGCTTCACCAAGCAAAAAGGTGACTTGAAGAGGGCGAGGCGCAGGTGTCAAAAATAAAATCCAAGGGGCTGGACTTTTTTTTGGCTGAATACATGCGGATGATCTTCAAAGGTTGGCCCCACAGAGGAAAAGTCGCATCACCAGGCCAACCATCCATAGATAGGAAAGGATGGGACAAATTCAAGAATTTTGTGTCAACGCGCGCCCAAAATGCAAAACACATGTTTTTTTGCTGAAAATAAATTTGTCCTAGCAAAAGGCTACAACCACATATGTTCAGCTTCACCAACCAAAAAGGTGACTTGAAGAGGCCGAGGCGCAGGTGTCAAAAATAAATTCCAAGGGGCTGGACCTTTTTTGGCTGAATACATGCGGATGATCTTCAAAGGTTGGCCCCACAGGAAAAAAGTCGCATCACCAGGCCAACCATCCATAGATACGAAATGATGTGACAAATTCAAGAATTTTGTGCCAATGCACGCTCAAAATGCAAAACACATGTTTTTTTGCTGAAAATAAATTTGTCCTAGCAAAAGGCGACAACCACATATGTTCAGCTTCACCAACCAAAAAAGGTGACTTGAAGAGGCCGAGGCGCAGGTGTCAAAAATAAATTCCAAGGGGCTGGACCTTTTTTGGCTGAATACATGCGGATGATCTCCAAAGGTTGGCCCCGCAGGAAAAAAAAGTCGCATCACCAGGCCAACCATCCATAGATACGAAATGATGTGACAAATTCAAGAATTTTGTGTCAACGCGCATTTGTCCATGCGAAAGGGTGCAAACACATATGACATATGTTCAGCTTCGCCAACGCATAAAATGAGCTGGAAACGTTCGGATCCACGATTTAATATGTTCCAGGCGCGGGTTATTTGCTAAAGTTGTGGTCCGTGCAGCCCAGGATATTGTTAACACGTGATTTAATTTGGGTGGTTGTGAAATTGCGGTAAGCCCCAAAGCATCTGATTCTTAATTTTACATACTCCCAAGTAATTGGGAATGTGGTAATTCATTCGATAAACAATTGAGTTTTGGGTTCGTCTTCAGATAGCCCCCACTCGAATCTGTCATGGGCTTCGAAACATTCATATGTAAACCTTGGATCCCAGGAAATAAGTCGGTTAACAGCACGTGTTGAGGGGTTGTTTGTTGAGCATTATATAAGGGTTGGCACTCAGGAATTTAATTGATATTAGAGGGGGAGAAATGCCTTTCTGGAAACCTTAAGCGTCAGGAAATTATTGCCTGCAAGTTTTATTCGTCTGAGACTATAAATTCCGGCAAGTAAGGTCAAGCACCAGGATTTTAATCTTAAAAAGGCCAGGACCCCAAAAATTAATCACGATATTTTCCCAGGACAGGACTCTCCGGAGTGCACCAGATGGATATCTGTCAGCCGGGAAGTCAGGTGCCAGGAATTAATTTTTTTCCGTATCAGATTGAGGGGGGGAGATATGGCATGTTACCAACGCAAGCATCCAGGAAATAATTTTCTTACTTGGCTATCAGAGGGGTAAATTTATTGGATGTTGAAAATCTCCCGACCTAGAACTCGAACTCGAACTCGAACTCCTCCCCCCCCCCTCCCCTCGAACGATGACAGTTCGAACCCTCGAACTCGAACTCGAACCCCCCCCCGCCAAAAAAAAACTCCCGACCTAGGACTCGAACTCGAACTACCCCCCCCCCTGCCCTCGAACGATGACAGTTCGAACTCGAACTCGAACTCGAACTCGAACTCGAACTCTGGAAAAAAAATCTCCCGACCTCGAACTCGAACTCGAACCCCCCCCCCTCCATGGAACATAACAATTCGAACCCTCGACTCCCCTCCGAACGTCCCACCTCGAACTCGAACTCGAACTCGACCCAAACCTCGAACATCGAACTCCCTCGAACTCGAACTTCCCCCCCCCAAAAAAAAATCGACTCGGACTCGAACTCGAACTCGAACTTCCCCCCCCCCATCCCCTCCGAAGCAGACGTACGATGCCAGTTCAAACTGGTATCGAACAGTTCGAACCCCCCCGGGTTAACTCGAACCCTCGAACTCGAACTCGAACCCCCCCCTCCCCTCGGACACCTACTACGGCAGTTCGAACTCGAATCGAACAGTTCGAACCCCCCCGGGGCACACTCTGGGAGACTTTAAGTGGTCATCCGGTCGCGCGGGAGACTGCAGCCCAGTGCCAGGATCGCAATCAACAGCTTAGAACAGAGAAGGATCACATTGCCAAGCACTTCCAGGATCTTGTTTCGGGCTCTGAGTAAACCTTGAGGCTCATTTTTCGGGGGATGCCACACGGGTCAATGCCACATCCCAGGCTTGAGGGTGAACATGGACTACCTGAGAAAGATCGATATCTTTATGTAAATAGCTTAGAAATACCAACAATGAATCGCAAGAATACAAGCAAGGCAAACCAAACCTAATGAAGAAGTCTTCAACACACATCAAAAATTCATGCCATAAATCTTCATTACCAAAGCCCACTCCCTCTGGCAACTCATCGGACCAAATCCGTCACAAATACATCAAACATCCCATGGCGAGGTTAAGTTTTAGGCCTGACAATTTAGATAATTTAGGGTGAAACCCGTAAGATTTGATGGTCTATCAAAAATGCGTATCATTGAATTCCCTGTTTTGCCATGAAAACATCTGAAAAACATCTATTTTTTGAGGTACAATCCCCAATTCTCAGACACATCTGCATTCGCTGAGGAGTTGAAGGCGAAGATGAACCACTTCAGATCTGAAGGCAAGAAACGCCTGGCCGATCTCACCATGAATGCCAGGTGCGGCTGAACCAACACGGAGCTGGGTGAATGGTGGAAACCAACACGGTCCTCGTTTCCAGTGGATTTTGAGGTACCTAAAAATTTGCAGAATTGTTCAGAGCCAATACATTTATCCTCTGGTAAACTAACATAACTATGGAAAACCACCATTTTTAATGGGAAAATCCACTATAAATGGCCATTTTCCATAGCTATGTTAGTTTACCAGAGGGTATCCTACAGGGTTGTGCTGCAATAGTTGATACTCCCCTAAAGTTCTGCGAAGTTCGGGTTTCACTGACGATTGCTTTTCGTATTCTGCACCGAAACCACTGTCCAAAAAACCCCGCGAGGGTGTCATCCTGGGTCATTCCTGCAAAGATAGTCTCCAGGGATAGTGAGGCACCAACTTAGGTGCCTTGACTGAACCTGTTTCTGTAAGATTTAAAGGTTGGGATACCGTGAAACCCCAGCGACAAAGATCCAAACGAGCGACTGGTTTGTCCACAAAATAAGGTACCCCTTTCCTTCCATTGCTGACAGTCATCATTTTCCCTGTGAAAGCCACCATTTCCAGATAGAGCCAAATATCATGTCAAGGTAGATATATCTCATTATATCTCATTAATGAGTCTTCCACTAAGATCCCATTGTATACCCAGCAAGATTCGATGAATATCCCGTTAACATTCCATTAACATTTCATTAAGATCCCATTCAAATTCCATCAATATTCCATATAGACCTTTAAGATCAATATTCCAATGAATATCTCATTAAAAAATCCATCTTGATATTCCATTAAGATCTCATTGATATTCCATATATATATATATAGACCTCTATCTGCCCGCCATTTTTCAACCAGGAACTGCATCAAATCCTTGAAAGATCAGCTGGGTTTAGCCGAGCGGATCCTCAAGACAGCCGAGCTCTGTAGGACACGACCTTGGGACCGCCATGGGATCCTAACGGTGCTGCTATATATGGTGTGCCATGGATCCCATCAACAAAAACCCCCTATGAATGTTAGCATTAATATACCAGCACCATGGATCCTAATTATGGGTAACTAGACCTGTACGAAGCACCTGTACAGAGTTGGATGATCCTCCAGACATGGAGACATCTTCGAAAAAATGGGTCCTTTAAGTTGGGCCATCCGCCGTCCTTTTCCGTTGTCATGGAGGAATGTTTGTAAATCTTGCTGGACATTCGTTTTTTTTTTAATGGGTAGTGAAGAAGAAAAGTGACGCCGCCGCCCACAGGCCACCCGTCACGGCGTAACCTGGGTAGTTTAGGCCGTGAATTGAATGCCCCAGAAAATGGACGGAGCATCTTCTAAGTAAGTAGTGAAAGGGACATTCCAGATTGGCCCCGGAAGAGGGTAGACTTACCAGCATCCTTAACTGTGTTTCCAGCTGCCAGTTTCACAACTGGCCAGGAACTGCCATTTTGATGATTGCATTGCTGTTTACCTTGAAGTGTGTCATCGCGATTCAATTTACAGATGATTTTGACACTCAAATCTCCATTTATAGTGGATTTCCCATATGAGTTCCCGTTGCTTGTATGGGATTTCCCAGCTAGCAGTGTTTGATGACCGGAAAGTAACCAGCCGTGATGGTCAATTGAATTGATAACAAAAAATCCTAGAACAGGGATGGGATTATGTGTATATATATAATAATAATAACAACAATAATAATAAATAAAATAATAATAATAATAACAATAATAATAATAAGCAATAATAATAACAATAATAATCAATAATAATAATAACAATAATAATAATCAATAGTAATAATAATAACAATAATAATAATGATAATAATACATATATATATAGTATCATATATACATATCCCATTGAACTAATTTGAATGTTCCATTAAATCCCATTAAATCCCATAATATGCCACTCGTCTAATATGCCACTGTTGTATCCCATCATTAGAAGCAGACTAGCCGTTGTGAATCAATCGTCATTGACAAGATGATTCTCGCCGGCAGGAAATTTGAGACTGAGCGTGAGAAGGCTGGGATAATACACAGTTATAATAGTTATGGCATAATAACCATATAACTATGGTATCTTTATCCTACTTAGATACTTAGGTTTTATGTAGGTTATGTGGCTGGATTTTTCAGGCAACTAGGCTGAATTTCCAATAAGACTTGGAGTTATAAGTTATGCCTTTGCAGTACTCTAGCACCGAGCAAAAAAATAAAACAAGGTTTTAAACTTTAGACTTACCACTATTTTTGTTTTTTTTTGGAAACAACTTTCACTATTCTATCTTTCTTGGGGTTATTACAAGGGTGAACCACCAAGCAGTAAGCACAACTAAGTAGCCCCAAGTTCCTCAACCCTTCATCATGGAAACCTGGCGACAGGTACTTCCCTTCTACCTCTCGCGTGATATCCTCCAGGAATTTGAGGAAGGTGAGCTTGAATTCGGAGATGAGGCCGGGTTGAGCCGTGAAAAATGACTATGAACCAGTGGATTTGGGGTACGTATCCCTTATGGTATCTTATACTATATATATGTATACGTATATATACATATTTTCACAAACATATAGGATATATAGGTTTTGACTGGACCAGTCTGGGTAGGGAAAAACCCTCTCATTTTTGTCATATCTTTTTACGGAGCTCTTCCAGGACCTCAAAGAGGAGATCCGAAAAGAGCTCACGGACGTCGGCATTGACGAATGGACCTATTTGGACAACTTTTTCAAGCGCTTCAATAAGGCCCGCAATGGGCCCGCTTGCTGCGCTGGCAATGTTGGCGGATGTAAAATTCATCTCAGATGAGATCTTAGAGATTGTATTGTGTATGTTACAATATATGAATAAATAATGTATATATATATATAATTATATATATATATACACAGAAATAATATGTTACAATACAGTATAAGATTGTACATTAAATATACACAGAAGCGCTGCAAAATGCGGGAGTTTTGGGGCCCGGCGAAATCGAAGCATCGGAGGGTTACCATGACATAAAATCTCCCAAGATCTGATAGAAACCACTTACATGAAATATAGGATATGAATGGTATATCAATAGGATATTTAATTATATATACATATATATATATATTATATATATATATAATATACACATGTATGTATATATATATACATATTGGGATTTCTCATCCTGGAATAGTAAATTACTTTACTTCGTGTGATCCCCACCATGACATTTATACATTTTCTTACTGGCAAATCTTCTGGCATTCTATCTGACATATCTTCTGACATTCTATTTGGCATTCTATCTGGCATATCTTCTGGCATATGATCTGGCATATCTTCTGGCATATCTTCTGTCATTCTATCTGGCATCTCTATCTATCTGGCATATCTTCTGGCACTCTATCTGACATATCTTCTGGCATTCAATCTGGCATTCTATCTGGCATATATATCTGACATATCTTCTGGCATTCTATCTGACATATCTTCTGGCATATATTCTGACATATCTTCTGGCATATCTTCTTGGCATATCTTCTGGCATATCATATCTATATCTATCTGGCATATCTTCTGGCATATTTTCTGGCATTCTATCTGGCAAATCTTCTGGCATTCTATCTGGCATTCTATCTGGCATATCTTCTGGCATATTATCTGGCATTCTATCTGGCATATCTTCTGGCATATCTTCTGGCATATCTTCTCATTCTTTCTGACATTCTTTCTAACTTTCTTCTGCACATTCTTTGTCCCATATCTTCCTACATGAGGTCCGGCAGGGAACACTTGGCGTGGATACTCGCGGTTGAGGTCCGGCAGGGAACACTGGGCGTGGATGGTCGTGGTTGAGGTCCGGCAGGGAACACTGGGCGAGGATGGTCGTGGTTGAGGTCCGGCAGGGAACATTGGGCGTGGATGGTCGTGGTTGAGGTCCGGCAGGGAACACTGGGCGTGGATGGTCGTGGTTGAGGTCCGGCAGAGAACATTGTGGATCGCGGGTCGCAGTTGAGCAAGGACGACGAGGACGACGAGGACGACGAGGACGACGAGGAGGACGAGGAGGAGGAGGAGAGGAGGACGAGGCAGGAGGAGGCGGAGGAGGAGGAGAAGGAGGAGAAGGAGGAGGAGGAGGAGGCAACTGACATAAAATCTAACAACCCTCACCTGGCAGGTGGGGAAAAATCACTGGTTACTGTAGACTTCCGATTGCCAGGTCAAGCTTGACACTCACGCAGTGGAGCAGGACTGGCACTGGAGCCTTCGGACCTTGAAACACGATGAATCGCCCCCATTTTTTGACGACCCTCTGGTAATGACTAACATAACTATGGAAAATCACCATAGAAATAGTGACATTTCCCATGAAAAATGGTGGATCTTTCCATAGTTATGTTAGTTTACCAGAGGATACCTCACCTTTGTTGGGTTTGTTGCTGAATCCGTACACATTGGGATTATATCCCCAGTCATACAGACATCGAATGATCGTTAAAAAAGTCAGGCGAATTGAGTGGAACCGAGGTGACCGGACGTCCACGGCTAAAGCCCAGTTTGGTTGGTTGCTTCGGCGTACGTCCATGGAAAATCACCAGTCTTAAGAGGTAAATCATCATGTTCATCTATTTCTATGGGCCATGGCTTCGCAAACTGGTTCACAAATAACCAGAGGGATTTCCATTTCAACATCTATTCTTCATCTAATCATATTCTAAAGAATTCTTCATCTAATCACCAGTTTTAGAGGTAAAACATATTTCAACATCCCAGTCCCATCTCACCACGGCGTCCAGGAGGGAAAGCGTCTCACCAAGGAGAATGTACAGTCGCCTGGCAACGATGAACGATGCCGCCCTAATGGATGTGTGGATCGTAGTTTTTTTTTTTTGTGTGTTGATGTTTGTAATATATAGATAATGAATACACATGTGTATATATGTATATTCATATGCACATGTATAACATTTTGTACATGTGTATATGTATGTATGTATATATATATATGATTATATATATATATGTATATGTATATGTATATGTGTATATATGTATATGTGTATGTGTGTGTATATGTATATACACATATTTACATATAGATCATATGGGGAAGCTCCCCAAGCGGCAAGACGTTGGAAACATGGGGTGAATCTGTGCTGAGGTTACGCTCCATTCTGAAGCAATTCCTGGATGGCGTCAGTGTCAATGAGGCCGATGCCATGTTTTCATTGGCCCTTATGCTTGAGGAAAACCCATTCAAAAAACAATCGGATTTCCATCTTAGGTTTTACATGTTCTATGATACCAATGTATCTTACCCTCTGGTAAACTAACATAGCTATGGAAAATCACCATTTTTAATGGGAAAACTCACTATAAATGGCCATTTTCAATAGCTATGTTAGTTTACCAGAGGGTAGATGCTAAAAAACCATCGGATTTTCCAGTGAACTTCGAACCTCTTCGAACTCGACATCTTGGATCACACGGGCTCGGAAGGATGTGCTGTCCGCGCCCAATCCGCTGTTGGTGGTGAACGGCAAGGCACATGTGTTTGCCGGTTCAACCGCATTCGTGCTGGTTAATGACATCCGACAAAAAATACATCATTGTTGGAAAACCTCGGCAAATTCCACATCCTTGCTCGTGAAATCCACATTCTTGTTTTGGCAAACTCCGCATTTTTTGCGGTAAACACCAGAGTTTTTATTGGTCAAACAACCATCTTTGATGCTTAAACCATTTCCAACAGTTTGACCCCTGGGCAGGTGAATCTCAACCACGTGCCCGTGAAGCGGATGGCCGACAAGACCGCCAGGGGTCCCTGTTGATTCGATGTCTGCTTGCTTTTGCCATGTTTGATTCATTAAGGCCACTGAAGAGTGATAGCCTGCTGCTAAAATGGTATCCCCCCCCATTCAAACAGCCTATGTAGGGGGTGAATAAAGGTCTGGGGTTGACATTGTAGGCAAAGATTGTTTACCATCACCACCAAGTAACAGCTTGAGCCGGAGAATCGCAACCGTCCATTTTTAGGTTGGAAAGACTTGTCCTTTCAACCAATGTTTCGCAGGGTCTTTGTAAGTTGAGGGATTATACAACATGTGTAATCATGTGTATATATATATACAGTATATACATATTGCATGTATCTATTTACCCAGTTACATGATGTTACATGAGATATATCTTTGGCTGGAGAATACAGTCTAATTTATGTTAAAACACTAGTAGAATGCTTCGGTACATCAGGTACATCAGTAGATCACATATGATCCCCGGAGTTGGCGACCACTGACTCAGCTGTCTAGCTGAAGACTCCTCAAAACCATCCAATCATCTGGAACATCATCTATAAAAAGGGAGGGAATTCCCATTTATGAAAAGCTGGAACGGCTGGAACACCATCTCGGAAAACAATTGGACTTGTGTTCCAGAAAAACATCATATCCTAATTTCCGACCGGAATTTTATCTGTTTTTTTCTTCAAGTTTCAGGTTTAGAATATATATATATACATATTCCCCAAAGGGATGTTCCAATAGATATCAATAGATTATATACCCTCTGGTTATTTAACGTAGCTATGGGAAATCACCGGTAAATCCTCATGTTTATCATCTATTTCTATGGGCCATGGCTTACCATAGCAAACTGTAACAAAACACCAGAGGGATTTCCATTTCATCATCTATTGTTCATCATCGAATCATATTCTAAATCTGTTTCATCACCAGTTTTAGTCAATGGGAATTCCAGGATCCTAAAATGGAGGTACGTTAGTACCATATTGTTGGCCATATTCTGTGGGGATATTCCCAAAAACATCCTGAAATGGCCATTGATTTAGAGGTAACACATATTTCAAGGTTCCAATAGATTCATATGGATTTTCATGGACCCATCATCTCTCTTTCTGCGCAGGTCTATGTGGAAGCCGCCCTCCATGCGGGAAACACCGTGGTCAGGCGCCAGAATTCGAAGCATTTCACGAGGCAACACGATCCAAAGATAGCACTTCTATCGGTGGTGAACCAGTGGTTCTTTAGGTGAAATGATGTGATATGTTATCTTCAGCAACTTTTGAATGGGGTGCAGATGGATTACAGTATATATTAGATACATTTAGATAGGATACTAGGACCCAGAATCATAACTATGGCTAGAAAATCTGCTTGAAGCCCCAATTTTGCTGCAGCTTTTCCTCATGGCAGGCACTGATCTGAGCCTACTTTGAGGATCATCCCACGGATCATCACTGGTTGCTTTCAGTGAATGGGGGTATAACTTATAACCCACTTATGAATGGGATAACCCTAGGAATCGGGGACTTACTAACCAGGGTTACTACCCAGTTACTAAGTTGGATAATCCTCCAAGTACTGCATTAATTTCTGCATGAGTGGGGGATGAAGATAGATTTGCAGAGATCACACCCGGATTCCATAGCAAGAGCTCTCAATCACCGGGGGCCCAAGGACATTCAAATTCGTCTTTAGAGACATCATTTGAGACCGAGGGGAACCAGCAACAGGCCTGGATGGTAAAAGCATAGTTTCCTATCAACATTTCCTTGGATATCCAAGCCAGTGATAGTAGGTTCCAATTCCTACAAGGTAATTCCCCCTAGTTGGCTAAGTTTGTCAACATAACTCCAATAAGTCGGATCTATGGTGGATATATCTAACTAGTTGATGGGGGTTATAAAACCGACAATTCCCACGAAATCCCAATTCACAATCCCCATTATTGATGGCAGACATTCCCAATTTTGATACAATTTATTCCATCAAACGAGATATTCCAACATATTGGTTATAATACGTATATATACCCTGTGGTAAGCTAACATGGCTATGGAAAATCACTCTTTTAAATGGGTAAATCCTTTTCCATAGCTATGTTTGTTTACCAGAGGGTATATATGTATAGTATATATTTCAAACCCGGAGGATTTCATTGACAGCAGCGTTTCACCGCCGGACTCCTGGTTCCAGCACCGGTTGTTTGGCTGCACGAGCACGCTGAAAAAGAATTGGACGGGATACTTGGATTGCTTGGACTGGGACAAATCTCATGTCTGTTTGTCATGGTTTACCTGAAAATGGGCTGCTTTTTTTTTTCATGGTGTAACATCATGTTCCCTGTTTAAAAGCATGGTGATCTGGCATCAATTTGGGGGCCCAAATCACCAGAAACAAATCAGATTTAGATCCTAAGTTTGGTTGATCAAGTGGATGGCCCAGTTGGTGCAGCTACGATAACTGGGATATTCCACATGTTTTCTTGGGTACGGTATGCTATGTTTCTTACCCACGTGCGATGTCTAGGATGCACCACCCTTCGTACACTTCGTATGGCAGATTCCTATGTGGCCAAGATAATTCATGATGTTTCGAAGCAGCTGTGCCATGCATAGACAGTGAAAGTATATGAAGATAGGGAAGTCATGGGAAGTCAATAAGAGGGATGCAAACAACTATAATACGGTTGCAGGTTGCAGACAGTGGGTCTTCCTCGATCCAAGCGATCCAAGACCAGAGGATTTCTCCAGTTGGTCGGTTTTGCGGTGTGACACCAGTTGGATCTGATTTTGGGATTGACAAATTTAGGCATTTTGGCGTCTCTGAATATCTCCTGGGTACAAAAACTCCTTGAAAAAATGAGATCCGGGCCGGACATCTTCAGAACCCAAAAATGCTGTGAAACTCTAGCCCCATTTGCAAGGGCTTGTGGCTTCACACCATGACTTCCGTCTTTGGCCAGCTTTTAGATTCAGTTCCATTTCTCATGGTTTTTACAGAAACACGCTTCGGAGAAACCAACACAAGTCAAGGTCACCTTTTTGATTGAATGATGTTTAGCCCCGTTGTTGTGGAACTTCAGCGGTCCATATCTTTTTCTGGCAGAACAGCCATGAATTCCTCGGCAAACATGACTTAATATAGTCAGCTGCCGTTTTTCAGATGGTTCTTCATGGTTTTTCAGTCAACTTAAGTGCAGTTTTGCAGATCGCCACAAAAACTACCAGCTGGTATTCGCTTTTGCCATCGCGCCTGAATGTAAGACGCACATGCCCTAAGCAGTGGCCGAAGGGCTGCGCATAGAGAGGCGCGCATGGTCAGGTCCTCAGAAGGGTGGATTCAGATGGGGCGTTAATTTGATGGGTGGACACAACGAGGATGTAAGTTGCCCGTGCCCCGAAAGCTTTGTTTTTTTTTTTCCCTTTCCTACATCAACCATCAAGTGATGGCTTTTGTGGGGGGCCAGTCTTGGGTTACCCCATTGTACATGTGTGTATATGTAACAATATGTATGTATAAAAACACACTGTATATGAATATATACAATATACATATATATATATGTATATATATAGCGCACAATATACACACAATATGTATATGTATATATATATACACACGCTATATGTATATATGTATATATATATATGTATATATATATATACACACTATATATGTATATATATATACACTATATATATATACACACTATATATATATAAATATATATATATATATTATATGGGTATAACGTATTTCACCGCCCCCATCCAGTGTTTTCAAGTATTCTATATGTGCACGTTTCAGAGATGTTGTGCACGTTTCAGAGATGTTGTGCACGTGTCAGAGATGTTGTGCACGTGTCAGAGATGTTGTGCACGTTTCAGAGATGTTGTGCACGTGTCAGAGATGTTGTGCACGTGTCAGAGATGTTGTGCACGTGTCAGAGATGTTGTGCACGTGTCAGAGATGTTGTGCATGTTTCAGAGATGTTGTGCACGTATCAGAGATGTTGTGCACGTTTCCCAGCAGTTGTCACGTTTCACAGAAGTTGTGCACGTGTCACAGAAGTTGTGCACAAGTCACACGCCCCCCAAGAACGTTCGTGTTCAACTGTATACACACTGAGCGCATTCTAATCAGCGAAAGCATTGGGGCGACCAAACACGTTCTCCCGATATATATATATACATACACTATATACATGTATATTGTACAAGTATGTTCAATGTGTATATGTATATACGTATAATGATAGCTTTGCAGTAATGTACAATAGTAGTAAGATAGTAATGATAAGAATGAGAACAATCAAACACATAATGACAGTAGTAACAATAGCTGATACATATAAACACAACAAAAGACCTATACATATGTATGCACTGCAATGTAATGCAATGTAAGGTAAGGCAAGCTAAGCTAAGGTAAGCGAAGGAAATGCAATGTAGTGCAATGCAATGCAATGCAATGTATTGTATTGTATGTACACGTACATGTACATTGACTTATGCCTGTCATCTTGCGTGTGTAGGACGCAAACATGTACTTTTTAGTGTAATTATATTGAAAAAACATGGTCGAAGCATCTCAGTGCCATAGAAATTTGATCCAATTCTTACCCCAAACCTGGCTCCCAGGCAGTGCCGGTGAAGAAAAAGGTCAAGGTGAAGAAAAAGGTACCAGGGCCCTGGTGGCTGGGTTGGCCCCCCACTTCGCTTACTCAAAAAAATGTGGTTATATAATTCACAAACTGGAATGAGCCACCAAGTGGTTTAAGTTTACTTTTTCCCCACCTGTCAGCTGTCCCGCCTCCTCCTTCTTCTCCTCCGCCGGACCTCAACTGCAAGCGCTAGATCGCAGTGTTCCCGGACCCGAACAGCAAGCTCAGGATCAGAGTGATCCCCGCCGGACCTCAACTGCAAGCACTAGATCGCAGTGTTCTGCCGGACCCGAACAGCAACCTCTGGATCAAAGTGTTCCCCGCCGGACCTCCACCGCAAGCTCCGGATCAGAGTATTCCCCGCCGGACCTCCACCGCAAACTCCGGATCAACGTTTTCCCTCTGGACCTCAACCGCGAGCTCCGGATCAGAGTGTTCCCTGCCAGACCTCAACCACAGAGACTCTCCGAAGATATACCAGATAGAATGCCAGAAAGAATGTCAAAAGATATGCCAGATAGAATGCCAGAAAAAATGTCAGAATATATGTCAGAACAATGGATCAGGGTGGGGATCACTCGAAGAAAGTAATTTTATCTCTACGGAGATAACCTGTTAACGAGATTATATGATATTATGTAGTACCTAGCCAAGAGGCGACTTCTGTTCGCAGGGTATCCAAGACTAGCTATGATTCAATCTGCATCAATAGCGAGGGGCTATGGGAACTGCTTGAAGTGTCAAACTGGCTAGGTCCGTCCCAGATCTGTGCGAATTTTTGTCAGCTCATTGGGTTGAAGAGTCACTGTTTGAAGTGTCGCAAGCATAGCCTCTGAGTGCGGGGAAACAACCAAACAGTTTAGTCTATGGTGGTTATTACAACTATGACCATAGCTATCATAGTTAGGGGGCACGATAATCAAATGCAACTAGGATTTATTGTTTAAACAACTTTTGTTATTGTTGTTGCTCTATAAACGCCCATCAACTATAGATATGTAATGGCATATTGGTATATCTACCATAAACCCTACTTGAAATTATTGGAGTTGTAAACTAACTTAGCTATCTAGGGGGCTTTCCGCCTTGTAGGGTCTATGTCAAACCACATTCCTTATGCTAAAACTATGGCTCAAATTTTCCTGCTCCCCCTCAACTTCGATGGTTAAACAGTACACATCAGGCAAATCTCGCATTAAGAAACCTCATCAACCAGCCTTAAATCCCCCATTTGATCATTAAACATCATTAAACCATATGAAACCCAATTTTGTTGCTGGTCAAATCTCTATCTTCGGATCATCCTTTTTTTTTTTTCAGAAAAACCTTCTTAGAGATCCCATCAATTTTCGGAGAGTGACATCCTCCGAAAAAACCAGGGCCCTGGGGAAATTTCATGGGGAAATTGAAGATGAACCATGGGATTTAGACAGTACCAGGTACCTGGTTTTTAGACACACCAAGTAATATATAATATATATATACCCTCTGGTAATTTAACGTAGCTATTGAAAATGGCCATTAATAGTGGATTTTCCCATTAAAAATGGTGATTTTCCATAGCTATGTTAGTTTACCAGATGGTATATACATAGAACAATCCAATATCCTCATGAAATATCCCGTTTGTCGTGATTCGGGTAGGTTTCAATCCGTTTCAATCCACCATTTCACTACAGAAAAACATCAACGTACAATTCCCCAAATATCCCCATTCATCCATGACTTATATCCCATGATTGATGGTTATATTCCCATGTTCCATGGCTACATCCCCATTAAAACAGATCCTGCTCAAACCCATCCTTAGAATAGGCACAGGCTCAAAGATCCCCAGTACATCCAAGTAGATGACTAGTGTTAGATGATTTTTGGCCTTCGAAACTCATCATTTCTAGATGAATTGCCCCGGTGGGAGGCCGCGGCCCCGGAGAAGACCGTGACGAAGACCCAGGTCGCGGAAACGTCTGAGGCTGGAAATTTTGGGGTGGGGTCCCTTTCCGAAAATGTTTGGAAAACTGATTTAAGCAACAAAAAATAACAAGAATGGGGATTTATAAATGAATAGCTAAGTTAGCTAAGTTCGTTGAACAAACTCGACTGCTGGATGGTAAATCGAACCAGTCGAGGGGGTCAAACCAACTGACATAACTCGGGGCGCACCTTGTCCCTTCAGACTATCCGGGATCATCATGGATCATCAAATCACCATTTTTCCCATAGAACTTGCATGAAGGAAACGCTATTTATATCTATTTATGATGTCTCTGAGATATCTGGATGCGTGGAGTACTTGGCGCGGGAGTGGGACACCCCGCAAAAGATGACGATTTTACCAACGCAGTTTTTGGCGCTGTGGTCGAAAACGGTTCACTGGTCATGTCTTTTTGGCATCAAAGCATGCCGCCATGCCAGTTCCAGGTAACAATTTCTGACTGCCCATTCCCATCTGAGCAGTCAGCAAATCCTATACCTATACCCATATAGTTGAGAATGGATATATAAATTGTATAGCAGTTAGCAGTTTTCCACTTTTTCAAAATCTGATTTGGCTTATTCGAATGATCGTGACCGGTCGGGGACAGAAGGTGTATGTATCAAAAAGTTCCATTTCAGAAAGGCAATAGTTTTATCTAGTTGTTCCCTTCATCAACTTCGGAACCAAAGTTATTACCTCACCCAAAACTCGAGCCAGAGAGCTGTTTTGCAGCCGGGTTGAAGTTTCCTGATGAGGTGGTTGGCTTCTTGGCCATTTGTGGGGCATGAGATTTCTTGGGCGAACCATGGCGACCGCCAGCGTGATTTTGCTTCGAGCATGGCAGGAGACGTACAAGCCAACAGGATTGCACGGAACGATCCCTGAACGTTGTATGCAAAGGTCAGTTTCCCTGCAGTACATGGTAAAGCCAAGAATAACCGTGCTATATTTGGTACGGCTTAGCTTTCTGGTATATGAAATCTAGATATGGTTCATGGTTTGGAGTTTACCGCATTATCAACCATATTTTGGGCCACCTCTGCAAGTCTTGCTGAAATCACCATGATTTTTCTCAACCTCAACCTGCTATGAAATCCAGGAAAGACTATCAAATCCTTTCAAAGAACAGTTCAGGAATATATATAAAAAACACATATAAAAAGTTGTTCGACCAAAATCCACACTCACATTATCCTTATATAATAATGAATTATATCATATAAAACGCATTTAGCAACACATGTTTTTCATTAAAACTTACTGCCTGGCCATATTTTTTTTGGGGTGCCTTCGCACTGGCCAGTGGCCCCCAACATGCCGCGGCGCAATGGATGAGGGTCTGGGAGGTCGCTCATGGCCCTTGCCCATGTCTCACCAGGACCGGCCCCCGGAAACAAGCCCTGGAGATCTGGATATCGATTTCGATTTTTTCAGCATTTTTTTAAAATTCGAACATATACCAAGTAAACAAAAACATAAAATATCACATATTTTTCGCAATTCCATAGGTTATTTTAATATCATTTAGGATGATTATCTATACACAGTATATATATATATGTATATGTATATCATTATAGCATACTTTGTGCCTCCATGTTTCTTCTGATGTTAGTGACCCCCTAGTTTTTGTTGGTTGTATTTGCAGAAGCCTGGGTTTTGATGGTTGTCCGAAGTGTTACTGCTTGAAGCACAGTCTTTCCAGGGTTCACCCATAACTATGAACCTTTTTAGATACATGTATATCATTGGAAGTAAAATCAGCTAACACTGTCTGCAAAACCATGTAAAACCATGTAAAACAATGTAAAACAATGTAAAACAATGTAAAACCATGTAAAACCATGTGTTTTCGGCAAAGTCTCACTCTCTCTCTCTCTCTCTCCCTCCCTCCCTCCCTCCCCAAAAACCACACTTATCTTCAAATCTCATTATAAAACCATATAAAACCCATAGACATCCCCATTTTTCCCGTGCACCCAGCGCCGAAATCGCTCGCACTGGGTGAGTGCCGTACGGCCGTCTTTCAGGACGTGGCACTGCGGCACCGCTGCGCCCGGCTGCTGCAAGCGCTCCTACGCATTGAGGCGTGGCAGAACAGCGAGGCGGGGTGACCGTGGCGGACCTAATGGCGGGATGGTATCATGACGGTCCAATATGACAACAATAGTGTACCCTCTGGTAATGACTAACATAGCGACATAGAAAATGGCACATTTATAGTGGATTTACCCATTGAATGATTAATCCAGTAAATGATTTATGATTGCCAGTAAATGATAAATCCATAATAGTAGTTAATGATAAATGATGATTAATAGTGGTTAATGATGATTAATATTGGTAAATGATTAATGTCAACCCCGGATTAATAAACCATGGTTTATGACAATTAGGGGGTATTCCCCCAATAGTCACAATATGATATTAGAAGTATAATAGTATAATAGTATAATCTTACTAAGAATGTTGGGTATAGTATAATCCCAAGCTTGGGTGGAATATCATTCTGAAATAATTCTGGTTCTTGTGAATATTCTATTATTAGTATTGTTGATGGTGTGCTGTTTGTTATTCATATTCGCACATGTTGATTTATATATATATATGATATTAAAGTATTTCCAAATTGATAATAAATCGCATTGACAATGATCACAACAGGGATAGCAGCATGGCTACTATTATTGTAATCATTACCATTTCTATTGTTGTTGGATGATTTGCATGGTTGAGACGTAAAATTTGGAGGATTGTACAAGATAAATATAAACACTATATATATATATATATTAAGTGAAACAATTGTAATCTTAGTTTTGAGGTTGGGATGTGAATTACGTTTTTGTAACTGGATGACTACATAGCTGGTTTATGCTCGTGATTTTACTAAGCTTTCGCCTTTTCTTCTTTCATAGTGACTAGTCCCCATTTTGTTTGCATGAATTCTAACGACCTCAATGCAATGTCCCGATGATGAGGATGGTTAGGACCGGATAAAAGTAACTATATAGTATTATATAGTTGACTTTTCAGGTGAATTCTGATCAAAGTGACCCAGATGACTACCCCCTGGAAATCATTTCCATAGCAATGGAAAATCCACCACTTTTGGATGACCAGCTCCCAGCTATAAACCACCACCACTGACCGCCACGAGAAAACACCCATTGTATCATGATCCCTCGCCTTGGGTTGGCATCTTCTTAGCATCAACGTTGGGAGCGTCACGTTTGATGGTTAATGGTTCATAATTTCATAGTGATTAATACGTAATGGGATGTGTTGTGTTGGATAGTTTTTTTTGGTTCATAATTTCATAATGACTGATGTAATGGGATATGTTGTGTTGGATATTCAATAGATATGAAAAAAGGGATACGTAATGGAATACCCTCTGGCAATCATTTCCGTGACCAGCTGGAAAGTCCCCCCGAAAAAAGGAGGTTTTATAGCGGGGAAAATCATCTACTCATGGGACAACTTTCAATTGCCACGTTTGATTACCGGTAAACCATAGGAAAACCATAGGAAAACCATAGGAAAACCATGGGAAAACCATGGGAAAATGGAGGTTCAGGTATCATTACGGCCAAACACCTCGATGCGCGTATCATTAACAGATATTGCTAGTATCATTCAACTGGCTGTCCCGATCATTAATATTACAAGCACGAGTTGTCCTTATCCGACCTTGAATGTTTATTGTTCCTATTGTGGCTTATCAATGATGATTGTTTTTGCAGTATTTTTATTATCTCTTTTATAACGTGTGACCATGACTATGCATGTTCTGATCCTGATTTAACAATGGCGACTACAGAGATATACAACTTATATCAGCAACAACTGATTCGTTCATAGATCGACTTGCACTTGGGTCACTTGGAGTACGCACCATTGGCTTCATTAAGATCATGTCACAGTGCAGATAATTGACGTTTTCAAATATTTTGTATTTGCATGTGCAGGAATTGGGTTCACGAATCTTATATCTGGTTGGTGGTTTCAATCATTTTTTATTTTCCATAATATATATGGGATGTCATCCTTCCCATTGACTTTCATATTTTTCATTTTTCAAGATGGTTAAAACCGCCAACCAGTACAATGGTTGACTTTTCTATTCTCTTTGAGATATCCAGGTTAATCCCTCTTTCAGATATGGAACATCCATCGCAGATGATTTTCAAAGTACCAAGGGCTACTGGTGGTCCCCCATAGTTCGGAGTTGGATTCTAATCTCCATGAACTAGTTCAATACATCTAGCAGCTACCATAGAGCATCGTACCCCACTCATTTCAACTTCGGCATCATAAAAAACACTCCGAATTCCCATTGTGAATGATCAAATCCATCAAATCCACCATGTTTCTTCCCATTTTACCCATATATTTCCTTGGCCAAAAAAAGATTTTCGGCCCAGTCCACAGTAAGGGTCTCCATATCACTATTCACCATTATTAACCATGAGATCCCATGGGAATCCCATTTTTCATCACCATTAATCACCATTGGCCGTCGCCAGGCCAAGGACGGTGCGGACCTGGAGACCTTTTCGATGATGACCAAAGGCTGCAGCGAGTTGGAGCTCGAAGGTCTACTGGAGGCGCCCATCTACAGCAACTTGCAGCTGCTCGACTGGATTTTATGGAAAAATATGAGGGAGGTCACGATGTCAGAAAAAACTATGATGAAATATCAACTTATATATATATATTCATGGATTATAGAATGTTAATTTAATTATGGATGACATATCAAATTTATATTAATATATGGATTATATCATGTTAATTGTGGATGTCATATCAAATTATATTATTGGATGATTATATCATATTATCATTAGATTAGAAGCCATGGTCAAAAGTTGCATTATCATGGATGATATTCATCTATACTATACGTATTATATTGGGGGATGGTCATACTTCCATACATTCATGGGAAATTGATGATGGTAATGGTGGGATGATGACAAGCCACATACCATGTTGTTTTGACCATGTCATGGCACATATCTGCCAGCTGGATGTCTTGAGATCCGTTCTTGACCATCTCGACATGGTGATCACATGCCACCCGACTGTGAGAACCCCCACCTTCCAACATGATCATCCTCTTTTTTAATACCCAGGTGATTTTTTCTTCAAAAAAATCAGGGATTTCACATGATTTCCCTCCAATGATCAAAGATCATCAAAGCATTTTTCAAGCACCTTCCAGCAGGATGGCTCCCGAGGATCGAAGCCGCATGGCTCTTCTTGTTCGAAGTGCGGCGGAGGCATTTCAATCGGAGGATGCAGATCCAGGTGCGCCACGTTGCGCAACGGCGCGTTGCGCCATGCCGCAGTGATGCCACAATGCCAGAGTCTCCAGAAAATATTGGTCATCGATAATTTTACCATGTGAAACCCCCAAACACATGATAAACATGCACATTTTTGTTTCAAAAAGGAATTTGGTGGTGAACGGCAGATCCATGATCCAACTCCAATGGAGGACTGCACTCGCATCCTGGGCTCTTCGCACAACTGGTCCATGGTCCTCTTTGGGTCTAAAAAGATCCATGAATCCTTGCGGAACATGCCGCCGGAGGCCAGTGTTGGGGTCAGACTTACAGATTTGTTCAGCAAGTTTGGAGGTTTTATACGGCCTTATGATGTCTTGTATGTTTTTTGGGGTCTTAAAGTAAATGCACTTGCCCCGAGATTTTGAAGGGAAACATGTCATTTTATTATTGCCATTATGAACCCTGAGAGGCTTGCATGGAGATCCTTGAAGACGCCAAGGCCATGGATTTGCAGTCGGTTCTTCAACGGTCGCCGATGCCACAGCTTCCACCTGGGGGGTTCATGCCAGAGCCCAATGGTGGTCCTGGTGGTCCACCAGGTGGTCCACCAGGTGGTCCACCAGGTGGTCCACCAGGTCCAGGGCCAGCGGAGCTCGGTCGGAAGAAGAATCCCTTCGTTTCGGACACCGCTCCCGCCGAGCCGGCCGTGACACCCCCGGCCTGGCCCCAGAGCGACCCCGCGTCAGCGCCGGTGGCGAATGCCGGCTGGCCGGGTGCTGCGGGCGAGCCGGCGGCCCCCCAATGGCCGTCGGCGCCGAGCAATCCCTTCCGAAAGGAAGTGAAGGAGGAGAAGAGCGAAGCTGCTGAGATGCAAGTGACACCTCAAGATATGATACTTGGATCTGCTGAAGGTGTTTTTTTTCCAAGCTTTCCCACTTGTCAATCCACTGTGTGGGGAACCTGGGCATGTACATTTTTTTGGGGCCCGCAAATGCAAGGATGGCCGGTGCGAAGTTTGCTCAAGATTCAGGCGTGAGTGCCAAAGACATGATGACTGGAGCACGCTACGCGCAACAATCTGGCATCACGCCACAGCATGCCCTGGATGGGGCGAGGATGGCACATCAAGCTGGGGTGCGACCGCAACATGTTGTTCAAGGCGCACAAATGGCCCACCAGGCGGGACTCAGACCCCAGCACTTTGTGCAAGGTGCCAAAGCAGACACTTGGCACAAACATCTTGGAGACCTGGTAAGATATACCGATATGGCCCTCAAAGCACCATTGAAATAGGCAAACATCTTCAAATTCACCAAACAATTGGTGCGAATCAGTTTTGATCTCCCAAACGGAGTGGGATGATGGATCCTCCGTCAAATAGGATCCAAATGGGACATATAGATTGCTATGGTTGAATTACTGGGCTTACAGCAAGTCAGTTCCTGTCTCAACTGGGATGATCCCCGTTGACTGGTTGAATCTCGGTGGTCTCGCAGTGAAATCCTATTGTATTTTGGTGCACCCTCCGGCAATCAAAGGTGGCTAGCTGGAAGTCTCAAAAATTTCATTGAATTTTCCATTAGAAAACAAGCCTCCGTTTACCCTCTGGTTATTTAACGTAGCCATGGAAAATGGCCCATTTATAGATGGTTTACCTATTCAAAATGGTGATTTTCCATGGCTATGTTAAATAACCAAATGGTATAGGATTTTAGTTTGGGGATTCTTCAGCCACGTTTGTTTACTGCAGGCATTCTTCAGGATGAAACTAAGTCCTGTTGCAATCTGAAAAGTTGGGCGGGAGCGGAGTCGGAGAGTCTTAGGCACAGCAAGCTGGCGTGACTCCTCAACATGTCCTAGCAGCCGGAAAGGCCTTTGCTGTGACTTGGGTTCAACCATGTTCAACCCCAAAAATTGGGAATCACCCCAAACGTGCAGTTGCAATGTGAAACATGTGAAACACATTGGACCCATTGGACAATGGTTGATCATCCGGGGGAATCCTTGGGATTTTCCAATTTTCCACATACTCCATGAGACAAACCCATCTGGATGTCCTGTTGGGACGGACCTCCGCTGAGAAGCCTGAAGTTTTGTGATACGGCAGTACAATGCATAAACAGGATAGCATGCTATAATATCTATAATCAACATAAAGCACAGTTTACACATTAGCAGTCAACTTAGAAAAGACATATCTTTTCAAGTAGATAAGAACTGTGGAGAAGACTTCTTGGTACTCCCATTTCTAAGTGGGATGCCCAATCTGACTACAAAAAATCACAGAACAATGCCGACGAAGTGGACAGCCGCAAGTACAAAGCCAAGAATTTAAGCGAGCCCTGCAACGGTTAACAACTTTTCCTGTTCAGAGCCCCATTTTGTTAGTGCCTTCAACCAACTTTTTTAGATTCTATCGGACAACCATCGCATTTATTTTTGCTGGCTAAATAGAGTTTCCTGTAATCAAACGTGGCTAGCTTGAAAATCCCCGAACTAAATGGAGGTTTAATGGGAAAACCATATATATCCGTATCCTTTATTTAACGTAGCTATGGGAAATCACCATTTTTAATAGGTAAATCATCACAAATCATCCATAAATGGGCCATTTTCCAGCCACCCGGGGGTGAAACCACCGAAGCCACCAAGGGCCCTCCACGTTGAAGCGGCAGTGTGAGGGCGTTGACCAAGCGCGGCTTTACTACCGCCGTGAAGATGAACACATTGTTTATGTAGTTCAAAGCTTGGGTACCTGCAATTTATCGTTGCTTAATGGGGAACGTGATTTCTCTTGATTTTCGAAACCGCTGGAATTCAGGGTAGCTATTTTGATTTCAAGCTACAATAACCGATGAAAACTTAGGTGTTTTGTCCAAGAAGCGTGAGGCCCTAAACGTACGGAGACGAAGGAAGCCCTTTTTTAAGCCATCATGATCAGCAAATTTTCGGAAGCCTTAAGCCATAGATCATAGACACGCTGCCATCCCAGGCGGCTCAAAGAACAGTAGCATTTTCGGCTGTTTCACCGCAGTCCGGGTAGCCTTCTGCAGCTTACCAAAACAGCGGCGGTGTGTCACCACTCCATAGGGCCTGGCCTTGTATCAGAGGTCGAGGTTTTTGGACCTGGTACATTGGAACGGGCACACTTCTGGGCTTGATCAACCAAGATGGGGACCGGAATGGATCGAAAGGGTTGAAGTGTGCATTATTTCGTTTGTTTCAAATGCGCATTCTGTTTTGGATGCACATCGAAATCCTTCAAGGACAACATCGTTTGGTTCAGCCCTTCATTATGGACTGGATTGTTAGTCTGAAATTCTTACATGGCACTTCTTCAATCCCATTGAATGATTTCAGATTTGTTTCATTATTTCAACCCTCAATGCAGTGCTAAAAGGACTGCATTAAATTCAAGAGTACGTATATTATGTAATGTTATGTTATTTATGTTATGTTATGTTATGTTATGTTATGCTAGGGTATGTCATGTCATGTAATGTCATGTTATGTAATGTTGTGCAGTGTTATGTCATGTTATGTTATGTACACATAGTATGCATAATATGTATATGTAGATGTATAATTACATATACATATATATATATATAAGATGTATATGTTATGTATTTGTATATGTCTTTGTAGATAACATGTATTTGTATTTGTATATGTTTCTGCCTAGGGGTTGAAATTAAAACCGAACGTGCGTTTTGTGCGTTTTTTTGTTGGGTTGGGGTGTGGTGGGCCAATGACGTTCATTTGCACCTGCGCGCATATGTCACGGTACGCTACTGTAGCTTCTTTTGCACTTGCACGCATACGTGACGCTACGCTACTGTAGGTTCTCTTGCACTTGCACAAAATGAACAATCCGGATTGAATGACTTTCTGATTTGGAGATATGTTCGCACATGGCAATGGTGCTGGGAAGCAAATGTTGTTGGATCAGCTCTGTTCACAAGAAGCAGGAGTCTACTTTGCCAAGATCTGAACGTCACCGACAAAACGAAGTGGCGCTGTGGTTTCGGGCACGAGGGCTCGCGAAAAGAGTCATTTTTTGGGATGCATTTCGTTCAGAATACGCAGTAATTCCCACAAGATTGCAAAACACCCTGTAACTGACCCACACAACCATGAAACGCTGCAAAAAACATTGCACAACATGATGAGCATGATACACATTGTTCAAAAATCCTTATTTTACACGTTCAATTTCCAACCTGGCGGGATGTTTCTGTATATGTAAGTACCTTTGTATATACAATATATAGTATGTGATATGTAGTATGTAATATGGAATATGGAATATATAATATGTAACATGTAATTTACAATGTAATAGTATGTATATCTATAATACGCACGTGCAATATGTGTAGAGATACAATGCCTACACATAGCATGTATATATATATATAATTATATACATATGACAATGTGCATATAACATGCCATATATACATATATACACATTATATAATTATATATGTATATCGTATGATATATATATATATACAGTATATATATATATTATATTATATGTAATATATTCTATATGAAATGTACTTGTAGTAGTGTATTAATAACGTGATACGTGGAGTGTGCCGTGATGTGACGATTATGATACATGCCCTTCAGGCGCCAAAGTCTGATGAACCAGCTGAGACCCGGGAAGAGGACAAGGTGCGCGCCATGGTGCGCCGAGACGGGGCTGTTGATTGCAGTATGAATACCCTCTGGTTATTTAACAGTTTGCCATGGAAAATCACCCTTTTTAATAGGTAAACCATCTATAAATGACCCTGGGAAACGTTTACATAACTCTGGAAAATCCCCATATAGCTGGGTAAATCAACTATTTCTATGACCATTTTCAATAGCAAACTGTTAGTTTACCAGAGGGTATATGACAATTCCTTGGTACATGATAAATGCTATATGACCATTACTATTGGAATACTATATTACTATTACATACTATTACTATTACTATATATCAATTGGGAATTACTATTCTCATGATAATTACAATATCCATTTTTGCAAATAATTCTAACAATTATGGTATCCATTGGGAAATACTGTTCTGATAATCTGGACAATAATGTCAGACATTACACCTTACAACAAATAAAAGATATATGTGTTTTTTTTTTTTTTATATCTAACATTTACTATGAGACATGTTTTCTATATTAGTGTATGTATATATAAGGGGATATCCCCAGAAAATATGGCCTTATATGGTACAGTACCTCCATTTTAGGATCCTGAAATTCCCATTGATATCATGCTAAATGGTCCATTGTCCAATGGATATTGTCGGCAGGCCACCTTCGAATCCCTTGGAGTCTGCGAGGAGACGAGCTTCGTTGAGGGACTCCGGTGGCTTAGGCAATCAAACCTGGTAGTGGCTGGCTAATAATGGCTTAAAGAATGGTGAATCATGGCTTAATAGTGGCTTAATGCTGAAAAAAATGGTGAATCATGGGATTTTGGAATGCCCTCTGATAGTCGTTTACGAGCTGGAAGTTTTCTGGGGATTTCCGGTAGCCATGTTTGATTGCCGAAGGGTGCAGGTTTATCTGAAAATAAGGTACTGGAAGTACAATGTTGAGACAAATCGATGTCATCCAATGTCAACATGTGTAGATTTATTTTCGCTGGCAGACCAAGGAATTTTTCAGCAACACACTAATAATAGGGGTTGTAGATTAAGAAAAGCGGGAATTTGAGCAATCAAACTGAGATCAAATCAAGAAAGATGGCGTTCCAACCATGAAAAATCCATGGTATTTGACTCACAAGTACTCTTGGAGTTCAAGAGAAGAGGGAGGTCACCGGTCACCAAGAAAGAACAGGACTGAGTGTTTACCAAGAAACTTTGGGTGATCATGTTGTCTTTCCCATGATTCTTCCGTAATTTCCTTATGGAGTTTATCAGAATCCAGTTTTCCCACGGTAGTGGACATAAAAATCACTAGACATATCCCTGAAATTGGGGCTTTGTGCTTGGTTTTATACAGCTTTTTTTAATTTTTAAATGAGGGTTTTTCACTGCCATTGGCGCTTGAGGGCTAACACTCTGGCTGCTTAGAAGGCTTAGAACAAGGGATCATGGTAGCAGAAGAATGAAGATAGCAATCTCCAATAGCTTCGGTACCCAGTTTCTTTTAAATACGATTATCTGCATGCCAAGAAGATAAAATCGCAAGATATGGGAACATCATCGACAGCTTCGGTGTCCAGCCAGCCCCAATACTCCCCAGGAGCTTTGCCGAGCCGTGAAGCTGATGAAGTGGGCGAAACCCACGAAGACCCGTTTTGGGCGGTTAAAATGGGAGGTCATGGCTAGTGATGGCTTGATTTTTCAGCCAGAAAATCAGGAGGTTTTCTAATGCTTTCTGCAAGATGGGGCTTTTAGTTTAGCTTAGTTGGTTGAAATTCACCAAGCATGGTTCATGGATGCAAAAATGGTACATGGATTTGTCGAACTAGCTCATTTTCGGTGAGACATGGTGAGACTAAACCATACTAAATCGACAAACACAACTGGGTGGCGTCACCTTGTGTGTATGTGTGTTTTCCACCTGGTTTTGGGATGAAACCACTTGAACGTATTGGAGAAGGGTTGACAACAGCTGCAAACAACAGGGAGTTCAACGACAGCAGTACAGCTTGATGAAAGCAACGGTCGGAAGGTCATCAACCATGGAGCAGCATGGCATTTTCCAAAAACCGATTTTTTAAGAGAGCGGTTTTTGGTTTATTTCCGAAACGCTCAAGATTTGCAAATCCTAAGTGCATACAGTTTCAGTTTCAGCATTCAAACATTCAAACCAGTCCTGATCGACTCAATGGGACCCTCGGTCCCAAAAAGGCGGGTTTCTCAGAGGATGCGCCAGCTCCATCATTGCTTTCCCCAAATCAATTGATTGAGTCTATTGCAACCAAGGGTGGCATGCTGGCATGCGCCATGTGGGTATGTCTCGAACTTGGGTAATTTGTGGGTAAGCCGTGAACCATGAACCATGGTTTACTATCGACATTTCCCCAGAATTGTCGGCAGACAATGGCCGTAATTTGCAGGTCAATTCCCACTTCCTATTAAAAAACAATTGGTTGCTTTCAATGTTTTCTCATCAACAATTATCAACATCGGTTTTCAATGTTTTCTCATCAATCATCAACATAGGTAAATTTCATGATCACCAATAAATTCACCATGATAGGTACATATCACCAATAAATTTCCACAGGTAAATCACCAACAAATTCCCATAGGATTCCCATAGGTAATTTTACCAATAGATTTCTATGAATTCATCATTCATCATGTTATTCCCATCAATCATTCAGTTTTTGTCCATCAATTTCCCATCAATCCATCATTCATCATTCATCATATTATTTCCAATTCATCATATTATTCCCACCATTTCAGAAATTACCCTCTGGTAAATAAACATAGACCCTGAAAATCACCATTTTTTAATGGAAACTAGTCTTCCAAGTCCTATTTCCCAGGGTCTATGTTAATTTACCAGAGGGTATTCATCATATTATTCCCATATTATTCCCATGAATTCTTCCCATGGGGATGATGTTTTTATTTTCCCGCCTGATGTGACGAAAAACCGTACGGTGCTTGTATAAATTATCAAAAAAACACATCAATCATTCAGCATAGGTAAATTCCTAGACCGTTTTTTATTCCCATCACATAGGTAAATTTCATCCATTCATCATATTATTCCCATCAATCTATGGGAACATTCCCATCATTACCATATATTTGCCAGTATATAAATTCCACATCATCTATCATCATTCATCATCTATTCCCATCACCAATAAATTCCCCAATGGTAAATCACCAGTAAATTTCCCATAGGTAAATCACCATTCATTCAACATTTCATTCAACATAGAATATTCCCGTCAATCAATCATTAGTTGTAATTTCCCATTTCATTACCATAGAAATATATATATTTCCCAGTAAATTCCCAGTCATATTCCCATCATTACCATAGATTTCCCGTCGTAAAATTCCCATCGACTTTCGGCAGGATTCAGCAAGAAGCCATCCCTTGGGCCTTGCAGGCGATCAGCGGCAGCCCGGACATTCGGGGAATTCAGACAACTCAAGTAACTCAAAGGTCAATTTCAAGAAGATGGACTTCCCAAGAGCTTATGAAGCACCAACAAGCACTACTTGGGGCTGAGATGGGCTGAGTAAATGTACGTATCTGGATGGTGGTTTGGAACATTTGGATGATCTTTCCATATATGGGGAATAATGATCCCAACTGACGAACTCATATTTTCAGAGGGGTTGTTTTACCACCAACCAGGTATTATTGGGAGGCTTTGAGGGATTGGTTGGATTGGTTGACTCCCCCACGTTCAAGATGGACCATGTGCCAATAAACCATCCCAAGTATGCCAAGTTTTTCCCTCATCCCATGATTTTTTTTTCTACAATTATCCTATGATTCCATGTGGGTTTTCCACCATGTTATCCAATAAGTGCCATAAAGAACTCTATAGATCTTCCTACACGATTGGTTTATGGAACAATCATATCCAGTAATTTCCATTGGAACAGTTATTCCTAGTATCAGATTATTGTTCACACACTTTCCCACTTTTCCACTATTTTATCCCATAATCATTCCATGAATTTGTTCAATAGATTTTCCTACCAAAATTCACTTTTTCTATTGGCTTTAACTACGTATAACTATCCCATACTGTTACCTCACAATTCATAATCTTTCCAGAATTATCCCTTGATTATTCCATATCTTCGATATGATTTCGGTAAACTGTCCGATTCCATCATTCCAATTTACATGTTCCACCTTGTTATCCCATCAAATTATCCCATAAAAGTTATATTCCATAAAAGTTACGCCATAGTTTTTTTTTCCCATAAAGGTTGCAGTATTGCATCAATTTTTCTTTATCCATAGGCCATGAAAGTGTGGACTAACTATGGAATAGACATCCCTGGGTAAATTATAGTGACCTCACGTCGTGACCGAAGCCTGGTTTATCATGGGAATGGGATTTCGGGAATCTTCCCCAAACAACGCCGCAAGTTTCATCTTATTTCAGCGTAAAATATACACATTTTACCCAGAATTAATCAAGTTCTCCCTATTTTCCATATCTGGTTGGTGGTTTGGAACATTTTTTACATGTTTCGTTTTTTTTTTTTAAGTTTCATAATCACTGACTAAGTCATATTTTTCAGAGTAGGCTCTTAACCACCAGAAAATTCCCAGCCAGCTTTGTGGCGAGTTTCCTTGGCATCCTATTCGGCTGGATCCCATCGAGTCTCCACGGCAGGGCCGGGACATCATCGGCCTAGCTGAGACGGGCAGTGGCAAGACGGGGGCCTTTGCCCTGCCCATCGTGCAGGTGACTCCAGCAGTTGGGTGGTGTTTTTCAGCAGTTTCTCAAGGTGATTCTATGGGATTCAACAGATTTACCCTCTGGTAAACATACAAAAAACTATGGAAAGATCCACCATTTTGAATGGGTAAATCCACTATTTCTATGGGCCATGTTCTATGTCGCTATGTTAGTTTACCAAAGGGTAACCATGGTTAATGATTCTGTAGGATGATATATGGGATATATAATTGAGAAAAATCCTGATTGGTTGATAATTTAATCACCCAATATGGGATTTAACCATGAAATATATAGGGGTTTTAGGGGTGATTATCTCAATGTTGATGATATGGAATTGGGAATTTAGCCATGAAACTATGGGGATAAAATTGGATACAACTGACAAATGATGATGGTTGGTTGATGATTTCATCACACAATATGGCTTTTAACATTGAATTATAGGGGTTTTATGGGGTATTTGGATATAATTGATCAATGATGGTTGGTTGATGATTACAGTCGTTTTTTTTTTAATTTCCAATATATTTGGGATTATCACAATCCACTAGGGGAATCCCTATCAACCAACCAGTTTTTAGGGGACGACAGAGACTCCGGTTGATATCACCCCCAGACCGTGCGCAGCAAGGGGACAACAGAGGGTTTTGAACACTGCTCACAGTTGTTTTTGTTTTAAAGAATAGATCTAACCTGTCAGATTTTGTTAAAATAAGGAATGTCTTAGCTTAAAATCTAGAGACCCTCACCTGGCAGGTGAGGAAAACGGTTTTTCTTGTGTAAAAGTATGTAAAAAAAGGTTTTAGGCAGCAAAAACTTAGCAGGTTGCACAAGACAGGGGGGGGGCGTAAACAGCAAAGATGAGGTCCAAGCAACTGCCACGCTGGGGAGTCTTGGCCATTTCAGATGGTTAGATTCCTAATGTGGGATCCACAATATTAAACTTAAGGTAATCAGTGGTTTATGAAATTTTGTATACCCATACCAGTAACGGAATGAGTTTATATGCAATTTTGGCAGGTCCCTAGATTATAATCTATAATCTCAGATGGTTTAGGGCCTTGTGGATTCCACATTATATCCACTTATCAAAATCTACAATTGATTGGTGTTGCTGATCTATCATGATTTATGGATAATCTATGTAATTTGTTGTTAAATCCTTCCTTTCAGGGATCAAATCCTAATTTTAGCGAGGTGAATCCTTACTTTCACTGATGAATTCTTGATATTTTGCTCAAATCCCAATTCAATCTCTAGTTTTCCTACTTGTTTTCATGCTTAAATCACACTTTTTCTCATAGCTTTGTCCGATAAAATGGGATAATTACCCCCAATTCCAATGGATAACCATCATTTTCATTCATTTTTCCTATTAAAAAATGGGCCATTGTCCAATGGATAAACCATCAGTTCCCCATTGGTATCCCCTACCCTATCTTCACGTCATCGTGACGTGCCAGCGCCTTTTGGACGATCCACAGCGGTTCTACGCCGTGTGTTTGGCGCCCACCCGGGAGCTTTGCGTCTCTTGGAGGCCGTTTTTAAATGGTTGGGCGCTGATTGGCTGATTTCTTGGGGACGATGATCAGAAAAAGGTAGGGAAAACCTTGAAAAACCAACTATGGTTATTAGTATACTGTACTATTTTATATTATTTTATATTATACTCCACAATACTATTGTTAATACTATCATCTAGTATTATAGTAAGATTATCATGGATAATGTCAACCCCGGATGAGACTAAACCATGGTTTATGAAAAAAAGGGGGGGGTACTCCTCCAATAGTCATTTCATCTGACACTTTTTTATGGTACCCTCCCAATTAAACAGCCGTAAACGGGGTTTATTAATCCAGGGTTGACATCACAGTAGAAGTCTGTCATGAGATGGGATTGGACTTCTGTTTTAATGGTTCAAATGGGGGATAGCCTCTGGTGATTGAACTAATAGCTATGAAACATGGCCTGATTCTCCATAGCTATATTCAATGACTAGGTCCTTAGGTTGGTGGAAAATAGGGTACCCCCAAATGCAATGGTTTATCAATGTTTATCATTTTCCGCATTAAAGTTGCCAGACATGGGAATGTGTTTTTACCAACTGCAATCAACTAACGGGTATTATGTATATTTCATGCACACATTTCATGGGATGTATGTCACCAAGCATATGATCTCGGTTTGTCCCATTGGTGTCTGGCGTTTAATCGGAAGGTGGGAAGAAACCATCGGATTTTTCAGCACCCTGCAGACAAACCCATATTGCAGGTCTTGTTTTTTTTTCATTTCCTGATGGCCACGTAGATATTTGATGATGTTTGATGATATGGGTATAACATGGTTTTTTCCAACATTTGCCAGCTCAAAAACAGCGGAGTGTTTTGCTGCCAAAGGCGTGTTGACCACCGGCAGGGCACTCATCTTTCGTTTACATTCCGCCAAAGGGATCACATATGATCACAATGAGAATGACACGACTTCATTTCCCCACTCTCAAATGAGTGGGTCAAAGACTTTTTCATTTTTGAGGAGGGTGGCCTAGACACTCAAACACCAAGCAGAGGACTATCATTGTTTGATTTTGTTTAGTCAATGTCTCCATTTTTTGTCGGGTCTCTCAAAACCACATGGAACCCAAGCAGGGCATAATCATGGCCAATATCCAGTAGTAAAATCATCAGATGTATCCAGATGGTACCCTTATTCGATCTCACTTCATCGACTAAGGTCCAAATCGGTGAGCAGTTCGAGGCAATGATTTCTCGTGATTTTTGGACAGGGCAGGTGGGAGCGAAAAAGGGGATCTGCTGGGTTTTACCGAGAAAAATAGGGTTTGTGATCACCCTGTGGTGGTTTGGAACATGAATGGATTATTTTTCCCATCATATTGGGAATTTGATCATCCCAACTGACTTTCACTCCATCATTTTTCAGAGGGCTTGAACTCAACCACCTTAACCAGATATTTTAAGTGAGTATATATGTCACTCACCCTATTACGACTCTCCGAGAAATAGTCCCCCATATTATGTCAATATGTAATCGTAAATGGGGAGCTAGAGACATTGGGACCATTTGAGCTGGATATGATGGGAACTTCAGGAATTGGTCAGTTTTTCTGCAGGAGATCAAAAAAACGGATTAGTATAGATCATACCCTTAGTATGTAGGCTCTTATTCAATGTATTATATACATATATGATTATATATGTATAGAGGCTATCTTGAGTCTTGACAACTTGTCAACTCTCGATGATTCCTTTGTGCTATCTGATTCCAAAACACCAGTTCAAAAAATGGATCTCTCCCTGGATTGAACCCTGCTGGGTTGCATAGAACTAATAGATGTTAGTTGGAGTAGTTTGTTGGATATATACCATGTTCGTGCATACCCTGTTGTGTCCAATTATATCCCATGCTTGGCGTTGGGGAAGTTGTTTGGTCTGTGTTTTGTCCCCCTAGATTATATCCCAGTATACCCTTTATAGTTCATTATAGTTCATTATGGATTGTTATAGGTCATTATATATATATATATAGAGTTCATTGTAGTTCACTATATCCCACTATGTCCAGTTATAACTCCTTATATCCCATGATATATATACATATATATATATAATGCATACATATTATATATATACATATTATATATACATATTATATATACATATTATATATACATACATATTATATATACATATTATATATTCATATTATATATTCATATTATATATACATATTATATATACATACATATTATATATACACATAATATCCATTACACCCACCCAGTCATCCGTTGGTTTTCGCCAATTGCCCAGGCCATAGGTAGCACCATCAAGCTGCAGACGGCCACAGTGGTGGGAGGATTGGCCATGGTGGACCAGGTGCCGAAATCACCTGAGTTAGATATGACTTAGGAAAACTCCATATCATCATATTGGGATTTAATGGGGATTTAATGGGATTTAATGGGGATTTAATGGGATTTAATGGAGTTTAACGGAATTGAATGGGATTTCATGGAGTTTAATGGGATTTAGAGAAGGGTTTTATGGTGACCAGGATGGGATTGACTGACAAATTCCATACATTAATCTACAATGTGAGGCCCCCGTTCGATAGCGTTCAGTTGGTGCACTAATCACTCCAATGTCACTATGGTTTATGGTACGCAAATAACGAACTAGTTACTGGGGCGAATCTAAACCAACTTATAACTGGGGGGCCTCACATTGTATGAGGACATTTCATTGGATGTTGATATGGTTTGAGGAGAAAAAAACAGCAAACAACTCTGTGGATGTGATTTATAGGGATTTTGACCGGCATCAATGTTGCTCCAACGAATGTTGAGGTAAATGATCGAACTCTTTTCGTGGGAAAATTGGTAATTTTGCCTCTTTATTTGTCCAGCTGACCCCCATGTATCTGACCTTTAAAATATTAGGATTCAACTTGCAAAAATGTGGATTCCGACCTGCAAAATTGGGACTCAACCTGCCGCGAATGGGCACTACCAGCGAAACTGGGAGCCTATCATTGAATGTGCTTGGGTGCTAACCAGAAACAGTATTTTGCAAATACCTAGCCTTCTTGCAGCTCCACCTTGCAATCGGAAATCCCCCACTCAGATACACCCACTCAAGGGTATTTGAGATGAAGCACACCTCGGTCTCAGCCATTATAAACCAACAAACATAAGTGGGGGGTACCACCTTGTCGGAAACCTCCGTGTCTTAGGTAATATAACCCCAACAAACTCATCAACCATTATTTATCAATGATCTTCCCCTCATTTCCCATCTGTTTGATGCTCAAGTCAACTATAAATGCATGTTACCATCATTCATCATTTATAGGCAAATCAACTATACATATATATATATACATTATACTACAATCATCCCCAAATGGCCTTAATTCAGGTTGGTGAAATATTCATCAACAGGCCATGGCGCTGGCGAAGCGTCCGCACGTGGTGGTGGCCACGCCCGGCCGCTTGGTGGATCACCTGGAAAACACCAAGGCGGGGGATTTTCGAGGTAAACCATGGGATTTCGTGGGGATTTATAGGGAGACTTCCATGGGATTTTTTGATGTGCTAAACAAAAATGCCGCAAACTATGCCCAGAATCACGATTTTTTTCGGGTTTCCCATGGTTTCCCACATGAGACCATGGGATTTTGAAAGGAACTTCCTTTTTTGTAGGGGAAGATATGGGAAGCCAGCACTTGTGCTATGCCCCAACATCTCTCGGGATGATTTTCGGGAACCTCATTTTTGGTGACCATTACAGTACTTTGTTGCCTTCCACTATGTTGGGATGTTCGAACTTGATGTCTCTGGGTTTGCGAACCCAGAGACGTGTTTGATGGCCCTCTGCGGGGATTCGGTTTGGCTGTCTGGCAATATTGGTTTTCGGCCTTTTTTTTTAAACATAAACCCTAAAAAACAACTTAGAAAAACAAGGAACAACCCTAAATTAATCCTAAAGAAACCCTAAATGAAAAAACCTTGAACAAAAAACGTGTGAAGGTGTCATATAGTGAAGTACCTGTGGGGCGTAGCGCAGGTTTTCTTCGGGTAACGAATCGCAAAGCCCCGGCAGGGCTTCCACCTGAAGACGGTGAAGTATCTGGTCATGGATGAGGCGGAGCTGGTAGTTGTGGATCTCCATCCCTTGGACATTATGACATCATTCAGATACGGTCTGTATATATTATAGATATGCACAGCAACACATACACTATGTTACATTATGTATTCAGTATATATATATACATTATATATATACATATTCACAGTACAATAATTAAGCCATAAAGGACAGTTGCGTGACCCAGACCATAAAGGCGGATCGATTGCTGTCCATGGACTTCGATGAAGCCTTGGACAAGATCTTGGAGGTGCCAAGCATCAAAAGGGTGGGATGCCAGGTATCACTGGTTGGAAACCTCTGAGTGGGGTTAGTTCACCCAACGACTTGCGATTTCTTTGATCCTCCAAGAGACTAGCTTGAAGGGAAGCCAACAAAAACAATAAAACACATACAAGACCTATGAATGGTGATGGGTCAGCACCAATTATTGCTGTACTATACTGTACTATACTATACTATATTTGGGGATGAACATCCATAAATCCCAGTTTTGTGGACGTGAAACCATGCTTGCCGCAGTTTTTTTTGCTTCAGCTGCGCCCCTGGCGGGCTTGGCCGCGGCGTGGAGGTTGGGTGTTGTGCATCGTTTTGTTGCTTACCCTCTGGTAAACGTTTACATAACTATGGAAAATCACCATTTTCAATGGGTAAATCCACCATTTCTATGGCCATTTTCTATGTCGCTTTTTGTATGTTTACCAGGCCGGGTAAGTCCCAAGTTCTGGTGCCAAATGGTTCGCCAACACCATGGTGTTGGTTGCATCATGGTTCGCCAGATCTCCATATGTTGGTGGATGATTATGTGGAATTATACTACCCAACATATAGGGGGTTATCATATCCCATAGGATCCATGTATGCTATATATGGTGACATTTACCATCAATATACCCCAAATGTTAGCATATATACCATACATGGATCCTATGGGTAATCCCCATCAAAGGCCCCTCATAACCTCTATTTTTGCGCCGTGCCTATTCTTGTTTTCACGCGTTGTTTGCCCAGAATGAGAGAACTGACAACCAGTCTATTTGGCCACCTTCACGCTCAAGACCGCACACTCCGGCCATGTGATAGGAACGCTTTGGTGCATTGGCGTTTCAGATCTTGGTGTCCGCCACTGATGTTTTATATATGTATAAACCAATACATAAACATATTGTATAAATATCGACGAGAAAACCATCAACATTTTACATCATCTTACCAGTTATCAAACAACTTAGCTTACCATCCCTATTTCTGATTCGATTTCTCCAGGATGGCAGCCATGTCCTCAGTTTCCAACAGTGGTTTCACTGCCATCAGAGGTGAGGTGCTGAGACTCCGGGGTTATCTGAAAATGGGGGATACCCCACAAAGGTTATTTTATGGAGGAACATGATGAACCATGAAATTTGGCGGATTTTCACCTAAAGCATTGAAATTGCTGGTAAAAAAAAGCCGCCAATATGGGGATGTTGGTCGCAACATTAAGGAGAGTGAAGCCACACAAAGTGGAATTCTAAGAAGAATTGAGGGGGGATCACACGTAAAACCCATCTTTCGCATGGAAACTAGGAACTTTGCCAGTGAGATCGGGGAATTGGTTCGGAGACAAGCAATCCTTGGGGTTAGAACTCCTGAATGCCAACAAATGGGACGTCCCCAACACATATTGGGATACAATCCACTACTGCAACAAAATGAGCACTGGCCAAAACGCTCAATAGTCTTTCGCTCATGCTAACCCAACGCTATATTCAGATTATTCAGTAATCAATGCTGATAGATTGCCTTTTTGGGTCAACTCTGTGGGACTGCGGTAAACCCTTGTTGATTGGTTGGTATTGAGGATTAGAAGTGTGGATCATAATACGACCTGGCTCTGTTGGGGGATTCCGAGCTGACCCGTTTAATCCATTTAATATCATTTGATCCCTTAGAAATCATGTTAAACAGCAGGAGATTCACACACAGTTGGGACCATAGAATTGGGCTGTTGAATATTGACATGGGGGATGGGAACAACCCCGAAAATCATAGTTGGTGAGTTTGCATCCCCATAATATATAGCTTATATACGGTGTATATATATATATATATATATATATTTCCATAATGAACCAATTTTTCATCCTGAAAAACTATCTGGACTCCGGGATCCTCAAAGGTCCCTACTGCCAGGTTTGCCTGGCACCTCCCTGCACCGTCAGCCCACGCTGCAGCACGTCTTGGTTGTGCCACGTGCGCGGCGGAAATCGAAGGGCGCGGCTTGGCTGAAACTCATCTTGTTTCGTGGTGGTTTTACCCTTCGGTCATCAGCCATGGCAACTGAAAATCCACTATTTATAGGATGATGTTCCAAGTGAAACCTCCATTTGACAATAGGAATTTTCTAGCCAGCCACGTGTGATTCGCAAAAAATGAACCCATATGGGGATCAGCCTGGAAAGGTTTTGACGCCATTTCTCTTGGCCTTAACTTACCCCTTTTTGCGGAAACTTTTTTCAACAAAGACTACTTCTTTCTACATGATATTCCACCCCGTAAATTTATCATGAAATATCATTTTCCTGTTGGATATTGCATTTTTCTTGGTTTTGTTTTCGTGTCTGAAATTTCAACATTTTTTCCTCAACACCCTCTATTTTTTTTGATGTGTTCATTTGTTCACAGTGATGCTTTCTCCCAAGATTTCCAATTCTCCATAGTTTTTCCAGGGTATTTCCATGGTTTTTCCCACGATTTCCCAACTTTGGGTGGTTGAAACTTCCACTGAGTCCTTTGTCGCCTCCAGCTGCGCCCTGGCTGCGGCGTCGCGGCTCATGCAGCTCCGCCGGCGCACGGGGCGCACGGGGCGCCGGGTGCTGTCGCTGGACCTTCCGGGGCTGCTGGCGCCGAGAACGGAAGATGCGAAGGCGACGGAAGGCTCAGGTGCAGGGATCAGCTTGGGTGACGGGGTCATAGTGGCTGTAGACTGACTTAAGAATGGCTGAATGATGGTATATTTAATGGTGAATAATGGTTAATTACGGTAATGATTAATACTGGGAAAAATCGTAGTAAGAAAGAACTAAAGCAGCCATACTTTGATGGTTTATGCCAGCCATTCATGGTAAAATGGGGGATGCTTTACTGTTGCTTTACTAATATTACTCACTTGTCACCAGCAGATCTATAGTTTAAACGGATGGATATATTGGTTATATACTAGCTGGAATAGACACAGCCACATTTTGGGTGAGGAGATAAGTTGCTTTAAACAACATGGAACTAAGACCAAAACCAGATCTATAGTTTATATCCGTTTATGATGGTTTACGTAGTCCTACTGTTTGTGGATATATATATTTTTGGAATAGAAACACAAAAAAAGCTAAGAAAGTTGGGGTGATTGTTTGGTGTACCAGATTCTGAGCTGACAATTTTTCGCGGGCCTTTTGTTCTTTTTTCGGGGGCAACGGGATGGGGAATCCATCCAACGGGAATCCGGTGAGGTCGTCTCTTTCATGCACATGGCCCGGTGGGTTTACAACGGCTGCGCTTGTCGTCCGACGTGCTGGACTTGTTATTTGAAGACGTAGCATCCGATGTGGCAACCCTGCTGGCAACTGGCTTCCAGTCCTGTGTGGATCATCCGCAGCGACTGGGTTCACAAACAAACCCCAGCGTTTTGAGGGGCACATTTCCCCCATGACTTTTGAGGAGGATTCACTCATGTCCACTCATTTTTTGAAACCTCCTGCCCCAAACTAGCATTTCCAGCATTTCCAGCATTTCTAGCTCTCAGGTTACCAGGGCACCATTACTTGGAGGGCTACTTCCACACCCTCCCGGTGGACCTCGCTGTGGCCTCGCCCAACGTCCGCAGCGGCGTCTCCGCCGCGACGCCGCCGGCGCCGCGGCGCCTGGCGGCCTTCGCGGAGGCGCTGCGGCGGAAGAACCGAAGGCTGTTGGAGGACTTGGCGGAGCAGTGTCCTGCAGGCGGGTGGGATGGTGGTATGGGAAGCTTAGCGATACTATAGTGAAATACATATATATATATAATATATATATAATATATATATATACATATATATATATATAGCTATTTTTAAATATGATACTATAGTGATATCTTTAACATTTATATCAGGATTTAATGCTATAAATTACCAAGAACATCAAGTGCTTTCTCACAAGATTGTTTTTACATGATTTAACATGTGGATGTGGGATATATCACCAACTTCATAATGTTTAATGGTGTTGATGTTGATGTCGATGTTGTTGTTGTTGATGATGATGATGATGATGTTGTTGATGTTTTTTTCCCCATTGAATGGGATAGATTACCATGATCAACTAGGGGTTTTAATATTCATAATGACCATGGGGAGATTTCACCAGCAAAGCGGTGGAATTTCGTGGATATGTTAAGAATCTGGTAAGGACTAACAGTTTGCGACATAGAAAACGGCCATAGAAATAGTGGATTTTCCCATTCAACATGGTGGATCTTTCCATAGTTTTGTGTTAATGTTTACCAGAGGGTAAGAATCAACATAGATGTGCCATGCGAAGAAGTTACATGGCTTATTTTTGCCCTCGGGGATTGTCATGACCTTTTTGGTTTAACCAGTCGCAGTTCCCCCACCATGGCAGCGCTGGGATCGATGACGAAAACCCGACGCTTAAATATGGAGTACAGTAGTACAGTAGTATGTGGTATGAGTTGGTATATATTTTATCACCGAAAAATGATGAGAAGTAGCAAACATGAGGGATTTATCCACCAAAGTTTGAATATATATATATATATATATATCTACATACTTGGTGAAGGATGGCATAGTGGAGAGGTTGCATACCTCCCGGCAGTCAAGCATGGCAAGGCAATCACCAATTTGTTGATGAATTAGTTATTGTATCTGATTTCCATTCCCAAGTGAAATTACCAGAGGGTAAGGGAGTGGTCTAGGGTGGGTGTTAACCACCAAACATGGGGTTTCAATAGCAGGAAATTTTGTTCTATTTCCAACAATATCCATGTAACCCGCTATTGTTGGCACTACTGTCCAAATCCGTGTTCTTGCTTGTGACGCCATCCTCATATTGTTGATGAACTAATAAGTTATGTTGTCAAAACAGTCTGAGCTTTGCTAACACCCCCCAATAATACTGCTTAATTATACAGCTCGCAGTCTATCCCTAATTGTAATTGAAATGTCGATCATAATTCCAAAATTTGATATCTCAAACTCCCGAATCTTTATCGGGAAACAGAAGCACTCAACAAAATTGGACGCAACAACAGTATGCATCCACTGAAAGAGATGAACCACGAGAACTCAGTGAACTCTGGCACAGATTAAACAATCCAAACGAATCATATCATAAACACCACTTTTTCACATGCTTAAACTAAGCATATCATACTCCTATCACCATATCGGAATCTTACTCTTTTTGCTAAACCCTAGGGGGAAATGATCCAATCTTCGGGGAATGATCCGATCCCTAACCACCACAGGTTCGCCTCTCCGCGCGGTGCTGTCGACCTGTCGGGCCTTCGGCGACCTGGCGGTGCAGATCCACTGGGGCGACGCCGTGGAGGACCAGGACGTGGCGTGGCACGTGGATGCCAACAACTCAGCGCTGCACATGGCGGTGCCGGAAGTTGGGGCAAAACAGCAGGGAGATGGATATTTATGGTGTGTGTATATTATATATATATATATGCAAATAAGTCAGAAAGCCGTTTCTTTCAGGTCAGGAGAGCTGATGATGTTGATATTACATGTAATATATGATCATAGGCAGGTGGGATTCAAGGCACATGGGTGGATTCCCCAAACTTTGGAGTGAGGAATGATTTTTTTAGGCCGAAATGGATCAACATGGATCCAGAGTTGGGTGATTTTTCGCCAATCACCCCTCCGGGGCAGGTGTCACTTCGTGGTCGACGGACGCTCCAGATGAAACTGTGCGACCCTTTCGCTCTTGAAACCCAGGTGCTTTTGGATCCCCAGGTGATCGGAAACACCTGGGTGTTTCCACAGTATTGGCCAGCCATGAGGGACATCTGTTGATGAGGGAATTGTGGTGATAGGGACTATATGTTCTTTGGTTGTGAATTATATATATAAAATATAAAATATATAAAAACATATATAAAAAGTATATTCTCTATCAATGGTTCCTATAGCCTTCCCGAGAAAAACATCTTTCCTCCAGCCAACATCGCCTGAAATCTGTGGTTTCTTCCCCAAGGTGCTGCAGGAGCCCCAGCAGCCCGGAGATGTCTATATTGGCAACCCAGCTGCCTATGAACACGGCCTGACCTATGCAGCTGCCAGCTGGGACCGAATCCAGGGCCCTCATGGCCGTAGTTCAAGGGTTGATTGACCTGTCAAAAAATGGTGATTTTTCCATGGTTTTTTCGTATGTTTACCATGTGGGGTAAGCCATGGTATCCCCAAAACCATTGCTTTTTTGGGGGAAGTTTACAGGGGTTTCCTTCCATATGATAGATGGAAACCCATGGTTTCCTGTAGGTTTTCCCTTAAACCCATTGATGGAAGCCATAGAATGAACAGATCCTCTATTTGACACGGGCCCTTGATAGATTTGATAGCCTGGTCTCTAGCTTTTGTATTTGGCTGACCAGGGGTTTTCCATGAAAAAATAGGACCCGGGCATGGCTCAAAGACTAAATTGGGGAAACTTTGTGGATCACCAAGCGATTGGTTCTTCCATTTTGAGCAATTTTACAGATGAATTTCGGAAACATGACACGAATTTCCACAAGGTAGGCCTTTCGGGATAGTATTCTCCGTCCGCCAGGAGAAGCGCATGGTTGCCTTGCAGCTGCGCTTGCTACTTACTGAAGCCCGGGATCCCTGTTGACCCTGCTGAAATCCCTGGCTGCACTCCACTGGGACCATCCCCCGAAGATAGACACTGCTCGGGTCCGATATCGTTGTGTCAAATCATAATTAACTTTCATTGATGAACATTAGCTGCTAAAGATCATGCTAAAACAATACGCCATCAATTCTAATATCAATTTCACTTCAAGTGTTTAACACAAAATCACTGTTTATCATAAATCAATCATCCTTAAAAGAAACGTGCGGCATGCATCCTTTGGTAATCTAACATAGCCATGGAAAATTACGCATGAAAGATAGGTAAATATTCGGCCATCCGCTGTCGCAAACTGTTGCTGTAAAACAATCCAAAATTCATCATTATATACTCCCCATGATATATTCCCCCAAAATGACCATTGAAACCATGTCAAATCCTATTGAACCTCAAGCAAACTTCACATATTATGTTAGAAAAGCAATAGTAAACCATCTCAGTTTGTTGGGTGCTACACGAACCATCAATTTATATTATATATTATATAATGCTTTATTATTGACATCATATAAGTTGTATCCACCAAAAACCTCATGAACCCCGCCCATGGCCAGGCTGAGATGCGCGACGCCCACTTTTTGGATGGAATGGCTATGCTGGCGCGGCGCGTGAGCACTGCACCCTTCGAGCTGCCGAGTCTCGAAGATGTGAGGCGCAGCCCATAGGTGGCCCCTGATGGTGATTTTCTGGTTACCTGAGCCATTAAAAAATACCTTGGTTGATTGCTATCGGGGATTACACTACCTGGTTTACTGGGGATTATGATCACCCATAGTAGGGACACCTATCAACCAACTAGTAAAATGAGATGGGATAGGGGATTCTGAGCCCATAATGAATGGGTTCCACATTATTACATTATCCACCAACCAGTTTTTGATGGTATGTTTCATGGCTCAGCTGTTGGGTCGTGTGATTTTGCGGTGGTTCACTGTGGTTTTCAAACACTTTGAATGGGCTGGCCTGGGGTGTTTTAACAACAAACAAGTGGCAATCTGGCCTTGAAAATGATAGTTTTGACCAAAAGGACGTGGGGATTTAAGAAATTTAAGTGGAAAACAGGTAGTTTCAACCAACCACTGTGGATTTCATCGAGGTTTTGACCTGACAAAGGTAGCGACAAGGGATAGCTTTTTTTCGCAACAGTGGGATTTGCTATTTCAACCAGCCATGGAATGGCGATTTGGTCAACATGTTTTTTGGGGTTGAGATAGCTACATTCGACAGGTTTCCTGTGGCTGTTCCCTTTCAAAACGAAAATTCTTGCAAGTCCACCTGCCTCCTGATGAGGATATCGTGAAAATGACCATCTGAAATCGGAGGAACTTTAGGGTTTACATTGGTTTACTGAGATGACATATCCCTGTAAGGTTTGTGTATATATTGATGTATATAGTGGGTATTTTCATCGTCTTCGAGTAGTTCAATGTCCGAGAGTTACACCGGACTGTGAGGATCTCAAGGCCCCCCTTCCGCAGGAACTGTTTGAGCACCTGCTGATGGCGGTGCTACAAAGATGCGTAGGATGTGAACCCAGATCTGCAGGTCGAAAGAAGGGAAAAGCACCATGAGTTTCCATTAGTACCAGTCTGGGTTCGCTTTTAGCTGAGGCTCTTCTGCTCCCCACTTGGTATGAGATTTGGACAAGTTCCCAGGTCCAGTTCTGTGTGCCTGAAGTCATGACCCGAGCACCTGAGGAGTTTTGAATCTTTGGGGCAGCAGATGCCGATAAAACATTTTATCAAGACATATTTTTTAAAGCTTCGGTCCGCGCATCTTGGGGACGCGGGGCGAAGTCAACTGCTCTTGGCAGAAAGCGCGAGATGCAGTTCCTTCGCAGGATGACATGCGACAAGGTTCCATGGCGAATTCACAGGATGCACTAAATCTCCGTTGAAGACAGACCTGTACATAAAGCATGGCGGAGCAAAACCAGTACGTGCATGTTTGATTGGATATTTCTAGTCAGAATAGAACCTTAGGGTCTTTTGGTCAGCAGTTCCAACTGGGTTTCACTTCGGAAGCTGCGCAGCTGCTCTGCAATGGGTCCCCTAGACCCGACAAGATGATGCACACGGCTGACCGATTTGAGAGGGGAAAGCAGTGGAAAGATGTGGAAAGCGGCTTTTTTCAAACTCCATATATTTGGACCATTTTTGGGTTACCCATATTTTGCCCAGATTTCAAGCACTGTTTGTTCTGGGACTCCATTGACTCCATAAATACATGGCTGTGGCTTCCCACCCACTCTGCGCTTTGATCTTTTGTATTTCACCATATTTCACCCTTACCTGGGATGATTGGCTGATGATTTTACAAACTTGTCTTTGGGATTGGCTGATGCTCTGATGCTCTCCCAAGCTGCAAGCGAAGTTCTCCATGAAGCGATGGAGCAGTTTGCTCCAAGGCGGTCTGCTGAGCACTCTGGCAGCAGTGGTCATCCGGTGGGACCAGTGGCGATCCCATGGACTTCCCCAAAATTTAGACCCCAAAAGTGAAGGATTTTTTCAGTAGGTTTAGTGATTCGTGATTTTGTATGTTTACCCTCTGGTAAATTAACGTAACTATGGAAAGATCCACCGTTTTTAATGGGAAAATCCACTATTTCAATGGTCATTTTCAATAGCTACGTTAGTCATTACCAGAGGGTAATATTGGATATAGTTTAATATTGTTTAATATTTCATGAGAACAATCCAAGACTCATCCACTTCAAATCAGTGCAGCTCTGCAGCTCCACTTCATTCCACATTCTGCTGGGCTCAGGTCTATGCGGCCTCGGCTTGCCCGCGGTGCCGCCTGTCATGAGGTGAACCTGGTGGCGATGGGGTCAACGGGGGGGGAATCTCTATGGAATGCTCGTGGAACGTTCATATAGCTGGATGGTTTATTTCATGGAACATCCATTTATAAATGGATGATTTTGGGGGCACCCCTCATTTTAGGACACCTCCATGTGAATTCATGATCTATCCCAATGTTTGGTAGTTCAACCGCGATTGACCCTCCAGAAAATTGTTCCCACGGATATGGAAAACCAGGGTTTCCCCCATCATGAGAGAAGATCGTTTGCCGGACGGGAAACCTAAGGATTTCCTTGACTAAATCATCGATTCAGCGTGAGCCTAGATGTTGTCTACCAGTCTATCACTATTCATTCAAATTCGTGATCAAAGACAATCATCCCGCCCCAAAAAGACAGACCAGGTTCAACTCAATTCAACGCATTACTTTTCCTCAGAACATTTGAACACATTTTTTCGAACAGATCTGTTTTTTTTTTCCTGAAAAAATCAGTGCTTTTTCGAAAACATCTTTTAGGGGGTTGCTATCAGTTCTGTTTTTCGACGAGGCCTTTCCGCAACACCTTGGACAAAGTGGTCTCTTTTGGTGACGACTTGCCGCAGGCCAGTTTCCAAATAGGCCAGGGACCACACTTGATGACAATTTCCGCGGGATATGGGAATTATGTGGTAAACCCAATGTCGACCATCCCCAAAATCACTATACATGGGTCGTATTAACCATCCCAAATGGTAGGTTCATTATTGGGTTTTTCCCCAGATCAAAAGCAATAGTTACAACTAAGCAACTATGATTTTTTTGGGCTTTATTTGAAAATGGGAGATATAATTTAAATATCACCCCCCGGTCATAGATCTAACACCCTCATTCTATGGTCCCATATATGTGTACATTCCCTATTTTTTTACCATGCTTTCTTGGGTGTGTTTAATATGAACAGGGGACAGGATTACTATATGTAATTACAGCTAACCAATCTATGGTTGTTATGATATGTACCTTTATATACATATATATAACATTATAAAACCATATATAACCAATATTCCAAATCAAGATATGGGACCACCTATTTGGGATATCATTTTATGTATATATTTTAACCAGGTTGATTTCAGACATCCAGTCTGATTTTGCTGGTGAAATCTCTCCCCAGTCTGTCATAGACAGCTGCATTGCTGTTGTTTTTCACCAAAAAACGACGATTTTTTGCTGGTTAAATTGTTAATTCTCAAGTTTTTGCTGGTAGAATCACATGTTGTTCCTGGCTCCAAAAATTCACTGATGAGATTCCAATGGTTTGTCGGCAAGATCCCCACGAATCCTAGTTCTATCGGATGTGATACGGCTATGGATCAATACCCCCAAAAAATACATCAAAAATCAGACTTCAGAAGAATGAACATCAAAAGACATGCTCCAGCCCACACAGATTGGGTGTTCATTTCGGGTACTTGTCTGGCACCAGGAGGCTAGAGCTTCGGTTCTGAACCTGGATGCGGAGACCATGAAGTATCTGACCTCTGCCAGCGCTGGGCCCAGAACGCGGCAACGGTGGATGGTTGGTGGGTGGTGGGTCTGAGATTTTGGTGGGGTATGATCTGGTATGATTTTCCCCCAACAAAAACGAAAACTATGGAGATCTGATTTTTTGCGGGTATGGTTATAGCCCCAAATATTTTTCGGAAATATGGAGACGATCTTTTGGGGAACATGACCGAAAAGCCATGATTGGTACCCGAACTATGGCTATCAAAAAATTGGGAAACTGAATGAACATGAGGTTTTTAATCAGAGGATGGTGTGGGGTAGCCTATTTTCAGACAATGCCATGTGGATTGAGATGGGAGACGGGGGAAGTCTTGCCACCTTGGATGATGTGCCTGGCAAGTAATGTGGGAACCCAATGCCAGAAACTATCCCAAAATCATAAAGCATCCCCAAATGGTAGGTTTATCGGGTTTACCACATTAGTGGTGTTATAATGTGTTATATAATATATATCATATGTCTATGTCAATAGTCGCAATGCTGACTGGTTGAAAGATGTTGAAATGGGTGCCATCCAGTAGTTGGGTCAGAATCGGTCGAGGTGAGTATGGCGGCTTGGTGTGCCTGACGAACATCGTCGGGCCCAAGTTGATGCTTCAGTTGCACAACGAGGCATCGGGGCAGAGAAAAAACCACCAACATGGCACAAATTCCCCTTCCAAAATGAATGGATCCAGTACGAATTCCGGTTTTTCAGGGGGTATTTAATGATGATTGGGGGGATTGATCAAGCAAAATATGGATTGAATCAGTTCTTTGTCTGGGTATTTGTAATTCAAAGACCCAGTGGCGGCCACAGATTGATTGGTGATTTTGTAGGATCAGCGTTTTTTCCTCGATCACTTGATATATCCTGGGGGGAACGGAGGCTCCACTCATGATCAATGGACATTTGTTCAGTTGGGTCGGAAGAACAGTTTTGTTTCCTTATAACAAAGATCAATGTATGGCTGAAATCATTGAATATCAGCCATCTATCCTTCCACTCTATCCGTTTGGGTTTCTCTGAATTGTTTCGTGAAAACTCCATTCCACCCACTGATTAATCATGATGACATGTTTTTTTTTAATCACCAAGTTCAGGCACACCCACTTTGGTGCATTAAACTCCATTGAAACCATAATTATAATGTGTATATGTCCGCATTTTTGTTAGTTAAACAGCATGTTTGATGCTGATTCCGTGAGTTTCATTGAGCAGCCCTATTTTTTGAATCACATAGAACACTTAAAAAAAAGAGCCCCATTCAATGGCCCATTTTTTGATGTTTGTAATGGGTAAGATGGATCTACCCATGAATCCCAACCAGCAACTTTGGTGGGTCATTTCGTAGGCCAAAGCGCTGCGTGGGAGTCTGAAGCCTTCAGAGTATTGGCTCCTGGGGCCCAAGCCTTCAGAGTTGGCGACCGATTTAATAAAGAATGTGGTTAAAAGTACTGGTTTATATTGGTCAATATTGGTTAATCATGGTTAATAACGGTTAATAATGGTTAATAATATCACCATTCCATCCATTCCGAAACTGGGAAAATCATCCCAAAATCTCATGGATCATCATGTTCTCATTTATAGTTGATTTGCCCATTGAAACATAGTTATGTTAGTTTACCAGAGGGTAATAACCCACCCATTTGGGAATGGTTTATACGACCTATAAAAATGGTGAACTTGGGGATGGTTTATGAAATTGTTTTACCAACATTAGTGGTATATATATATATATATACAAGGTGGTGCCCCATAGTTAACTAAGTTGGTGAACATAACTGCAACGATTATGGTTTATGGTAGATATATCTATAGTTGATGAGGGAGTAATACAACATATGGGTTTGTTTAAGGTGATGTTTTACTTTCCTAATTGGAAAATATAGTAAAGAATGTGGGGTAATAGAATAGTGGTACGAGTTGAATGATGTACAGCCTGAGGCGTAATAATGCCTGTACTGGCATAGGGGTGTTTCTGCATATGGATATGAATTGATGGTGCTAATTCCCAATGGGGATATTCATTGGGGATGGACCTGGCTGAGGAATCGTTGGCAAGAAGGTCGAGCGGATTCGTAGCTGGCAGACTTCAGTCACATTTTATGATTCTTTTCATACACATAACAATACGTATATATATAGATATCCACATAATATGAATTACATGTCTATGTATACACATATACCACATATCAGACATGATCAGACACAAAAAAAATATTTTTGGAAGTTAAAGTCGGGTGTCAGATGTTGCCGCATTCCAAAGACACGCAAGTCTCCTTTGGATCCTAAAATGAAAATGGTTCTAGATTGTGCTACCTTGAATGACTTTACAAGTACCATTTAGATCCATTTATATAGATGGTGTTTGGTCCGAATTACCCCAATAGCCAGTGACCAATCAATTTTCACCCTCCAAACTCCAAACATATAGTCATCCCCAAATATATAGATGGAAAAGTAAATCACCATCAAATTAGTAGGGATACCGTATCTTTTCCATCTATTTGGGATTCGACTATATATCCAATCTACCCTCTGGTAATTTAACATAATAGCTATTGAACATGGCCATAGAAAT